TGATGTTACATTCCATCAAATCATAGTCTGTTTTGAACACATAACTTTTTTTTTATTTTATTCAAAAAATAGCTTGAAATGAATAATGAACATGTTGAAATGGAAGCTTCTTTCTACATCACTCTAACTCACACTTCAGAGATTCAAACAACATGACCGTTACCAACTTTTATGCACCAGATGCTCATTTTGACAATAAATGTCTCTTTAGTGATGGTTAAGGCCAAAATATTTGAAAATCCAAAACTTATTAAAAAGATGAGCTTATAAACCAAAAAGGACAAAAAGTAAAGCCAAAGCCAGGCAAGGAATCAGAGCTCTGCATAAGGAAGATATATTCCTTAATTTAAAATGATTTCCAAAATTAAACCGTGTGGTTTCATTACTTCATTTTCAAAAAATTAAGTTTCCAGTTTTACAGATCAGGATCGTTTGCTTGGTTGAAAAAGTATTTTAAATATGCAAATGGATTATTAAAGACTTGAGTAAGAGTCTTTTTCTTGGTTAACCCATCACATTATTTTCAATAGAACTATTCTAAGTGAGAATATAGTAATTAGACTTTTAATTATTTCAGAAGTCACCAGTTGATGCTAAATATAAATGATAAAAGTTGTTCAGTTGAAAACCAAGAGCATATTTCTTTCCAAAAACTCATTGCCAGAATCATAAATCTAACTCTACAATTAAATTTGAAGGATGTTCATTGGACATTGTTGTTTTATTTACTACTAGTAATAGGCATCAGTTTGCTGTAATGAAGAGTCTACTATTCATTCAATTAAATCTGAAGTTCATACCAATTTTTGATGTAAAAATTCTGGGACCAAATCCATTTTCAGAATCATCAAATACTACTTATCTATCATTCAAGAACTTCTATCTGGCTATGATGTGCTGTCTAATGATCCCTTTTGTTTATACAAAAAAACAAAAGCTTTTAAAGATGTTAATCTTTTCTGCATATTGATAAATATATTTGGAAAATGCTTGTAAATTAAAGTACATGTACTGCCATAAATTTTCTATTCACTTACTATTGTTTCTTTGGGCTGTTGATAACCAGATATAGAATTAAATTGAGAATGTGTCTATGGGCCACAGATGCCCCCACTTGTAAATATACATGAGTCAACTTCCACATACAGATGCAGGATTCACGTAATTAAGACTGTTTAGTAATTATAAGCATTGTGTATAAGTTTCATAACATTTGGTTGAGGCAAACTAAAGTTAGACAACTGAAACGACAGATTTAGCAATTTTTCCATTTATAAAGGGGCATAACTCAAGAACGGTAAAAGTGACGCATCACAATTTCGAACTTGATCTGTGTTTTGTGGTGATGACCATTGTGTATAAATTTTATAACATTTGGTTGAGTCTAACTAAAGTTAGAGAATGGAAACGAAAAATTAAGCAATTTTTATGTTTATAAAGGGGCATAACTCATGAAGGGTAATAGTGACGCCACCCTTTTTCTTACATTATCTGTGTTTTGTGGTAATATGCATTGTGTATAAGTTTTATACTATTTGGTTGAGTCAAACTAAAGTTAGAGAACGGAAAGGAAAAATTGAGCAATTTTTATGTTTATAAAGGGGCATAACTCATGAACAGTTAAAGTGACGACACCCAATTTTGAACTTGAGCTGTGCTTTGTGGTAATGTGCATTGTGTATAAGTTTTATAATATTTGGTTGAGGCAAACTAAAGTTAGAGAACGGAAACCAATTTTGGGGATGTTCCAGACAGGACAGACGGACGGACATGGTAACACTTAATGCCCCCTCCACTACGGCGGGGGCATGAAAAATTGTAGTAAAACTTATGATTCTGTCCTTGAGATTTGGCAAAGGGTTATGTTTCATAACATTAATACAGGAAATATAATGATCCTTTCTCCTGAAGGATTTTAAACGAGCAAAAACAAAAAGATAAAAGTAAATAATCATGTACATTTCTACATTTCACAACATTTGTGTTGTTTACACAAAAAGACTTATGCTCTCATTTATGACTTTCCACAAAAATACTTGACACATGTGAGGATTCTAATATTGCAATGTAAAGATAAAAAATGAATAAAACAAACAAAATGTTGGCTAATACTTCATACAAAATTCCAAAGTATTACATAAAATCATGACAATTGGCACTGAATGATTCCCTAACAGAAGACAAATGGTACAAGAAACCCTAAGATAAAAACTGGTTGATTGATGGACTGCTGCTATATCATCCAGCTACAAATATTATATATTAACATAGTAAAGCCATATGAATATAACCTGCTATGAACAAGACAGAATATATCAATGCTACGCTGGTAGTTCAGAACACTTAATGTTAAAAACAATAAACAAGGTTCATTTATCAGTAAAATATGGAAAATGAAAAAAATATATTTTCACAATTTTGCTTCAAATACTGTATTTTCAATATGAAGAAGCATCTGTCAAAGTTCCATGAAATCCCATTAAGGATTGACAAAGTTATTTATGTATTAAAAACTTCAACTTTAGGCCAGAGTTTTATTATTTGTTGGTTTACAGATTTTGATATGCAAGATTTGGGTCGGTTGGTTTGAAAAAAAAAAATTTACAAGATACTTTGTATAGACTTACTGTGTACTTCAGCTTTATGACATATTAGTGGTCCTTGACAAAATGCTACAGGCTTGACAAAAAATAATAATCATCTTGATTGATTGATTGATTGGTTTTTAACGCCACTTTAAGCACTATTGTGCTATTTCGTGGCGGTCAGTTTTTATTGATGGAGACAGCTGGAGTGCCAGGAGAGAACCACTGACCTTCGTTATGAAAACTGACAATCCTAGTCAATTAAGATTGGAGTTGAGCGCACCTGCCACATGCAAGGTTCGAACTCACAACCTCAGTGTAGACATACTAGTGATACAGAAGTTCTACTACTTAGACCACTGAGGCCCTTACTATCATCTTGATAAAAAACTTGAGCTCTTTCCATTCAGCAATTTTTAAAATGTTCCACATAGTCCTTATCGTTAGCATGATTACAATTTCCTGAAATTAACCAATTGGCATGTTCCAGTGACAAAGACAGTCAGCAGAAAAAATAAATTGAGGTTAGTGTGTAAGGAATTTATTACCGTCGCAACATTTAAAACCAATTTTACACAAAACTCCCATATATAAAAATAAGAAGATGTGGTATGATTGCCAATGAGACAACTCTCCACAAGAGACCAAATGACATAAAAATTAACAACTATAGGTCACCCTACGGCCTTCAACAATGAACAAAACCCATACCAATCTATCTACATTGCGTGCTACATTTAGAGGAAAATGATAACAGTATATGGTAATTTGGTTTTATATCAATTCTTCTCATTATTACTTTTTACCAGAGCCTTGACCACAAACTGAACCTAAATGCCAGAGGCGACTTTTGGGGGAGGGGGTTTGGTGCTACATATATTGTTAATGCATAGACTTTTTACATGTCCCACTCTAAACGATATCTAGTTCCCATCCCCCTCCCTTTTTCAGCATCTGATAAAAAGCATTTACATAAAAAAAATACAAAAATAATATGACAATTCAAAAATATGTATAATAGGAACATTACACAGATAGTGAGGAATATCAAATACTGGTAATATTATTTTAGACTAGTACGTTGTGTTATAAAAACCTCTGTGTTAGCAAGTTTTCAAGTTTGAAACTGATGATTAAAAAATGTCTTAAGCCCACAGCCAGTGACTTTTCTATAATGAAAAACTGGTGTTTTCATACATCTTATCCACACACACAGCCCATCAGACTTTCTAAGCATAAAAGCAAAATACTAAAATAAACAATTTAATCCTTTAATCAGTCCCCTGTAAATTTACCTTCAATGAAAATAAAGCAAGTGCATGATAAATGTGGTCCAACATGCTTGTTTTATTGCAATACATATTCTTCTAAAAAAATATCATTCTTATACAAGTTAAACGATTATGTACATTATTTTCTTTTATCTATGATGGAAAAAATTAAACCAAAGTCTTCATTATACTTTTGGACTTGCTGTAAGTATCGTTCTCTTTATATTTATCTATCTATATTTTATCTGGGTCACTATCCTTTCAACGGTCTTTGAAGGCAAGTAATTGCTGTTCCCGTAATTGAACACACTATTTAGTATTGATGAAAAAGACAAAGAAAACATAATTGATGACCTACTTTTAAACGATTTACAATAAAATACCGGTACTTAAACATGTAGGAATGAAATTAATCGATTATGAAAATTCAGTGAATCACTAAAAAAAGTACAAAAGTATATATATATTTACATATTTACAAAAGATGAGTATTCTTTACTCTGAACACAAGCTGTTAGATATAAAACGGTACAATGCAATCATTTGATATGTAATTTGATATACATTGACATTCATTCAAACATCCAGATACAAATGATCAGATTATCAATTAACTGTACCTTATATATTATAAAGTGATTGGCAAATTTTTTCAAACAAGAAGTAGTAAAATAATTGCTGGAAATATTGAAATGTTTTGTATAATGTATAGGACCTTCAATACTGATATTGTCATTTCAAATAAAAGACATCAATTCTAATTCACATGCTTCATTTGAGATTTATCAACAATAAAGTTTATTTCACATTTGTACAACAACATCTCTTTTCTATTGCATCAGATGCCAGATATATCCCCATGAAATCTTTATTGCCAATTCGTTACTAACAGCACTGTATTTTAATCTATTATCTTTTTCTTCTTTAATCAAAAGCTGAGGGCATACATAAAACATTTTAATCCCCAAATGCGCACAAACGTATTCCATCCATCACTACCACTGCCTCAGTGTCACTGCAGTTTCCTTAAGTAAAATCAATCAAGTATTCAGTGCTTTTGAAGTGCCATGATATCAATTATATTTTTTTACCATTCCAGAACCAGATATGTTTTCATCTGTAACAACTAAGTAATAAAAATTCATGTCAAAACATCTTGTTTAAATTAAATAAAAAAACAAAAGTTTGACATGTCTATGTCTGTTAAAATATACTTGAATTGGACAAAATAAAAATTGTTTCAAAGGTATCAATCAGCAAGGAAAACAATACATTCGAATTTCTAGAGATGCTTCAGTCCAATTTAAAGTCTTGAAAAAGAAACCCAAAAAATCACTGATAATACCCTACCATTTCCTGATTTGTTACCAGAAACACAGATTGTGGTAAAAAGAATTGCAGGAGCACATAGAGTTTTCCATCTTGGTATATCTTGTAGTAGGAACAATGCTGCATAACTTTTCTCTCAGTTAAACACATCGTATGGATTATATTCTGCTGAAGTTTTATATTTTACTTCCTCGTCTGATACTGATGATGATTCTTCACTACTAACATCATTTGCATTTCTTTCAATAGCTGAAGGTTTCTTCAAGTTGCTTGGAAGCTGTTTATTCTTACCTATGAAAGAAATACATATATGCAAACCTCTATTGAGCAGTCAAAGGTGGGGAATACTAAAATTGACCTCAAAGGAGTCCACCTTTGGTCCAACTTGTCACACAAAGACCATAGTACAACTTTTTTAATAAAGTGCATGGAAAATAATTTAATTCAGAAGTTTTATCATTATGATTAACAATCAGTTAAATTGTGATTGATGAAAATGTTCAATTATATACATTTTAGTTTTTTTTTGTGTGAAATATACTGAGAAATTACTTTTTAACTTTTTTAAGTTTAACAGTGTTATCGGCATTTCTTCAATACAATTGACTATTTCAAAATGTATCATATAAGAGCAAATTACCAGAAAGTATAATCACTAAACTGCACATTGGTGGATGGAAAATATATGGGACATTTCTGTAATAATACATGACATTAGCACCTTATAAGGAAATGGGAATAATTTTAATGTTAAAATGGGATCTAATGTACTTACTTTTGGTTAACATAAAAGGTCTTTCATCATCACAAACTTCAGAATCTGATGAACTGTCAACAAACCTTTCAAAATCTACACTTAAATTGGACGGCTGAAAAAAAGACATAGCAGTGACATTTAAAGTTTATGAACCAATAGACCACTTTCGAGTTATGTCCTTCACCGGAAAAGTTCGTCAATTATGCGCGCCTTTATGACGTCATTTACCAGATATAGGGGATCGCCTGTATCCCTGCACTATTAAAGTTCATTAAGCGTCTTCGTGATCGTCATTGTGCAGGATAAACTAGAAATAATGTTTATTCCGTAGGTACTTAATCACAATTCCCTAACGACAGCAGTGCTGATTATCAATTATAAGAATTTAATTTGAGGAATAATTCATGCAATATAGCATCATATTTTTTTCTACCGCTCGCTCAACATGGGAAGGAAGTGATGACGCCAATAATCGCAGGAATGATGTTCACTAAAACCCGTTTTTGACCAAAATGCAACGAACTCGATAGTTGTCTATTCCATTTTATCTGATAAATTTATGTAAAAATCCATAAGTATTAATTAACTGATCCAACTGAATTTTAATGACTAACTGATTGCCTATTGTAGGACAATATTTGTATTTTACCTCACAGTTTAACAATTGTTTAAATTTCTGCTTATTCTCTGTTCCAACCAATTCATAACACATAACTCAAAATGTTCTCATCTGTGATATGCATATAATCTTTGCAGCAGAAATATTAGGAACAACCAATTAACAACAATAATTATGCTAAGTCTTAAAATATACACTCTGCAAATTTTAAAGAAGGTGTAAAGCACCCTTTATTGCTTGTAACATGGGAAAACAAACCTTCTGTTTTTGCCTCAGAAGTCTTGGCCATTGTCCTTTCTCTACTTTCCTTAGAGAAATTCCAACTTCGCTACCTCTGATTTCATATTTACACTTGGCTGGATTTACTTCATCATAAAGCTCATAAAAAAATGAGTATAGTTTCCCATCAACTTTGGTCCTAAAAATAAAACAAGTAAGCAAATTAAATTGTCATTATCAGGACTATTCATAAAAATTTCCAAACATGTTCTTTTTCTAAAGTATGTATATCTTATAACCAACTTTTTTCTGATAACAAACTTTATATATCCCAACTCGTTCGTTATGCCTGTGTCTGTAGTGACGTTTTGGATTTCAATGAACATAATCTATGTATTACGGGTAAATGATTAAGTCAGGAAATTCGTTACCACAAATTACTTAAAACCTTTACTAAATTCTTCCATAGATACAAAGATTTGGTTTGAAAGTTTGGGTATACCTGTAAAAAATTTATTTCAAACGGAATATCACATCCTAAATTGTATGGTGATGTTGTTTACCGACCCTGGGAATTTATATACGATCCTGGTAAACTTATCAATCCTTTAAATAAAATTATTCTAAAAGGTTACCAATTCAACACTGTAATTAGATCTTTGAATATTGTTTTTATTGGTATAAATATTGATTTTGTCATCAGTAAATTAAAATCATACTAAATAGTTTTGTTATACAGATATACATTTAACAGTACTACAGTCTGTCGAAACCTTTATTTTGGCATTGCACAAGGTCATGTTTTTCTCTGACTGTGAATGACGTCTTTACACTAAATCCATTGGATGTTGGATGTGTACTGATTGATATATTAGTCTTAGATACATGATTTTTTATATTAGTTGTTATTGGCTGTCAGTAACTGCGAGTACTCCCGGATCTGTACTTAGTGTCATTTTTGTTGTTAGGGATGAGGGATGGATAAATACCCTGCCACATCCGGTCTGTGTTAATGTTTGATGTTTATCTTCTTTGTATTGATCTGATGAGTTCAGCCTTCATCAACTGATTTTTATAGTTTGTTCTTATGTTGTGCTGTTACACTACTGTCCCAGGTTAGGGGAGGGTTGAGCGCTCACAAACATGTTTACCCCTGCCACATTCTTTATGTGCCTGTCCCAAGTCAGGAGCCTGTAGTTCAGTGGTTGTAGTTGGTTCATGTCTGTCATATTTTTTTTTTTCGTTAATTTTTTTGTTATGAATTAGGCCGTTAGTTTTCTCCATTGAATTGTTTTATATTTTTCATGTCAGGGCCTTTTATAGCTGACTATACAGTATGGGTTTTTCTCATTGTTGAAGGGCCGTACGGTTGCCTATAATTGCTTACATCCACTTTATTTGAACTTTGGTGGATAGTTGTCTCATTGGCAATCATACCTCATTTTTTAATGAACATGTGGTTTTAAGTTGCTGAACCTTCTATTGCTATTAAAATTTTAAAAAAAATAAGTATTTCATTTGTCAATAAAAGTATTATGAAATTATCAACTGAGTCTCAAAATAAAAAATGTGCTTTTCTTCATTGCTTCTCTCATAATCAGATATTAGTATTAACGTGTATGAATATCACTTCAGGAAATATGAATGGTAGTAAAACTTATAACAGTACATGACGAATGGTCTATTCCTAAATTCTAATTTGTTAATTTCAATGAGATTATCTTTTCAACAATATTTTGTAAGGTTCAATGTTTTTCATTCTTTTTGCCTGTAATTGCTCAATCAATACTCTGATACTTTCTTCTTGTAATTTCAAGTATTTTCAAGGAAGTTATGGGTTCATGAAAACAAATTCTATACTGACTTGAATTCCAGAGTCCTTGGTTGGAAAGCAATATGACATGTGACCACAGCTTTAATCTTTATACTAACAACTACTATAAAGGTATTCTGTACCCAATGCACTGGAGGTTGTGCCCTGAAAGTAACAAATCAGAAGGTTTTATAGCAAACACTACAATATATTGAAGTCTTTCATTTGTCAATGGATAAATAATATGACATTCACTTAAAAATCGACTACATGGATGCTACTACCTATAACTTTTAATATCTGGAAATTACCTACAATTTCAATATGAAGAAAAGAAGTGTATGTTATAAATCAATGAGACTAAAACCAAAAATACAGAGCAGATGGTCATTCTGCAAATCAAAATGCTCAGCAAGGGCTTAAATCATATGTCAAGGTCTAAATCATCCTCTATCTATACAAAAGGTGATAGATTTAACAAAAATGACCAAACATTTCTAGGTAGATACATCTTGTTTTGCTGATAATATCTGCAATATAATTTTCATTAATCTGCTATAGTTCATGAGATTGTACCATAAAACTGTGAAATTTGCTAAAAATAAGTGTTTCTGCCTTTCAGGGGCCATTGCTCCAAAATAAGTTAGTCATATTTTTCTGAAATTTCAAATTAAATAGATTCTGTCCTGCTGATCGTTTTTACTTAGTTATTTTTGCTCTAAGGGCATTAGCTTTTAAAAGATCATAGCAAGACTTGATTATTCGGATGGTTTTTTTAATAATGGCTAACAAATATACAATTGCATCACCATAGCGAAGTAGTGCAATAAGTGAATGTCCTGAAGGTTACAGAATAAAAAAATAAAAGATTTTTGTAAATATTCAATTTTCAGTCATGGATATTTTAATTTGTAATGACAAAAAAATCATATTTAAAAATAAATGCTAAAACAATAACAGAATATCTATTATATACTCACCCCTGTTTGAGACTTTCAATATGCCCAGTTGGTCGGTTTGTTATAGAAGTTGATTGAGGTACTTTAACTACTAGGGCATGGTATAATGTCTGGCAATGTTTTCTTGTATCCTCAGAAATGTGGACTGAATTCAAGATCCTTTAATAAAAGAACCCCAAAGTTTATTGTAAATAAGCATGTTAGAAAACTAATTTGATATAAAACAATGGTTTGTTAGTAAAATGTTCTACTGACTTACGATTGATATAAGTTTTAGGTAACATTTTGTTATTGTTAAATACAGGTTACAAATGGCTTATAATTTCAGGTATGTTGACTGATTTGAAGATCTAGTCATTCTGATCAGTATTACTATTAACAATTTCTCTCCATATATTGTAGTTTACAAAAAAAACCCACTAAATAGTCATTCAAGGGCAATAACTCTTATAAGGAGTCAACTGACAATTTAAGCAATGTTGGCTTTAATATTAGTAGATCTTGTCCTGTTGTTAATTTTTCTATTCAGTTGCTCACCATCTACAATAGTTTTGGCAAAAAGATATAAAATAGGTAAAAAACATTTGACAAAGGCAATAACTAAAAGGAGTCAACTGACAATCTGGCCCTGTTAACTTATTAGTAAATCTTGTCCTACTGATCATTTTTACCTTTAATAGTTTCTTAATATCTATTATAGTTTCTGCAAAGAAAAACACCAAAAAATGAGTAAATTTCAATCTTTTAAGGGAAATATCTCCTCAAAGAGTCAACTGAGGATTTAGCTTATTTGATTTTAATAGTGCATCTTCAACTATGGCCACTTTTATACATTGAATACTAGAATATAATTCATGACTAAAATCTCTTTCCATCTATAAAGGTTTACATGATAAAAGACAGTATTTGCATTTTACCATTATGTTTTACTTTTAGCCTTGGCAGCCATGTTGGTTGGCAGGGGAAATCACTTGATACATTTTTTAAACTAGATACCTTTATGATGATTGTGGCCAAGTTTGATTCCATTTGGCCCAGATGTTTCAGAGGAGAACATTTTTGTAAAAGTTAATGGAGAACACCAGAGGCCAAGTGATTGCAAAAGCTCAGGCCAGGTGAGCTAAATATGTGGCATGGTTAAAAATGTCTTTCAGTGTCCAACCTTCCCCCTAACCTGGGACTGTGGTGTAACAGTACAACATTAGAACAAACTGTAATAACAAATAGAAAAACTCTTGGATTCATGAGATTAAGTAATCCAGTTGTAACTCAACACCTGCATTTTTTTTTAAAACATCTCTTTAAAAAATCTAAATGTTTATCTGCTCATATCCATAAATCTAACATGTCCATCTATCTATAAAACTAAAGAAACAGAATGTTCACTTTGCATGGTATGCAGTTTGGACAAGATTGAAGTTTCATCTGGGCCGTACTGTAATCTTGTATTTAATCATTTTTTTCTGACACTTTTATTTCTTCTTCAGCCAAATTGCAATTATTTTCTACTCTCAAATGTAATGGATATGAATATACCTTGTTAATATGACAGCTACACCATATTCCAATAAAATTGTTTTGTTTTTCCTGTTGTCATGGCAATAGTTGTCACAAAGCTTTACACCATACAGTATACACTATAAACAGAAATTGCTTTTACAATGATCAAACTCTATAATATTTTTTGCATATTGGCATATATATAACATCGTTTTAGCTCAGCACCAATTGCATAACCAAGCATCAGCTAATTTGCATTTAATTTGTTATTTTTTGCAATTATTTTTTTGATACACAATACCTTTTTCCAAAATTTTCTTATGGGCAAGTAATACTGAGATAAGTCTCATGTGTGTGTTATCTCAAAAGTTCTTTGCAAATATTGTAATTAAAATGGTGAATATTCAATATGTAAACTATGCAAAAGTTTCAAAGTCAAGGACCATGACCGAGGGGGCATGAAAACAAAAAATCTTAGATCTGAACGATGCATATTTTATTCAAAGTAAGAAAAATTACTTCCTTTTTTGGCTACAATCCATGTTGCATTTGAGCAATTGCATTCATTACCAAAACTGGATACTAAAGTAAACAATTTTTACAATATAAAACATACAAGAGTAAGTAAAATATATCAAAATGTATTGTAAAATATCAGTTGGAATGCAAACATGAAGTTTTTTTTATTGAGAAAATTGAAGGATAATAAGCAGAGTTACAAAATGTACCATTATCATCAACAACTTCTATGTATTCACCTATCTTATTAAAATCTAAATTGATGCTTAATATCAAATCAATATCTTTATAAACTTTGTGTAGTGGATCAACTTAATAACCCAAAAGGCCAATGTTCATTCGTATTTTTGAAATTGCTTTTGTTTTAATTACTGTAGTTTTCTCTACTCATCTTATACTTCTTTCCAGAAACATTTGCTTCCAAAAATAATACTATTAAATTCATTACGAATGAGATTTTTTCTTTCTTTAGTTAAATGGAAATCAAATAAACAATACAAATTAAAATTTTATTGAATCATAATCTGAAAAGCAATAGAATTTATTAACTCTTTACATTCTTTTGGAATTCAAACAAACTGGGACCAACAAATATTCCTGTATTAATCCCAGAAACAAACAACTGTATTTTTGTTTTAAAAGGTTTTCTGACCCTTTAATCACAATGTAAACATTCTCATGTCAGCTGAAATATTGTTTGAAAGAAAAAGACATCACAATTGTCAAATGTCAGATTTTTGTTTAAATTTGCTAGAAGGCTATTTTGGAAAGTTGTTCGAAATAACAAAAAATAATAAAAGCATTTTATTTGTATACAATTAAATTTGATTAAAATATTTGTCCATTTTAACTTTTTTTGAGGAAAAAAATATTTCTGCAACTATACCTAATAATATTCTTTAATTAATTAAACATAAACAAATCATTATGAAGATTTTTTTTGTTTTGGTTTTTAAATGAATACAATTATCTAATACTATTTATTTGTTAACTTCAATACTTATTACTACAAAGTCTGGAAAATTTAATTTAAGTTAAATAAAATATATAAAATCAGTGATAAAACATAATAACTACAAAACAAATACTGACAGATTAAATTCAAACCATTAAAATTTACCTTTACAATTGTATGGACTTAATCATGTTTGATTGTTATCAGGACAACTTCCTGTTTACAAAGGTGTGGATTATACAACAACTTCTTTGATATATTGATAAATATCTATGAAAATTAAGACTTTTTTAAGTTAATAAATTTGTTTTAAAAATTTATTGTAACTTACTTAACTTTTGCAGAAACAAAATGTGTCAAGTCAAAAGTAAAATTTCAAAAGCCAATCAAATTGCCATCAGACTGACAATATCCTTATCGCTGCACAATGGAATTATTATGTGATATGCAAATCAGGAATCTGATTACAGTAGTTGTCGTCTGTTTATGTAGTTCATACGTGTTTCTCGTTTCTTGTTTTTATATAGATTAGACTGTTGGTTTTTCCGTTTGAATGGTTTTACACTAGTAATTTTTTGGGGCCCTTTATAGCTTGCTGTTCGGTGTGAGCCAATGCTCCGTGTTGAAGGCCGTACCTTGACCTATAATGGTTTACTTTTATAAATTGTAACTTGGATGGAGAGTTGTCTCATTGGCACTCATACCACATCTTCCTATATCTATATAAAGAATATTGTTAAAGACCGTATGCTGACCTCTAGATGTCTAGATTTTTATTCTATTATTTAAAAAATCACAATTACTTTTATTTCTATGTCTAGAAAATGTATATCCATTTGTGATACATGTATATCTAAAATAAGTAATTATAACCAAGTAACTTGTCTTGTCTCTAACCTGTATTTATCAGGATACTGTACAATTCATTTTGTATACTTAGGGACATGGTGGTCTCTTCTTTGTGTTTAGAAAATTAAAACTGAAGAAGCTTAGTTGACTTGCAAAATAAAAGTTCCTTTAAAATACCTCCCTTCCTTCAAAACCTAATCAGCTTTCTTTGTTTCACTTCAGAGATCTGTTGTTGATACCAAAAATATGTTATCAAATAAATTTATTACAAGGTGTAATGGTGTTAAAGTATATTTCTTCACTATTGTTATATCAAGTTCGTTTTTTAAAATTGATGTAATGGATAGATGGAGATAAAAGTATGCATACCTCTTTTATTAAAATATGGACCACTGCATGTATTCCTTACAAGGTACAAACTTAATAATAAAAGCTGGAAAAGTTACAGAATTTGGAAAAGAGAGAAGAAAGAATGGAAATCCTTTTTAAATAAGTTGTTTATTCAAATTATAATAGCAATTGCTGAGGAAATTATTTGTCAGGTATTATGCGTTGTTTTGGTATACAAATGCAATCATTTATCTAATTAGACATAAGATTTTTCACTATCTAGACAAATCTTCTTTAAAAACTTACCCAACACTTAAATCGCAAATGCTAAAATGAATTGCCCTTGAATAAACAAAATCAGAATTAAAAGGGAAAGTTTTCTTTTGGGTTGGATTTTTTTTTCAATTAAAAAAATTAATAAGAGAAAAGAACTATCACTTTGGTTATCATTTTTGATCATGTGCAGCAAAATGTCTGTCATTAATATTCCTGTCTCTATCAGCGACACCTATTAGGTATAGACAAATCCCTCTGTTGGTGGTATTGCAAAACATGAGCTATGAGCAATGCCAGATCAATAAAGGTGTAATAATAATTAGGTGTGTTTGATGCCATCCTATCAGTTTCCATGTGTCATAACATGACAGTAGATTGTGATTGAAGGAAATTAGAGCATACAGTATTGAAGGGAAAAAGTATGTTCAATTATCATTTTCACCTTCACAAGTTTTCAGTCAAGTTCATTGAACCCATTCATGTGTAACATAAAATAATGTCCCCCATGAGATATTGTATGTCTGACAAAATTTCATAAAAAATATTGTCTGCTGACACTATTTCATAATGAAACACTGTCCAGGACAATATTCCTTGCCCATGACATTTTGTCACTCCTTCTGGTAAATATTTCATAACGTCCTTCTGTAACAATATTTCACTGCGAAATTCTGTCCATGACAATATTCACTGTGAAATACTGTCCATGAAAATATTTCTTTGTCTAATAATGACTTCCCTGAGAAATCTTCTGCCATGAAATTATTCTGTTATTCTGTATCTATCAATCAAATTAACTTTTCTAATGAAGTTCTGGACTTTATTTCTTTATTTTCAATTTGCTATCTTTAATATTATCAATGATTGAAAATCCCAAAGTGAAAGAAAATAATAAGTGTCACCATTATGTCACTAACTAACATGTGTATGTATGATATTATCTTGTCTTTTTTTTCACAGAATAAAAATAAATAAAACACTAAAGAACTGTTTTTGAAATTAACATCATTTAACTTTTTGATCTTATCTTCATTATTTCCTGTGTGAAAAGAAATGATGAACTAATGTTTTTCTTTTGATCTCTAGAAATAATTGTATTACAAACAGTTAATCATCTACACCAGATTTAATCCTTTTTAGCACCTTTCCTTGTGTGCCCTTTAGGGACAAATGGTCATTGTCTAGTACAAAGGGCTCACAGTGGGGGATTAACAAGAAGGGGTGTGGCAGTTTGAATGACAAGCTGTCATAACAGACATGTGTAAAATGACTTGAGTATCAATGCATGTGTGAAGTCTGCTGAGTATAAATTAAAAATCATGTCTGAGATGGAATCATAAAAGAATAAGGTCCCAGATAGACAACAAGTGCTTTTTTTTTAGAGGAATATGGCTGACCATAATGTCCAACTAAAACAACTTTTGAAAACTCAGGAAAAGATAACTACACACCAGAAATTAATTGGTAATTAATATTTTTTATTATTTTTAATTAAAGTGAAATAACCAAATCATAAAAGACAAATTGCAAAAACTAAGGACTGATATATTGTTAATGTTATAGTCCAAGAGAGACTCATTTATACTAAACATTTCATAAAAAAAAATGTCTTTTTAGATTTCCTCAGCAAAATTTAAACACAATAGAAGAAGCAGTTTTATTTAAACATAAGGAAACAGAGATGATAAACCAGAAGCAATTTCGAAATTTGTAATGCATCTTATAAATTTATAGGCAATAAATTAGATCTGACACAATAAAAATCATGCCACAGGTAAAATTCTGCAAGCATCCTTAAAGGGCAAGAAAATTTCAATGTTACGAAAGTAGACAAAAAAAATTAATTTCTTCAGGTAAATGAATGCATACTTCAATAACATTTTTACCAATGATAATTTTTATTTTTCAGAAATCCAAATAAGACAAAGTGACCAAAGACTATTTAAAAGTACAATAGATGAAAATATGTCTGTTCAAGTCCAACAACTTACCAGGAAATCTGTTCTGGAGGGAATGGCTAAGGTGTTAATCAAAATCAAAGAATCAACAGACAAAAAGATAGAAGCACTGGCTCATTGTGATACAGATACAGACTTCACACTTCACTCATCAATGGACAATTCAAACAGTCAATCTTATGGAACATCACTCTTGAATTTGAAAAGAGATAAGTTTGCAGGACCAATTACAGAACTTTTTACACTTCAAAGAAATGTATGATGCAGGCTGAGCCTAAGTTTTAAGATAGTGCTGGAGATTTACTTTGTGCTTAGGAGTTATTGAAAATACTGACAGTGCTAATAGATTTAATGGTGCTTTATTGTTTCCTTATGTGTCAAATACAGTTTATGTGTCATACAATGCTAAATTTAAGATAAATTCATGAAACTTAACATGCGTTTGTTTTTACTACTTAAGTCTGAGTTAAGATCAGATAATTTTGGTTGCCTAGTCTCTACATTCAAATGGTAATTGGTTGAATTTTATTTTAAATGTCTAGCTCTCACATAACAAATAGAATTAAATCATGTAAGAAAGTGAAAAAGTAAGTCCAGGGAAAGTTGATTTTACATGAGGTTGGTGATACTGAGGATTAATTTTTGTCTCGCCTTGACGGAGTCAAAAAGCGAGACATAGGTATGCTGTTTCCGGTGGCAGCGGCGTCAACAATGTATTAGTTTGTGATTAGGTCTAGTTCATGGTGAACCACTAGTGGTAGGTCAATGATATTTGGTATGCAGTTGTATTAGCATTGGCACATTTCATTACCACAGAGATTATTTGGCCCCGCCCCCTTAGTCAAGGTCTATTGACTTTGAAACTTTGCTTAGTTTACATGTATGAGTTTGTGATTAGGTCAGTTTAAGAGGAACCACTAGTGGTAGGTCAATGATATTTGGTATGCAGTTGTATTAGCGTTGGCACATCTCATTACCATGGAGTTTATTTGGCCCCACCCCCTCAGTCAAGGTCTATTGACTTTGAAACTTTGCTTAGTTTACATGTATTAGTTTGTGATTAGGTCAGTTTATGGGGAACCACTAGTGGTAGGTCAATGATATTTGGTATGCAGTTGTATAAGCATTGGCATATCTCATTTCCATGGAGATTATTTGGCCCTGCCCCCTCATTCATGGTCTATTGACTTTGAAACTTTTGCTTAGTTTTCATTTATTAGTTTGTGATTAGGTCAGTTTAAGGGGAACTGTTAGTGGAAGGTCAATGATAATTGGCATGCAGTTGTATAAGCATTAGCACATCTCATTTCCATGGAGAATATTTGGTCCTTACCTCTTAGTCATGGTCTATTGACTTTGAAACTTTTGCTTAGTTTACATGTATTAGTTAGTGATTAGGTCAGTTTAAGATGAACCACTTATGTTAAGTCAATGATATTCGGTATGCAAATATATTGGCATTTGCAAGTTTCATTTCCATGGAGATTATATAACCCAACCCCTAATTATGGTTCATTGACTTTGAAACTTTTACATAGTTTACAAGTTAATGTTTGTGTTTAGGTTTGTTTAAAGGGAACGACTTATGAAAAGTCAATAGTATTTGGTTTGCAGTTGTATTAGCATTGGCACATCTCATTTCCATGGAGATTGTTTAGCCCTGTACCTTCAGTCATGGTTCATTGACTTTGAATATTTGCATAACTTTCATGTTAAAGTATTGCTATTTTAATTTCAACATTTGCATTATCAAAATAACAAATAGGCAAGACATATCTCTGTGTTAACAGTTTATTTTGGAGGGTTTAAATTTTCGTGGATTCAGGAATATTTATATATTTTTGTGAATACTTGATATTGTGGATTTTACAAATTGGACTAAACAATTATGGCTTTAATATCTGTACCTTTAAAACAAATGATCTATATAATATATTAAGGGCATACAATACAGTAGCAATGACAGATAATTATGCATCCAAATTGAACTCATTGTTTTCACAACATTGCTTGTGATAAGCATAGAAAACTTGTAGAAAAATCACTAACCTCATCAAATCGGGTACATGAATTTGAAAGTATTTGCAATGAAAATCAAACATTTAGTAGATTTAAGCATACAAAATCTACTGCTGAGGCAAATGAAGACTGTTTACTTTTCTATCTTCAATAAATATGTATATGACAGTATTTACTATACTATAAATAAAATAAATGTTTTGGTGAACCATTTGGGTTGGAAAATTCCACCAGAAAATTCAAGAGTAGAGAGAGAAAAACAAATCATGTGAATACACAGAACCCCGATCCAATCCTTCTTTTGCTAAAAGAGTTCATTATTCCCTATTTTATATCTACTAAAAGCAGGAAACATGTAAATATCAAACTCTAATATGACGTTCTTCAAACGCTTTGAGTACTGCTCGTGGTAAAATATTTAGCATAAAGGGCCAACACGTGGTAAAATCAGTATAAATTCAAGCCCCCACGAATTATTTCTTAACTAAAAAAATATCCAACAATGGTGTTGATCTAAATTGACTTTGTGTCCAAACTATGAGGAAAAAATCTACGATAGACCTTTTCTGTATTGTATGCCCTTAAAGATAGAATTGACCACATGAGTTTGTTTATTAAGACATTCAAAAAGTCTGAATCATTCAAGACTTTGTATATTTGAATTTGATGCTGTAAAGTTGAATAAGTTTTTTACCATGACTTTGCAGAACACATTCCAAACTTATCTATGACATACCCTGTCTGACTTTGTATATTATAAAATGGGGATGTAAATGTGAATAATGTTTTACCATGACTCTGCAGACAAGAATTTCACCTTTATTTGCAAGTCACACCTTATGGAGTTGGGCAACAAATAATACCAAATTTCATTAATATCCTTCAAGGCATTAAAAATTTCTGAACCAGAAACAACCTGCACTGATATATGAACACAGAGCTAAAGTGATTCCTACATTCCCCTAAACTTCGTTCCTAGGGTGTATCATAGGAAAACCTCCTACTTTACATGTAATACTGTACAACTCATCTCTGAAGAATGAGAATGGTCCTACTTATAACCATTCACATTGTTACTAAGAGTGTTTTGATACTTAATCTTAACTTCAACATGTATGATATGGTAGTTAAAGATAAGAATTTATAAATAATAATAATATAATAATTCTTTATTTAAAGAGGGTTACACAGTTAGCTATAAAACATTCTCTGAGGCCCTAGTATTGGTATGAAACAAATGAGAAGTTGAGTGAATAGAGGACAACAACTTAACAGCATATGCATACTTAAGATAAACAAAAACATGTCATTTGTTTTACTGTATGGCACACATGTGTCTACATGTAGCAAGTGGGGTTTAATTTGATGATGTTCTACATTTTTTAACATACAATTAGTAGTCTAAGAGAAATGGCTAGAAGGATTCCACAAAGTCCTGGTCTAGTGTTTTGATTTTTGTCGTGCCTCCACAAAGCTAAAAAAGTCTAGTCTTACCTGTGTTGTTTCAAGCAGCAGCGTTAACAATGTATTAGTTTGTGGTCAGGTCAATTTATGGGGAACCATTAGTGGTAGTTTAATTATAGTTGGCATGCAGTTATATGAGTATTAGCGCATCTCATTTCCATGGAGATTATTTGGTACCACCCCTCAGTCATGGTCTATTGACTTTGAAACCTTTGCTTTGTTTACATGTATTAGTTTGTGATTAGGTAAGTTTATGGGGAACCATTTGTGGTAGGTCAATGATATTTGGTATGCAGTTGTATTAGCGTTGACATATCTCATTTCCATGGAGATTATTTGGTCACATCCCCTCAGTTATGGTCTATTGACTTTGAAACTTTTGCTTAGTTTACATGTTGTCACAGGGTGACTTTGTTTACTCACATATATGTTGTTATTTTGGTTGTTAATTCTATTTCGATTTGCAGAACGTCAGTATCTTATAAATGCTATATTCTGCAGACTTCGGTGTATAATACATGTCCACATTTTACATCTAATTAATTAAGTAGTGTCCACTATTTACTTGGGCATTTACCTGTAAACTTGTCGAACGGGTTGAGTAACAGTGATACCTGTATTTGATGAGCTGACTATTCACTCTCAGGTAACACCTTAACGAGTCAAGGTGTGGTCAGAAATGTTTGTATAAAGTTAGTTTACAATGTGGCGTGGACACACACACTGGATTTCTGAGGTAGGATTCAATTTATTCTTATTTATTTAATCATTATTCGTTCTAAAGTGTTCAGTTTTCTGCAACAACGCAAATATAGAATAATTATTTCAATTGTAATTGTAATTTTGACATTGCTATTTTATAAATGTAATAAGTTAATTAATGTTCATTATAATGAAAGTTTAACACGGTTATATGTTTCCGGCTGTAGTAAATATTCGAGTATCGAAATTGTTTGGTATTTTAGGAACGTTTGCGTACAATAATGCAATGATGTATGTATCTCCATAAGTATGTAAAGTAATATGCAACGTATAAGCATAAATGTATATTCAGCGTTAAAAGCTGTATATTGTGTGTAGTAATTGTATAATGATAGTATACAATAAAGTCAATTATGTGACTTGTAAAGTAAGGCATTGTACGATATGCCGTAGTTTGTATTGTGTAAAGTAAGGCATTATACGATATGCCGTAATTATTTGTGTATAAGTAATGCATTATTCAATATGCTATAATCTTCTATAGATTGAACATAAGTAGTCGTACTAAGTATTTGTCATTATTTATGCGACATGTGTAATACATAAACATATGTATATTTCTTAAGTATAGTATTGTATCTTAACGTACAGTATGTATTTCAATAGGTCCCAGTTTGCGGGCTAGGTGTATGTAGTTTTGTATAGTAAAGTATGGAGATATAGTACAGATGGTGGTGAAACCTGTTGACAGTGCGGCGTTCCGTGTTTATCATAAATAGTTTGGCAACATAGAATATTTGGAGTCGAGTCTAGACAATAGGGCAGCCGTAATGTGTACACCGCTTATGTTGGGCCAGTTTTGTGTAGTTACCGAAAACCAAATACGTAAAATTCCGTAGTATCGTTTATCCAGATTTCATAGTTTAATATAAAGAAGAAGGAACAGTTCATTAAACATTTGACAGTATTATTTCATTTGATTTCATCTATTTATATTTGTAAATTTGTACCTAATTAAATTGTTATTTTGTTTAAAGTAGTAGTCATTTATTATCTGTAAGTACAAACTCCTAAGTCAGCTCTCGTCTATCCGTGACACATGTATAAACAAGTTATAATAAGGTCAGTTTAAGAGGAACCATTAGTGGTAGGTCAATAATATTTAGTATGCAGATGTATTAACATTGGCACATCTTATTTCCATGGAGATTATTTGGCCCTTCCCACTCAGTCACAGTCTCTTGACTTGAAGCAGAGTTTTTTAATTTTAGAAAAAGTTTATTTCTAATTTAAAAAGTGATAGAAAAAAGAAAAGAAATAGATAGCCTTAAATAAATTAATCAGATGAAAAAAGCCTTTTAATAGCCAAGACCCTATGGAAATCTTTGTTTCTCTTCACTTGGCTGATGGCAAGAATCCCAGACTAAGACTTTTGGCTTACCTTTTCAGACTGACTCTTGTCCAACACAGATACAACTGCTCTGATTAGTTTATCTTTCCTCAGATGATCGGCACTTCTGTAACAACAAGTAATTTCTATTGGATGAGGATAATTTAAAGTGTAAACCATTAATGTCAACTATTGTCAACAGCTATACCATTCAACTTTGTTTTCACCAAGTTTGATCTAATCTAAAAATCCATTATGCTGAAGCTAAACTACTACACTTAAGAAGGCTCAATGGTATTAAATTTACCACCCACTACATTTGGAGTACTTTAAAGATAAAAATAGATTTGGCGCTGTAAAAAATACATATTCTAAACTGAGTATTATGATCGATTAAAAATGTTGAATCCTTTGCTTTTGTCTTTAAATGATTAAGTGTTTCATTGATTACTAATTTTTTTTACAGCTTGATGAAGAGATGTGAAGTTCTGGTTATCAAAGATGAAAAATTGGTGAAATTTATTATCTTTTACTAGTTGGTTCAATACACCTTATCGCTATTTGTCCGCCATTACTGGACATCACAAAAGTTCCCATAAAATTTTGACATCATAATAGAAAATATCTGACGCCACAATGGAAAAGTGATTGTTGTATGACGTCAAAAGTTCAAGCGGGACAGATTCTCGGGTTAAGCGGGAATAGCGACAAGGTGTATTTGTATATTGTGTATCACATGTATTAATAACAAAGCATATTTTATGTGTGGCTCCAGTTAACCTTACACTCCAAATGAAACCAAATTATCTCTCCTTTCCAACAAAGTTTCTTATGTTTGTGATTAAAGTGAAATATATTACTCAACTCTATGTTGACCTATATTTTCTACTGGTTACTAAGCTGTACTCTAGCTTGTTCCTTGAGAAATTTGAGCAAAATCTTTAATAAACAGATTCTTTTTGGTGGTTACACTACTTGAATATTTCAACACCTCTATTTTTCCTATTACTTCAATGCAAAAAATAAGAACAATTCACACAGTGGTCACTGTACTTGTACATAGATAAGCATCATGGCCTTGTGCAAGAATGACTTGCAAACTTGTGAAGTGTTACATATTTAACCGTCTGACTTACAGCAATAAGTAGTTGTGTAAAAAGTTAAGTACCCTCAACAAACTAACAGTGATCACTATTTTATCCCCAAAAAATTCAAATATGAGAAAATTAGAAATTTATTGACACAAAGTTCTTATACCCTCTAGCCACATTAAGTGACTTTACATTAGATTTAACAGCATTCCACCAGGCCAGTAAAGAAAAAACTGAATTGACTACAAAAGTTTGATGTTAAATGATTGGTTTATGCTGAAAATTTACCTTATCTGTGGATTCATTTATTTTCGTGGGTATAAATTTTCGTGGATTGAGGGAAACTTTCATTTTTGTGGATATTTGATTTTCATGGTTTTGCCAATCTCTGCATACAAAGCCTATACAAAACTTAAAATTAGTTGAACATTTGTTAACCTGTACCCATGAATCACACGAAAATAGGTATCCAATGAATAATAATGAATCCACAGTAGACCTGTTTTGTAGATCAGGAACAGTGAAATTAGTGCCAGACTTTCAAAAAAATTAGAGTCAATTTTGGAAAATATGACTGTTTTGGAAATATTGGTATATACATGTAGGAGTTGTTCAAACTAAAACCAACGAATAAGTTCTCTTCCCATTCAGTAATATATATCTATATAATAAAAGTATTCTGAATTGTTACAAATGCAAGAAATGCTCACCTTTCCATCAATTTAACAATGCTCACCTTTCCATCAATTTAACAAGGTATTTTAAGGCAGCTTCTTCTACACTGGTATCACTTATCTTTTCTAGGTGTTTCTGTGCTACTGTACAAACATCAAAACTTTGAGCCCATTCATATATTCTGGAAAATTATTTAAAATATAAATAATTTTAATTAAATCAATACTGTTAACTGTCAATAGCAAAAGTCAATCAATCTACAGTAAGATAATTTATTATCAGTATTTACAGTATGATACTTCAGGTACTTTTTGGTTTGATCAACTCTTCAATGTTTGTATAAGTTTTAGTTTTTCAAATATTTTGGCCTTGAACATCACTGAAGAACATTTATTGTAGAAATGCACATCTTGGTGCAGTAATATACCATATATGTACATTGTCGGAAAATATAAAATTTATTTGTATGAGCTTTAGAAACAGGACGAAAAGCGAGGCTCGCCGAGCTTTTCTCCTGTTTCGCAGCGAGTACAAATAAATTTTATATTTTCCGACAATGTACATATATTGTTTTTATCCTGAAATTTACACCCAACACTTGAAACTTTAGTTATTAAAATCTAAATCATTGTCTCTAATTTTTCAAAGAAATCGACATAGTTTAAACGCGGACCGCGAAGAGGACCCCAAAATGAACTGGTACGCAAAAAGAAATATCCACATTACCGCTTGCTCAACACGGAAGAGGAGTAACAGGAGACTTTATTTGTACAAGTACAAATAAAGCAAAAAATTATTTGTGTACCTGTTATTTGTACAATAGCTGGCTGATTGCAGGATAAAAATTGGTACTGTTAATGTTATTATTAAGAAGTGGCAAATTTCTTTCATAAAGGATATAATGATTCAATCATAATAACCAAGAAATGTAATCTTGTTTTCAATCTTTCAAAACAGTTGTAAACTTAACATACCTGCTTGATAAAACACAGAGTGAAGATAGAGCTGCATAGATTTCCACAAGAGTCTGAAAAATAAAATAATAATACATTAAAATTATGAGGCATATGAAAAGGTGTTTTCCTACTCATAACTGAAGACAATGTGGGTTAGTTGTTTGTTTGTTTTTTAATACTCTATATACATCTGAGATACTGTTGTAATTATATCTAACCTATATCATTTAATTTCATATGAAATAAGGAAAAAGATATTAAATTAATATTAAAGAACAAGTAACAATCAGCAAAATGTTCATATATCAAAGGACCAGCACTTGATTTACTCCTTTTCCTGAACTTGACAGTCACTAATAGGACGTCATCAATATCAAGCTAGAGTAGAGAACTCAAATGAAACATATATTTTTCATGACACATTTTTATTTTCATGAATAATATTCATTAGGTATGCAAATTAGATAAGGATGACTGTTCAATTCAATCTTTAAAGAAGCTGAATTCTTTTCTAATGTGAATAACTGCTGATGGTACATGATTTTTAACCTATTTATGCAGGAGTACACCTATAAGAAAATAACATAAGGATTATTGTTTTAATTGCCAAGTTGCATATTCTCTTACCTCAAGAAGAAAATACACTACTTACATTCTAATAACTCTACGAAATGTTTCTATCTTCAAAAACCAAGTATGCTGCCCAAATTATTAATTTAAAATAGGTACAGCTCTGATATTCTTTTCTGAATACAAACATCCACTTCCCTTTTTCATCACATTTAATATATAACAAGTAAAACTGCGAGCTACTGCTCACTGATGATACCCCAATCCCAAATATTTGACGGTAAACAGGAAGTTGTTGAGTGATCAATCTGAAAACGCATCACACGGTATAGCCAACTTATATAAACCCTGAAACCAAATTTCAGAAATCCTTGTATTGTAGTTCCTGAGAAAAATGCGACGAAAAATTTTCATGGGACGGACTGATGGACTGACGGATGGATGGACCGACAGAGGTAAAACAGTATACCCCCATATTTTTAAAGCGGGGGTATAAATATCAAATAGTGTTCAAGGAGAAGTAAAACTTCTTCATATGCTAATCAGTTACTTATAAGCATACTTACAGAGATCCTTTCTGTGACGTCCAGAAACTGGCACAATATCTCTATTGTACGCCTGTTATTAAACACAGATAAGAAGCTGAAAATAATTAAAGACACTATTTCAAACAATTTTTTCAAATACTCCACTTTAAACAGATATTTAAGTTCTCAAATTGTTGTTACAATCTTGTCCAAAACAATGTCCATTCATGTCAACAGTTTTGTTAACACAATACATATATACTCAAATTCCCATAACTAACATCCTGCAATATAATTCATCATTTCCCCCCCCCCAAAGCTTAAACAATAATTTGTTTTATCCTAAAATCACATTTTTTTTACAGAAATGGCCCTACATATATCCAATACACTAAAAGTTCATAGTAAATTCATTAAATGAGAGAAAATTATCACAAATCTAATTGTTTCAAATGTAAATTTTCACATAACATTTGAAATCCATCTATCTACATGTTAAAGTTCTTCAACTTTGAAGAAAATTCTCTAAAGGAAAATTTAACTATCTAGTGAGGACTCACCTGTTGCTGATTTCCAAGAACTTATCTATAGATATTATTGCTTGTTCTTGTATATCTGGTCTACAGTTCTGTAAAAAACAATATATTTTCACTCACTTGTAAGGAGAATTTCAAATCGAAATTAATGTATAGTATGCTTTAAAATTCTTCTGAAATATTTAGGATAATAGACTGAAAATGAAATATATAAACACGATTTTCTTTCTAAACTTTTAATTATAATCTGCTCTCTGCAAAGTAAATATTTCTTAAAAGATTTTTTGGTATCTATATCATGATGGTTGTAGACTGGATGATTTTCAGGGCACTGATCGGTTAAACAAATGGACCTAAATTTTTACACTTAAAAACTGAAAAATCAGAACTTTAAAGTCTTCCAAAATTCATACTTTTTTTTTTTTTATAACAGTGTATATCCCTAGCCCCTTAACATACTTTTGAGCTCTCCCTTTCTCTCTGAAAAAAGAGCAATAAAAGTGAAATAACTACCTGTTCCAGACATTTGACTATTCCTATACCACACTCTTGCTCAATGATTTCATCTTGTAACCTGTAAAGCAAATTAGTTAATTCAATGTCAACCACTAGTGTACTAATAACTTTCAACACATGCCACTAATAAAAATACTTACAGGAATATGTTAAACAAGTTAATTTCAAAGACTAGAAAATATCTCTAAGGTAAAAAAATGTAATACTATCATGATGTAGATATTTATATGGATAATAGTTAAACTTTTTTGATGTATACTCTGTACATGAAATTCCATTTAACCACAATATTCATGGGTTAAATTATCAACAGACCTTTATACATGTATATTTTTCTTTCCGAATGTCAGTGAGAAAAAAATAAACTGCTTCGCCGAGTGCAGCTGGATATGACCGCAGAGGTCCAACCCTGAACAGTTGGGGCAAAAATGGACACAATATTCAAGCTTGATACAGGTCTGAATTTGGATTGTAGTTAAATATTTGACACATTATAGGTTTCTGACACAGAATAAATGTAGTCAAAGAACTTGAAATTGGTTATATGATTTGAATTTATATTCAATTGAAGATTTCTTGTTCTTCTTACAGCCACGGTGTATCATTTGTATTACCTTGTACTGGCTCTTGCTGAAGAGAACAAACTTTCTAAGATCCACTGATGTGAGGGAGGGTCTGAAATTCTTCCTATCATCTTTATGATGGATGCCAATGCCTTGTAACCTATCAAGTCTAATGGGGCACTAAAATAGAACAATTGTTTATATATAGATTATACAGCTATATCCTTGGCAAAACAATTTCTCCTTAAAGACAATTAAATAATTAATTCAACTGTTGTGAGTAAAGAAATATAGAGGTACAATCTTGAACAAAGCTTGAAACAGACAACCAAATTTGAAGTCTGAAATTGTACCAACATCTTTTGTTTATTATTAGAATTTTGCTATTAAAACTACATGTACCAACAGTATAGAAATGCATGCTGTTTCATGAAATATAAAGATACTATTTTTAAAACATATATATTTTCACTCAAACTTTGTTGTGGAATCATTTCTCTTATTTTTCTGTGCATTTGAATTATAACATGAAATAGTTGAGTTCTTGAAAACAGTCTACCTGAAGTTAAGAATAAAATAACTAGAGGCTCTTTAGTGTCGCTCACCTTGGTCTATGTGCATATTCAACAAAGGACACTCTCCAACATTGTAGACGAGAATAGAATTCATGACAAAAATCTGTTTTGATGATCTTGTATTGCTGATCATTTAGTCTGTTTAGTTTCTCTCTATCTTCTTTAGTTTTTGCTCAAAACACAAAACAGAGTAAACTAGACAAAGTGATGCCCCCGCACTCCACTCTGAAGTAACTGTATTATAACATTTAAGTCAATGTAGGACTTTCTTTGAGATATTATTGTGTCTAGGAGACACAAATGATGCCCCCGCAGATGCAAAGTGTTATTTTAAAATACACAAAGTTGAGCATGGGAGCACATAGGTCTATGGTTCACTGTAGGAGAAGTTATACGGAAACTCTATGCACCTCTTATGCAAGTATATACTCCAAAAATGACAAAGTTCAACTATCTCCCAAAAGAGCAAATATTAATAAAAATTAAAACCCTGACCACATGCACACCTTCAATATATGTACAAAGAGCCAGCAAAGTGAAAACTTCCTAGCATTCAAACTGTAGGAGTTATTTTTTAAAGTTTTTTCCATTGTAACAGCATTGTGGACCTATTTTCTTTTTGAATAATGTGTATTTACCAAACTTAGCTGAAAATTTTAGACTTTTTGATTTTTGAGTGTGTCTTGGTACCTTCCGACTCTTCTTTGACATAAATTACAGTTCAATAAAGAGGACAAATGTTAAAATCTTGGGGTTAAAAGAACTGATGAATATGGAATGAGTAGCCATTAAATCTGAACAGATGTTAATGATGGAAAGGACATGCAGAAATCATTTTGTTTTCGGAATTATTCTTGAATTAACCCAAAAGAAATAATCATTGGGCAGGATAACAAACTAGTTTGCATACTATCTTTAGGATATTGAGCCATATTGATTGATTTTACCTGGAAAATATCATCAAACAGATGACCTGCACTTTTCAATTTTTAGCTGAAGCACTGCATGTCATTTTAGTAAAATATAAACAACAAACTAAGGTCATCACTTTTAATTTGAAAAAAAAACTATATGTGTTGTGATGCACCCACCTGCAGCCTATAAAAAATTGTTAAATATATATTCTGGGAATTCCAATGAAAGGCGAGGTGTACCAGGAACATATACAGACCACACTGTTTAAATGAGGCTAACATGACAAAGCAGAAAAATTCATTGAAAGGTCAACAGGAATGACAAATGTTGATCATGAGAAATTAATTCAAACTTAAATTCCACAAAAGGTCTTTCAACTGGAATGAACTGGATCTACAAGTCTTAAAAAAAAAACAATGATGACCGAAAATATAATAGATTTTTAAGCATCAATGCTTGACATCATTTTATATTTTTTATTATGAAAAAATTTAAATAAGCATCCTTACACTAAGGAGTTTCACATGAAATTCGAGTATCACCACAGATTTAAAGAACTCATAAATATAAAGTGAATTACAATTAAATTCAAAAGATAACTGCATACCTTTGTAGATTTTGTTGAACAATAGTAAAGATATCCTTTGGTGCTTTCTTGGCTCTTTCTGTGATCTTAAAATGAAAATTTGAAAAATCAGACAGTTGTTTAACTTGAACTCAGTTAAGTTTGTCCAATATAAAATCAGCTCATTTTGGATCTATATACATCTACTTAACTGTTATGCATGTAATATCTTTATCCTACCAAAATATATCATTTAGTTGGTTAGAATAAAGAAGAAATTTAATGAAATAGGTTTGTGCCATGAAACCTTTGCATGTGTGTTGTTCTGTTGTACCACTGTCCCAGGTTTAGGGGGAAGTTTGTACATAAATCAGGCTGTTAGTTTTCTCATTTAATTGTTTTAAATTTGTCAATTTAGGGCCTTTTATAGCTTACTATGTGGTATGTGTTTTGCTCATTGTTGAAGGTCATATGGTAACCTATAGTGGATAACTTCTAAATTCATGTTCTCTGGTGGAGAGTTGTCTCACTTGCAATCATACCCATCTTCTTATTTCGATATTATTTATCAAGTAAGCTGATAAGAATAATTTACAGGAAAATTCCATTTTGTTCAATTTACATTCACAACAGAGGAGGAAAAAGAAACAGTAAAAACATCTTAGATATTTATAGTCCATCTAAAAAAATATATATTTGCTCTATCAGAATAAAATAATTCATTCATGTCATGCCCAATGTTGATCTTATGCATTATATTTATCAGTTTCACATCTCTCTCATGCTTGATGAAGATACTGGTGAATATATTGCCAACACATATTATAATGATCACAGATCCTGACATGGAAGAATTCTATCTTAAATAAAACTTGGGATTATTATACATGTAAAGATAAGTTCACTCTACTCACCTTTTCCCAATATATGATACCACAGAGATCTGGTATTTTCTGTGCTGTAGATTTGTATATTTTTCTTCCCATCTGAGGAATAGGACACAGCTCCTGTGACAATTCAAACTGATACAAATGTAAAGAAATCAACAACAAAAACACAGTGCCTGGGACCAGTATATTTACTATTTGTCCTAGTTAGTGATTAGTGAAGATGAGAGTAACAAATTTTTCAATGTTCATTGTTTATTACTTATTTGCTTGTTGATTTGTAAAATCCAGTGGATTTTTTTTCTTTACAATAGATGAAGCAATTTCTATCTTGTCAGAAACATGATGTTTTTCTTAATTCTTTATTAAAGTTTGCTTGATTTATTTGAACAATTTGTTATGATGTAGCGAAATGTCACCTGCTGTTGTGTAAAGGATGAATAAAATGGTGTTTTACAAGGTGCCATTGTGCTACCATAGAAAAAATATGGTCAACTTAATATAATGACTAACAATCCTATCAAATATGAGAGCTTTCTGTCAAATAGAGTTGCTCACAAAGTGTCATTGTGGTACATATGTTAAAATATGTCAAAGTCCCATAAATCCTGTAAAATTGGTCAAATCAAAATTCACAGAATAATGTGGTCAACTGTATATGGTGGAAAATAAATCTGCCAAGTATGAGGGCTTTTTGTCAAACAGTTGCATTCACAGGTGTCAATGTCACAATTCTCAAAAAATAAGTGATTAAAGTCCCAAACTCCTGTAAAAATGACGATACAATATGGTCCACTACACATGAGAGTTTTTTGTCAAATGGTTTCAGAGGAGTATTGTCCAGAAGATGTCATGTTCACAGTACTCTGAAAAAGCAAAAAGTTCACTGAGATTGACAAACAGGAGAGTCAAATGCTTTATCTGAATCCCAAAGGATTGCAAAAGGCAAACTTCATTTAGCCCTCAAGTTTTGTTACTACTTTTGTAAGGAAACTTTTTCTGCTAATGAAAGAAATTACACATCTGGTGTCTATCTTGCAAACCATAGGAGAGGAATGCAGGTGTTCTTTTAATCTTACCTGGAGAGGTGAATTAGGTTTCGGTGATGCAAGACTGGACCAGACTAGTTCCTGACACAAATTTACATCATCAGATGTGTCTGTGTCATACAGTACTATCTCATATTTATATAAACCAGCATAAACTGCTGGAGACTTTGATACCACCTGAAATGATGACATAGTATGACTAAAAGCAAATGTGTGGAAATCAGCAACAAGACAGAAATACAACAACACAAGTATCAAATTTTTTTTAGGACATAGAAAGCTGGTAAGGTAGAAAAATGTAGAATCATTTATTGTAATTACTATCAACCTAAAAAAGAATATTTTAGCATCTGCATCGTTAACCAAGAGTGAACAATCAAAACAATTCTAATTCAACTTGTCTCATTTACATTAACATTATCATACTACATGAGAATACTGACTTACGCTAGCCATAACCCGTTTCTTGTCATCATTAATCATGTGTGTCAAGTCCCAGAACAGGTCACCACTTTCATCATCCCAGTCATCACCTGAAGTGTAAGGCAACTTTTATTTGTTAAAATAAAACGGAACAAACTTCAAATGCTTTGTAAATTTGACATGATCGGAAAAGTGTCATATTTCCTTGTGAGATATTGACATGTTTATATTAAAAGGCAGTTTACATTAAGTATCAAGGACTTTCTAGAATTCTTCTTATATTTTCACTTTAAGGCTAACCAAGCATTCTGCGAGTATTGCATGGCAATTCATAGTCCCCTACCGGTCAAAATTCATTGTACTGGAAATTCATTGTACTGGAACAAAATGCTATCTTGATCTATAACTTGTCATGGTGTAAACTATATACCAATTATCAAATCAATATCTACAAGCATGACGAAAAAAAGTGCGGATAACTGATTATTTGAGTGAATTTTCTAAGTCCAAGGGCCATAACTCTGCACAAAATCATCAGACCGAAACAAAACTCGAACTTGATCTGTAACTTGTCATGATTAAACAATACACCAAATATCAAACCAATATATTCAAGCATGAAGAAAAAAAGTGTGGAAAATGATTTGCCGAACTGACGGATGGACAGACAGACAGACGGACGGACGGAGTGCAAACCTAAAGTCCCCTTCAACTTCGTCGGTAGGGGACTAATAACTGAGTGCATTTATGAACTTGACTGAAGCTTGCCCACATAGCACTAAGTCTCCTGAAAATGGAGCACAAAGTGACTTACAATGGTGATACATGTATCTGTAAAACACATATGATTCCCATGCAATTTTTATTTTGTTATTGAATCCAGATTTGTTTTGCATATGCCATGTATGCTTAATTTAAACAAATATTTTTTAAGCTTAACAAACCTCTGCAGTTTTATAATGGATGCATAAATGGTCAGATTTGGAGACACATTTTTCTAAATAATATCATTTGGTGTGTTAACTCTTCACATCCATTATAATAATAAATATAAAAATAAGAAGATCTGGTATGATTGCCAATGAGACATCCACCAGAGTCCAAATGAAGTGGATGTAAGCAATTATAGGCAAATGTATGGCCTTCAACAATGAAAAAAACCATACTGTATAGAGGTCTATAAAAGGCCATGACATGAAATATATGAAACAATTCAATTGAGAAAACTAATGGCCCATTTTACAACAAAACAAAATTACAAAAAACAAATATGACAGACATGAACCAACGACAACCACTGAACTACAGGCTCCTGACTTCGGACAGGCACATAAAGAATATGGGGAGGTTAAACATTTTTAGAGCACTCAACCCTAACCCTAACCCGGGACAGTGGTGTTACAGCAAAACATAAGAACAAACTATAATAAAATGCTCCGCTGGGGTGCAGCTTGATACGACCGCAGAGGTCCAACCCTGAACAGTTGGGGCAAGTATGGACACAACATTCAAGCTTGACACAGCACTGAATTTGGATTGTAATTAAATATTTGACACAGCATAGGTTTCTGACACAGAATGAATGTGGTCTAAGAACTTAAAAATTTTTTAATTTACCTATTCAAACCATATCATTATTATTTGCTTTTATATATAGATCAGAAATAACCAATTTAAAATGGAAAATTTTAAAGAAAAAAAAGGAAAAACAAATCCCCCTCCAAATTTTTTGAACCTCCTTATGATTCATCACCCCCAAACTCAATCCCAGCCTTCCCTTTGTGGTATGGTACCTTACAGTACAATTTCAGAGAGATCCATACACTTGAACACAAGTTATTGTCTGGAAACAAGAAAAATGCTTGTTTTTTGGCCCCTTTTTGGCCCCAAATTCCTAAACGTTTAGGGCAATTACCCCCAAACTCAAACCCAGCTTTCCCTTTGTGATATGGAACCTTGCAGTACAATTTCATAAAGATCCATACACTTACACACAAGTTATTGTCCTGAAACTAGAAAAATGCTTGTTTTTTTGCCCCTTTATGGCCCTTAATTCCTAAAATTTTGAGGGAATTACCCCCAAAATAAATCCCAGCCTTCCCTTTGTGGTATGGTACCTTGCAGTACAATTTCAGAGAGATCCATACACTTGAACACAAGTTATTGTCTGGAAACTAGAAAAATGCTTATTTTTGGCCCCTTATTCCTTAACGTTTTGGGCAATTACCCCCAAACTCAATTCCAGCTTTCCCTTTGTGATATGGAACCTTGTAGTACAATTTCATAAAGATCCATACACTTACACACAAGTTATTGTCATGAAACTAGAAAAATGCTTGTTGTTTGCCCCTTTTTGGCCCCTAATTCCTTAAATTTTGAGGCAATTACCCCCGAAATCAATCCCAGCATTCCCTTTGTGATATGGAACCTTGTGGTACAATGTCAGAGAGGTCCATACACTAACACACAAGTTTTGTCTGGAAGTTACAAAAATGCTTATTTTTTGCCACTTTTTGGCACCTAATTCCTTAACTGTTGGTACCATAACCCCCAAAATCAATCCCCACCTTCCTTTTGTGGTATTGAACCTTATAGTAAAATTTCATAGAGATCCATTTACTTAAACTAAAGTTAGAGTACGAAAACCAATGCGTCTTCGGACGACGACGACGCCAACGTCATTCCAATATACGACCACAAAATTTTTTTTTGCGGTCGTATAAAAATCAGTTGAAAAGTGCTAAACTAAATTTTTAAAATAAACCAATTTTATTTTTTTTTCGCCCATTTTAATCTAAAAAATATAAAGTACCTCTGGGTTGAACATGAGCTAATTCACATTCAATAGCTTGGAAAGGAACCATCATGAAATCCTGGGGAAGCTGGAAGAGATCTTCTCTGGTTACAGTCCTCTTATCTCCATAGTCTCCATAAAATACTTCTACATTACCTTCTTCCTGTTCACAAATCACCTTTACTCTATACCATCTGTCAATATACAAATAATCTGAACAAACATTCAACACAAAATAATTAGACAATACCAAAATAAAATGTGTAAGACTACAAATGAACATGTTCAGTCTCTAAATAATATAATCATTAATGGTAAAGTCCATGTTTTAGTATGGGAACCTTAGAATTTTTTAACCTTGGCACTAGATCTTGCCTATAGGTGGGTACCCCTTCCAGAATTCATTATTTTACTCCCAAACTAGTGAGTATCAGCAGAAGTTTATTTTTTTAATGTTTTACGTTCATTTGACAATTAGTGAATTAGAGTTTGCAGGAAATCTATTTAACCAGGTAGAACACAGAGCTGTGATCCTCAAACAATTAAATGTTTTAGAATCTAAAGGACTATGGATAATTTCATTGTTCGCCAGAAATGAAAAAAAAATCAAATCTCCAAAGTTTAAGACATATTTCACAAATCTCCAATGTTTTAGCAAATATTTCATCAATCACATTGTTTTTATGTATGCTTTTGAAAAGGAAAATTTCATATAGTAATATGAAGTGCTGCTTACATTTTTTGGACTGTAACATCTTATCTACACATAAATCAACATGTATCAAACTACGAATATCAAATGACAATAACTGTGTCTGTAGACCATATGTAAGTCTGCAAACTAGGATCTTCAGTGTTATATAAAGCTTGTAACATTTACATGAACATTCATAATGTGCATTATCATATTTTCAAGTATAGAATACGACCTATCAAAATTACTGTGGTAAGTGAATTATTGTTTAGAACACTTGGTACCAATCCAAGTCTGTTATCAAATATAGTTTTTTTGAGTGAACTCAAGTGCTTAGGTAAGCATCTCCTGCTACCTGGTACATGTTCATTCTAGAACACAACTCATTCTTTTTACTTCTAGATAAATGGTTTATTTTTCACTAAACTTTTGCATTATTTGGTTGATTTATTACCAAAATATAAAAAGATTCTGTATTTATATTAATATTGTTAAAAAATAAAAATATTGTAATTTAGAGCTTAAAATTATATTTATTCAAGGTAAAAATAGATAATTTTATATCAAGGCAATAAAAGGGGAGATAATCCAAAGTTTTCTCCATTAATTTTGTAAACATGATCTATAATAAAACTAAAAAAAAACAATGAAGTTTTATAATATATTGTTTATATTTTGACTTTAAAAACAACTAAAAGTAAAATAATAGATTTTTAAAAACAACTAAAAGTAAAATAATAGATTTATGAAAACAATTAGATTTATAAAAATACATGTTTAAGTACTGGTCTAGTCCAAATAATTATGATGTCTTCAAAGGCTTTTTTTTTTTTTTTCTGTGACGCCTTCCTTTTAAAGCTATACTCAGAAAAACTTTGCCTAAACAGGTTTATATTGTGCCAGGTTAGGGGAGGGTTGGCGCCTTCAAACTAGTTTAACCCTGTCTCATTCTATATGTGCCTGTCCAAAGTCAGGAGGAGTCTGTAGTTCAGTGGTTGTCGTTGGTTCATATCTGTCATATTTGTTTATTTCGTAAATTGTTTTGTTATAAATTAGGCTGTTAGTATTCTCAATTGAATTGTTTCATATTTTTCAGGTCAGGGTCTTTTATAGCCAACCATACAGTATGTTTTTTTTCTCATTGTTGAAGGCCGTACAGTTGCCTATAATTGCTAACATCCACTTTGTTTGAACTTTGGTGGATAGTTGTCTCATTGGCAATCATACCACATCTCCTTATTTTTATATTTTGTATGTTCTGAACATTTTAAGTTTTTTTTTTATGTTTTTTTTTTTTATGCCGACTGCACAAAATTCATTTCCTGAACTAAAGCTCGGTAATGAAAATAAAGTAATACCTGGATGACAAATATTGACACATCATGAAACGACTGTGAAAAATTTAAATTAATCTATGAAAATGAATATGATGACGGCGGTGCATCTGCCTCTTTTTGACTAGAAGCTCTATTTACATTTCTTTAGATAATTACAATGAAACCTATCCTGAAGCTACATGTAGTTTAAACCAAGCTCATCCTGTAATTGTAAGCAAATCAACCCAATATGAAGAGGAGAACTTTTAAATTCATGACCATCATCAGCCACAAAAAAGACAGACATTCCGACATTGCCTCAGACAAAAATATTATTAACAGAGGAGAATTACAATGATGCCTTTTTGCATACTGGTGTATCTATGGAAGTTTTCTTTACTTAAGTGGAATTACTACACGAAGACAATCAATTTTAATTTTCAACTCAATATTGCAGATCAGCTGCTGCTCGTATTGATGAGTTTAAAACTTATTAATCCAATCATAACTCTTAACCCCCCCCCCCCCCCCCACACTTTTTTGCCCCATGGTAAGATTTGCTGTGCTGCTACCACCTCTCAGACAAAATCCTACATGTATGAGGAGTCTCAACCAGGTCCTGAACCAATTCAAATAACTAGTTCAGAGTCTAGTGAAGAAACCATTACATTTACTTGAGGCTGAATAAAAACTAAATACAAGTTTGGGCCAAGTAAATCCACAGTTTAATTATAATTCCAATTAGATGCAAACATAATTGGCAAATATAGCCAAAGACAAAATTACATAGATCTGCAAAACTGTGGTACTCATAACAAACAAAACTACAAATTAACTAAGTACTAGTAAAAAAGAAACACATGCAATAAACAAAGTGGTGCGGTGGGTGGGAATAAAAAATTAGTTTCTGCATGAAACTTTGCTGCGTTCAACCACGCTAAATTTTCTAATTGAAGTGAGCGCACTACAATCACAAACCAATCAGCTAATTAGTCATGTGACTGGTCATCACTGGAAGCCCCCTTCCCATTGGTAATGCCAGTCTCTTGACCAAATAAGGACTGTCGTCCGAGGGCAGACGAGCACAGCGGCAATCCAACACCAGTCTGGCATGTAAAGATAATTATTGATCAATACTCCACTATGATGCAAATGGCAGAGTTAATTTTATTTTGATTAATAATATATTTAAAATAAATACCCCAATTTGATATTAATATTTTGATGATTTGAGACGTCGCTTTCGTATTTCAAAAAGTTGAGCTTGTAAACTATTTTATTCTTGGATGCCAGTTCTTGCTGAAAACCTTCAAGGTTTAATACGCTTGTAAAGCTCAACTAATCATCGCTTTGAATATACACTTTGGTGCCTTTTTGTGGTTAAAAGCTATTCATTTATTTTAAGCACAGGAACATGATGTTATGCTATGCACAATAGTAGTTTTATGCTTTACACCGCGATCGAGTTTACTTTCTGCAAAAGACGAAAAAGTCACCCAATTTTGAGCAGTATATGTGCGTCACACAACAAGTACTATACTCTCGTTTCTGTGAAAAAGTAAAACTATATACAAACAGGCTCATGGTCGGATTATAGAACTGTCTGACTTTAGGATTGTCAAATTATAGGCCGTCGGATTATAGGTCTGACCAAAGAAATTTCTAAGATTTGATAAAATTAAGCTTTGTTTATAATTTTTTCACGACTGTAATTGCGACCACTACTACGACGACACATAGCAGTCGCATCACAAACTAAGTGAGATAATCGGAAAAACCTGACTATAGTAGGTATATTTTTTCCTAAATCTCTTTTTTGCTGATAATTTTTTTTTTCTATTGACAGTTTTTTTTATCTTCTATAGTTTTTTTTCTAAAACACAAAGCATTGTAAAAATCCTCATTAATGGCCAATCTATGATGACCTATTTGCAAATCTTGTCTTGCTGATCGAATTTGCTTTTTAAAGTTTCTATCTATCTAATATAGTTTCAAGATAATAGGCAAATATACACAAAAAAGTAAAAATTGTCATTTCAAGGCAAGAACTCCAATAAGGAGTCAAATGATGATTTCTGTCAAGTTGACTTATTTGTAGATCGTGTCTTGCTACTATTTTTTGCTACTTAAACTTCTATCTATCTATTATAAGTTTCAAGATAAAAGGCAAAAATGGAAGAAATTGTTAATAAACTGTTAACACAGAGATATGTCTCGCCTATTTCTTATTTTGATAATGCAAATGTTGAAATTAAAATAGCAATACTTTAACATGTAAGTTATGCAAATATTCAAAGTCAATGAACCATGACTGAAGGTACAGGGCTAAACAATCTCCATGGAAATGAGATCTGCCAATGCTAATACAACTGCAAACCAAATACTATTGACTTTTCATAAGTCGTTCCCTTTAAACAAACCTAAACACAAACATTAACTTGTAAACTATGTAAAAGTTTCAAAGTCAATGAACCATAATTAGGGGGTGGGGTTATATAATCTCCATGGAAATGAAACTTGCAAATGCCAATACATTTGCATACCGAATATCATTGACTTAACATAAGTGGTTCATCTTAAACTGACCTAATCACTAACTAATACATGTAAACTAAGCAAAAGTTTCAAAGTCAATAGACCATGACTGAGGAGTAAGGACCAAATATTCTCCATGGAAATGAGATGTGCTAATGCTTATAAACTGCATACCAATTATCATTGACCTACCACTAACAGTTCCCCTTAAACTGACCTAATCACAAACTAATACATGAAAACTAAGCAAAAGTTTCAAAGTCAATAGACCATGAACGAAGGGGCGGTGCCAAATAATCTCCATGGAAATGATATATGCCAATGCTTATACAACTGCATACCAAATATCATTGACCTACCACTAGTGGTTCCCCATAAACTGACCTAATCACAAACTAATACATGTAAACTAAGCAAAGTTTCAAAGTCAATAGACCTTGACTGAGTAGGCAGGGCCAAATAATCTCCATGGTAATGAGATGTGCTAATGCTAATACAACTGGGTCAATATCTTTAATTGTTTTTCCATAGGCGGTAATGGTAACGTTTTTTCCTGTAGCTCAGTCCATATCGTAAACTTGGATATGTATGATAGCTCGTTTCGAAGCTGTGACATTTTCACATATGTGGTTAAATTTTCGGGGTATGAAGTGAGATTACTTTTTCCGTAAATTAGCATATCCCGAACATCCTTTCGTGATGCGGCTCCTCGTGGTAAAAAATCCCTTTTTTAACACAATAAGTTATTTGAAAATTTAATACTTTGAACACATTTAATAGCTCCATAGTTTTTACACATTTATTCTATGTTCCTCTACTTTCCTAATCACCACAAATGGTTTAGCTCAGTCATTTGTAAAAAAATAGAAACATGTCCAATAATACTACACAGAGATTTTTTGTTTACACACAACTTTTGAGTTCCTCATTTCGAGGCGCATTAGGAATATTGACCCATATTGAAATCCATAGTTCTGATTTTTCCAAATATTTTTGTGTGATCTTCATCGGTATGACTTTCTGAATAAATCTGTGTTTTTTTGTCCATTTCTGAAAAAAAATAAAGTTGTTTCAGCACTATAAGGCAATGACACTTTTATCGCTATATTTATCTATTTTGAATACAATGTGTATGTATAATTAATTTCTTCCAGTATACCTTCACTAGTCAAAACATGGACAAAACATCTGATGATAACCTTAAATTACAATACACAGACCCTGTTAAAGCATTCAATAAAATTTTCTGGTGCCTAAAAGTGCATTTTGACTGAGAAATTATGCAAAAATGTAGATCTCATAAAAAAAACACCAAAATACTTAATTATTTTTACCAGTGGAAATCTAAACTACTGTGAATGTCATTTTTATCATATAATTAGAGTGCAATGAAGTGCAAATTTTCAAAACTTGTCTTTTCACATAATTCTATTTGAAAAAAAAAGTCTTTTACATGTATTTCAGTGAAAACCCGTTATCAATGAGAAATGCACATGAGGTTTTAAAGGAAACATTGTGACATCACAGGTATTATGGCGTCATTAAATAACGACAGATCAAAATAATGCTAACTAAAGTTTGCAGTGTTACATGAGGAACAGTTGCCGCAAGGTTTAACTCGAAAAATGGAGTCGAAAAGATCAGTAACTAAGCATTTTTATATAATATCAAGACCATAGCAACAGTTTTCATATCAGCATATTTTTAACATACCGACTGTAATTTCAATTGCATAAATACCATAAATAAACAATTTAGAGCTTGCCTAATAAAACAAAATGCTTACCAGTTATTCAGAACTTTTTAAAACCTCTAGTTTGCTGTCTCAGGTCAAATAGTAATGATATGTCTGGAACTGAAATAAGACAAAAAATTTACTCAGGCTGTGTTGTCATTTGATTTAAATACACAAGTATTATTGAGAGAGAAAAAATCAAATTTTTGAAAGTTTTATCACAAAGAAAGAGAAATGCTTCTCCCTTGTGGCTTATCAACCTTCATTTAAACCTTTTATATTAGGAGCAATGAGTAGTAGCTTAATAGTTGAATAGGTGCAGCACTATTGTTTTCAAAAGGTTTTACCCTCCCCCTTTTTCATTGAGAAAAGACAATATCTTGCGATTTGCTTAAGTGTGCATTAAAATATGTTCATGATTTTCTTAATACATGTTTGTCTGTTTATTTGCATATAATTTCTATTGACCAGGGGTCAAATTACTGGTTAAAAGCACATGTGATGATGTATCTCACTTTACTCGTATGAAGTGTGTTATTTCCTTTGATTATCAGTTATTCCTGTAGACCGGAATGATAATTACATAACAAAGACTTTATTGTGTCATGTTTACTTACAATTTAATAATATTAAATGTTTCCATAAGCAGTTCATGCCTTTTTCAAGTAAATAACAAGAGCCTTTTGGATCTCTCGGGGTAAACAAAGTTATGATTGTGCCTAAAAGAAGTGTTCAGCCCCGTGCCAGTAATGCATTTCAAAAGAAAAAAATTTTGCTGATCTTTATCGATAATGTTTATCTAAAACCAGCTGGGATAACTAGGTATAAATAAAAGACTACTAACCGTTATTTTCACAATTTTCTCTGGTGTACAAGGTGCAATCATCCATAAATCAGTCTGAAAACTGCTGAAATTCTTCTTGTAATTTGGGTCAATATCTTTAATTGTTTTTCATAGGCGGTAATGGTAACATTTTTTCCTGTAGCTCAGTCCATATCGTAAACTTGGATATGTATGATAGCTCGTTTCGAAGCTGTGACATTTTCACATATGTGGTTAAATTTTCGGGGTACGAAGTGAGATTACTTTTTCCGTTAATTAGCATACCCCGAACATCCTTTCGTGATGCGGCTCCTTGTGGTAAAAAATCCCTTTTTTAACACAATAAGTTATTTGAAAATTTAATACTTTGAACACATTTAATAGCTCCATAGTTTTTACACATTTATTCTATGTTCCTCTACTTTCCTAATCACCACAAATGGTTAAGCTCAGTCATTTGTAAAAAATAGAAACATGTCCAATATCACTACACAGAGATTTTTGTTTACACACAACTTTTGAGTTCCTCATTTCGAGGCGCATTAGGGATATTGACCCAACTGCATACAAAATATCATTGACCTACCACTAGTGGTTCCTCATAAACTGACCTAATCACAAACTAATACATGTAAGCTAAGCAAAGTTTCAAAGTCAATAGACCTTGACTGAGGGGGCAGGGTCAAATAATCTCCATAGTAATGAGATGTGCCAATGCTAATACAACTGCATACCAAATATCATTGACCTACCACTAGTGGTTCACCATGAACTAGACCTAATCACAAACTAATACCTTGTTGACGCCGCCGCTGGAAACAGCATACCTATGTCGCTTTTTGACTCTGTCAAGGTGAGACAAAAATCATTATTTAAGGACAAAAACTCTGATAAGGAGTCAACTGGTGATTTCAGCAATTTGATTTATTGGTGGATCTTGTCTTCCTGATCACTTTTGTTTCAAAAGTTTCTATCAATCAATTATAGTTTTCCAGATGAAAGGCAAAAACGCAAGCAGTTGGTAAATAGTCATTTAAGGACAATAAATATAATAAGGAGTCAACTGACAATTTCAGCCATGTTGACTTTCTTGTAGAAATTGTCTAGATATTGCAAAAACAACAGTTTTTGTAAAAGTCATAATTTTTTAGGGCAATAGCTTCTATAAGAAGTTGTCTGACAGTTTTGATGTAAATAAACTGTAGGTAGAGCTCAACATTCTGAACATTTTTGCCCTTGTCAGATTTTCAAGACTATAGACAAAACTTTCATTTTACCCCTATGTTCTATTTTTTTATCAGACACATTTTTGAACCAGATACCCCAATGATGATTATAGCCAAGTTTGGTTAAATTTGGCTTAGTTTTAGATGAGAAGATTTTTGTAAAAGTTAACGGATAAAGATGACAGACGATGGATGCCAAGTGATGGGAAAAGCTCACACTGTCAATGGGCCAGATGAGCTAAACAACAAGAATTATTTGCTACTTCTTTACTCTGCAACGATTTTTTTGTCACCTTGGTATCAACCACGACTGGACTTTAATTTTATGTAGAAAAATCCTGTTTCAATTTGAGGTTCAGTGAACAGTTTCCCAAAAAATCTTATGATTAAAGTTGATTGTAAGTTATGAACAATTCAGTATACTTACAATCAACTTTAGTCATAAGATTTTTTGTGAAACTGATCACAGACTTTTTGAAGAATTATTAGGTGTTAATAGTGTTTTGTAGTCTTTTCACTTTCCATTTCATTTATTGACCATATCATGTATTCATTTGCAGAAAATGAATGAAATCATGAAAATTCCTGGCAAAATATCAGAAACATCTGCTAAAGCCAATTGCGAATTTGAAAGTGATTTCTAGTGGCTTCTAATAAAAGAAAAGCAACTGATTGGATAATTCAAATAAATTCAGGGCTCTGAATGGCTACTGCTCAATCCTGATGATTCAATTAGGGCTACAGAAACTGGGACCACACCTATCTGATTGGTAAAAAAGCAAGGACCCCCACCCCCAAAACAAACACATGCTAAGATTTTTACAATGGAAAATTCTAGTGCCATGAAAAACAAGTTCCATCTGTATTAATACTGCATTTAAATCATATAAATACAATTATTAACCAATGACTTAAAATACATTATAAATTGTCCATTTAATACGATTCCATGTGTCTGGATCAAAAAGGTGTCAAAAAATGAATGTGTGTCTCTGGATGTGTGTATTACACAAAATATTAGATTTCAACAAGTTAGAATACTTTGATGTTAGAGTTGTTGTTATTTTTCATATGTTATACTATTTTTTCTTTGAGTACTGTAAATTCAGAAATTATTGCGAGGTTTTTATTAATGCGAAATAATGTGACTGGGTGAGTATCGCAATAATAAGAACTCGCATTTTGTTATCTGATACATATATCTGTACAGAGATTTTCCTGAAATCGCAATAATTAAACTCACATTTTTATCCATTCTTCAACAATCGCAATAATAAATGCACACAATAATCTGATAATATCTGAATTTACTGTATATACAATTATGGAAGGTATAGAACTGGTGAACATCCAGAATTGTCAACCATAAAAGATTATTTCTCTGAGGGCGCAGTCCGAAGTGAGAATAAGTTGTAGGGTTGACAATTTGGATATGCACCACTTCGATTGGGCCACATTTGTTTAATTATACCAAAGGACCTTCGAATCATTGAAAATACATGTTAAAGAAGCTCTTGTACATGTTTTACTGTTGTAACAAATTGTCAAAGCACTTACGTTATAGAATTATTTTTGTGACTTAAAATGCCTTATATGTACAACAATTGAAGACTCTTTCTGTAAAATATTGGTGGCAATTAAAAAGGACATTTGTGAAAGCTATCCTTGGCACCAAATGGATTTCAAATACTTGTTTCTTCGTCACTCCAGTCCACGGACTTCTAATCTGGACATTGCCATTTGTTTACCGAATTCAGGCTTGTATAGTCCGCAGTTTTATTCTGAGTTTCTCCAAAATTAAAGCTGCTAGGCAGGGGTGCGGATTATAGAGTACAATAAGCAAGAAATAAGAGAAAAACTCGATTTCACGAAGTTTGTTTATGTTCACCCGTTTTTGTTATTGAAATTGTCGAGGGTGCCCTTATCATTTTCAAAACTTATATCTTACCTTATGCATATTAATGTGCAATTTAACTTCAAAGTCCATTATAAAGTGATTAATTTCAAAATTAAATTTCTTGATTCTTTTCAGCATTGCATAACATAAACTGGAAACCGCTAGTATTTAACGGAATGAAAAAAGTGTATAAGACAGCCGGGAACCAACTTATACATGACAATGTCTAAACTACAAAACATAAGCTGTTATTGATTCGGTTTTGGTGATTCATACTGACGCATGTGTTTTGTTTTAGCTTAAGATCAAACATTAATATAATGGATATGTTTAATGTTACTTTACTAAAGGATGGAACTGTTTTACTTTCAAAGTCGTATTCTAGTGGTATCTATTAAGTACTGATTTTCCAACACTCTCACTGTATTTTTTTTCGATTTACAAGTGCTATTATTTCTTTAGGTTACAACTTTCCCAATTGTTTTTTTTGTGAGTTTGACTTATTTTAACACTCATGAAGTGTTCCATAATCATTTACAAGCAATTTCAACGGCTGCTTGATGATGGAAAACAGTTTTTTCTTTGAAACTACCGCAAACGATCACATACTATTTGATATTACAGGAGTTTCAAGAGACGTATTCAACCAGTTACAAAAGTTTTTTTTTTACCTGAATTCTCGTGGCTACAAGGGGGGGTGGACTATGTACCAGTACGAACTATACAAGGCTGATTACAGTACATACGACAGTGACGTCATTTGGATGGGAGATAACTCGTGTAAAATCAAGAGGCATAAAGGGTTATTTACCAATGAATAACAGGGTAATTCATCGCACATTATTAATTTTTATGGTTACTCGACATTTCTTGCATTTAAATGATAATAAACCCAAATAGTTCATATTGAGCCTTATGAGTCTTCCTACAGTTGTGTTTATCCTCAGTCAGCTTTTGATGGTTATTTTAGGCCATTGGTTAATAAAGGTGTCATAAAAAAGTCTTTAGTTTTCTATGTTGTGTTTTGTGTACTGTTGTTTGTCTGTTGGTCTTTTTCTTTTTTAGCCATGGCGTTGTCAGTTTATTTTTGACTTATGAGTTTGAATGTCCTTTGGTATCTTTCGCCTCTCTTTTTTAATCCTGTATTATGTCCTCATACAGTCGTATAGGGTCTTGATCAGCTGTATTGCCCCTCATCTACACCTCAAGCCAATACAGCTTACCTCGACCCAATAAGACTGTACTAGAACATAATACAGAATTAATATGAAAACACCCATTTAACAGCACTATATTACAATTATAAACCAACCAACCTGTCATCATCTGGAAATTTGGCTGCACATATAGCCTCATTTAAATCTTCTTCTGTGAATGGCATATTTTCGTCAGACCTGTCCATTGTGTTATTGAGACAGTCCATCATTTTTTCTAGTCTGTAAAGAAACACACTCAAAATTAAAAGCATAGAGAAACATTACAAATCAAAAGAGAGTAACTTGTTAAACAAACAAAAACCAGGTAAAACTGTTTTTGACTAAAACATATGTCTCCCCTTCAGCAATAGCATGTTAGAAGTCATTCTGTCTTATCAACAACATTCTACTACTGTAAAAACATATTGTCATGGCTAATAAGAAAATATATGGTAAATTGGTGAGAATCTTAACAGCTTTCAGTATATTAATCAGTTGAATAATGAAATGTACATAACAGAATGTGCGATAAAAATCCAAACAGGACCACTTAAACTCTATTGTTTCGTATAATAGATAATAAAAAATGAATCAAAGATTCAAAAGACTTAGTGTAGTGCAGATTCTTTCTTTAACTATGGAAAATGGTCTATACTGAATATTGAAATATATGGAAACATAAAATAAAAAAGAGGAAAAATCTTTGAACAACTCCATAATGGAAGGTACACAACCTAAATAGGTTTGCAAAATGCTCTGTGAAATTCCAAAGATCTGGTTTAAAAACAAAAATTGTTACCATCTTTTGAAAACTTTTGCTGAAAAATAAATTAATTCCCAAGTCTGGAAAATGTGTATAAAAATTACCAAAAAATTCCATAATAGCAGGTGCAAAACTTAACATTTGTGCTATTTTTTTGTGAAGTTTCAAAGATCTGGGTTGAAAACTGCAGACGTAGATTATGCAAATTAGAAACCCACTTTTCTCTGCATGCCTATCTGCCCACTCAACATCACCATACTATAAGCTGGTTTTGAACTTTGTCAAGCCCAACCAATAACACAAAAAGAAGCAAAACAATAATAAACAATACAGAACAAAAGCATGCTCTCAGTACAAAGCACTTAACCTGCTGATATGAAATCATGTTGTCCATCACCAGTGTAGCATGTACAGCAACGTCATAAATATTACAGGAGGACAAGTTTTATGCAAAGTCTAGAATCTTACATCAAAGAATTAGGTAGCAATTTGATGTTAATCCAAAAAATACCAAATGCATTAAGACTTACCCAAGAACTAGATATTTGCTATAATCCAAAGGATACATATAAATCATAGTATTTCAAGTTTAACAAACTTACTGTTTACATGATTCTTTCCTCTGTACAAAGAACAGGTTGGGCAATTCCACTGCAGATACATAAACCTCATGGAACTCTGAATTTTCTGGCAGTAAATCTACTGATAATGTCTCTTCAGATCTGCAGAAAACAAGAATGTGCCCATAGTACACGGATGCCCCACTAGCACTATCATTTTCTATGTTCAGTGGACCACGAAATTGGGGTCAAAACTCTAATTTGATATTAAAATTAGAAAGATCATATCATAGGGAATATGTGTACTAAGTTTCAAGTTGATTGGACTTCAACTTCACATCAAAACTACCTTGACCAAAAACTTTAACCTGAAAAACTTAAACCTGAAGCGGGACAGACGGACGAACAAACGGACACACCGAACAACATAATGCCCATAAATGGGGCATAAAAATATTCAGAATGAAAATATTTGATAAGATACCAATATGGCCCCTATTACTAGTTAAAATGTCAAATTAGGATTGTATGGCTATTATCACTAGTAACAAATAACCCAAAAGCCCCTCTCGACCCTCCTTCTGTGCACCATATACCAGATGGTTGTTAGTGATGGGGATCATGTAAGAAGGGGACTACTGCACTTTGTTTTATCATCTTATCTGTTAGTTAATTCAAAGTTCATTCTCCCCCAGCATGTCTAGTTCCCTAGTTATTGTTAATAAACATTTTATCTTGAGGTACAATTTACAATATAAGCTTAAGCAACACAGACAATAACAAAAGTTGCAAAATTAATTTATGATGCTAAAATTAACTCCAATGTGACACTGTCTTGTAATTTAAATAATATTTTTACCACCAGATCACTTGACACAGTATTATTCAATGCTTCTGTATTTTGCATAATATTATTATGATAATGGAACTTAAGAAATCTGCTGACAAATAGATGTACACAGAATGTTCACAGACACAGAAAGGTTTTCAATGATTTTATGACATTTTTTTTATTATTGTTCTTTTATTTTTGTTAATTTTCAATATTCATATTATTAAAATGTTACATATGGTGCAATCTAACAATTTCTGTACCATGATATTTTGATTTAGATATTATATTTTTTTTATGCATTTGAATACAAATGACTTAATCCCATCTTACTTGTGCAATTCCTTATTGATATCTGGAATTTTTATCTTTCCTTTACAAAGTTCAAACAGGTTTTGTAGATGCTGAAAATAAAGGTGAAATTTTATATAAAGGATATTGTTTCAAAAAGAAACTATTCATTTGTTTATATGAAGAATTAAAAATATATTCTGTTTTCTTTTATTTAACTGGCCAAGCGGGCTAACTCCTCTCTAAATTAACTTACCCTTCCAGACTTTTACTGGTACTATAAAATTGAGAAAAAAACATTGGTGGTCCTAGATGTAGTAATGTGTTAACTGTGTAATAAGATTCAATATCAAAAGTAAGATAATGATAAAGAATGGTGATTGAGTACTGTGATGAACAACCCTGTTGTTTCGCAGGATTCACCACAGAATGAAAATCAATTGTGGGGGATAAAAGTCAACAATTACAGATGATGTATAGTGTTGGATAACATTGCTACACGGACACACATTGTCCCTGATGTGTCTCTAAGGTGTTGGCATATCTATTTAATTTGAAGGGGGAATCTTGCATAATTGGTCCTATTAGTGGTGAAATCGCTTTTATGGAGCTATTAAACAGGGAGAAGGAAAGACATAAAAAGGCTCAGACTCTGTATCATGGTTTTCATGATAGAAATACGAACAGAATTTAAAAAAAAAACATATTGAGTCTTACAGAATTTCAAAGCCATTTCAAATAAGTCGGTTCATGCTAGTAATATTCATATTAATTAACTAGAGGCTCTCAAGAGCCTGTGTCACTCACCTGATTCTACTTTGGTTTTGGAAATCATGTTAAAATAGATTAAAATCATAACAGATACCCTAATAATGAGTGAGGCCAAATTTGGTTAAATATTGGCCCTGTAAGTTAATAAAAAATCCTGGTGGCCATCTTGAACAGTAAATCAGCAACAAAGTAGCAACACTTCATCAGCACCTCATAAGAAACATTTATGCCATGTTTGGTTTCATTCCATTCAGTGCACCTCTAGAAGAAGCATTTGTATGTATTTCCAATATGGTCTTATGTTTAAGGAAGTCCCCCCGCTGGCAGCCATCATGGATGAAGGATCAGCTTCAAAGTAACAACACTTAGTCAGCACCTCATAAGGAACATTCATGCCATGATTGGTTTCAATCCATTCAGTGGTTCTCTAAAAGAAGACATTTGTATGTATTGTCCGTAGGGTCCTTTGTTAAGCACTGTCCCCAGCTGGTGGCCATCTTGGATGATGAATCGGCTTCAAAGTAACAACACTTGGTCAGCACCTCATAAGGAACATTCATGCCATGTTTGGTTTCATTCCATACAGTGGTTCTCTAAAAGAAGACATTTGTATGTATTTCCCATAGGGTCCTATGTTAAACTAAGTCCCTCGCTGGCGGCCATCTTGGATGATGGATAGGCTTCAAAGTAACAACACTTGGTCAGCATCTCATAAGAAACATTTATGCCATGTTTGGTTTCATTCCATTCAGTGCACCTCTAGAAGAAGCATTTGTATGTATTTCCAATATGGTCTTATGTTAAAGGCAGTCCCCCTGCTGGCAGCCATCATGGATGAAGGATCAGCTTCAAAGTAACAACACTTAGTCAGCACCTCATAAGGAACATTCATGCCATGTTTGGTTTCATTCCATTCAATGGTTTTCTAAAAGAAGACATTTGTATGTATTTCCCATAGGGTCCTATGTTAAAATAAGTCCCCTGATGGCGGCCATCTTAGATGATGGATCGGCTTCAAAGTAACAACACTTGGTAAGCACCTCATAAGGAACATTCATGCCATGTTTGGTTTCATTCCATTCAGTGGTTCTCTAAAAGAAGACATTTGTATGTATTTCCCATAGGGTCCTATGTTAAACTAAGTCCCCCGCAGGCGGCCATCTTGGATTATCGATCCGATTCAAAGTAACATTACTTGGTCAGCACCTCATAAGGAACATTCATGCCATGTTTGGTTTCATTCCATTCAGTGGTTCTCTAAAAGAAGACATTTGTATGTATTTCCCTTAGGGTCCTATGTTAAACTAAGTCCCCCGCAGGCGGCCATCTTGGATGATGGATCAGCTTCAAAGTAACAACACTTGGTCAGCACCTCATAAGGAACATTCATGCCATGTTTGGTTTCATTCCATTCAGTGGTTCTCTAAAAGAAAACATTTGTATGTATTCCCATAGGGTCCTATGTTAAACTAAGTCCCCCGCTGGTGGCCATCTTGGAATATGGATCGGTTTCAAAGTAACAAACAACACTTGGTCAGCACCTCATAAGGAACATTCATGCCATGTTTGGTTTCATTCCATTCAGTGGTTCTCTAAAAGAAGACATTTGTATGTATTTCCCATAGGGTCCTATGTTAAACTAAGTCCCCCGCTGGCGGCCATCTTGGATTATCGATCCGATTCAAAGTAACATTACTTGGTCAGCACCTCATAAGGAACATTCATGCCATGTTTGGTTTCATTCCATTCAGTGGTTCTCTAAAAGAAGACATTTGTATGTATTTCCCTTAGGGTCCTATGTTAAACTAAGTCCCCCGCAGGCGGCCATCTTGGATGATGGATCAGCTTCAAAGTAACAACACTTGGTCAGCACCTCATAAGGAACATTCATGCCATGTTTGGTTTCATTCCATTCAGTGGTTCTCTAAAAGAAAACATTTGTATGTATTTCCCATAGGGTCCTATGTTAAACTAAGTCCCCCGCTGGTGGCCATCTTGGAATATGGATCGGTTTCAAAGTAACAAACAACACTTGGTCAGCACCTCATAAGGAACATTCATGCCATGTTTGGTTTCATTCCATTCAGCGGTTCTCTAAAAGAAGACATTTGTATGTATTTCCCTTAGGGTCCTATGCTAAACTAAGTCCCCTGCTGGCAGCCATCTTAAATGATGGATCGGCTTCAAAGTAACAACACTTGGTCAGCACCTCATAATGAACATTCATGCCATGTTTGGTTTCATTCCATTCTGTGGTTCTCTAAAAGAAGACATTTGTAAATATTTCCCATAGGGTCCTATGTTAAACTAAGTCCCCAGCTGGCAGCCATCTTGGATTATAGATAGGCTTCAAAGTAACAACACTTGGTCAGCACCTCATAAGGAACATTCATGCCATGTTTGGTTTCATTCCATTCAGTGGTTCTCTAAAAGAAGACATTTGTATGTATTTCCCATAGGGTCCTATGTTAAACTAAGTCCCTCGCTGGCGGCCATCTTGGATGATGGATAGGCTTCAAAGTAACAACACTTGGTCAGCACCTCATAAGGAACATTCATGCCATGTTTGGTTTCATTCCATTCAGTGGTTCTCTAAAAGAAGACATTTGTATGTATTTCCCATAGGGTCCTATGTTAAACTAAGTCCCCCACTGGCGGCCATCTTGGATGATGGATCGGCTGCAAAGTAACAACACTTGGTCATCACTTCATAAGAAACATTCATGCCATGTTTGGTTTCATTCCATTCATTGGTTCTCTAGAAGAAGTTCAAAAGGTAAAAAGTTAACGACGAAGACGGACGACGGACGCCAAGTGATGAGAAAAGCTCACTTTGCCCTTCGGGCCAGGTGAGCTAAAAATGACAATATTATGAAATCCCCCCCCCCCCCCCCCCCCTAAAAAAATTAAAATAAATGTATGTACAGTTAGTATAATACAAGTATTTGCAGTTTCACTTTTTTCCCCAGATAGTATTCATTATTTTAATTATTTCATATGGCACTCCAATCTCAGCTGTTTATCAAATTGAAATCCTTTACTGGCTATAAATAACCAGATACAGTCGGCAGTATAAACAGTTGTCTTTGATAGTGGGATTTCCCTTATTTTCCCGCCAAAAAGCACATGGCTGTCCAAAAAGTAAACACACAATTGTTGCATGTGATCATGGTTTGTTTGTAACATTACTGCTTTTATTGATTTAATTTGGATATAGATATTCAATTTAATGTGCAGTCGAGCATGCATTTTATTGAATAGTTTGCATGCAATTTTTTTCAATAATTTTCAACTGGAAGAAACTTGGCCATCCGATGGTCACCTTTATGTGCAAGACATGTAAATAACTGCAGTCTCCCATTTCAGTAAATATTTCCTATTTCGACCTTCTTTTTCATAAACTTAAATTAATAGGTTTTCAATTCTGGAGTCATTGTAATTTAGGCACTTTGGCCTTAGGGAGCAACCATTTAACTTCAAGGTGGGGGGTTATGGTTTTTTGTCTGAGTCAGAAACGAGAACATTTTTTTAGTTTTTCAACGCTATCAATCAAATTATTTTTTTCAAAATTTAACACTATAAGGTATGGGGAAAATCTGGATTCAGAATACATTTTTTTTTGTCATCTGCTTGACCACAATATTGTTTTTCATCAAATTGGGGATCAGAATATTTTTTTAGGAAAAAACCATAACCCACCCTCCCCCTTAAAGTCAAATGGTCGTTCCTTTAGGAACGTAATTGTTCAGAAATCTATACATTTTAGTGTTTTTAATAGTCGAAATCTCGTCGCCGATGTGACTTATTATTTGGACCCAATCAACATGCGATGAGAACTTTTGAAAACGTGACTTGATAAATTGACAAATCCAAAACATGCATAATGAACTCTCACAAACGTGACATGATATTTAGGGCTGTTCCATAAAAACATACATGGGACCCAGGGAAGGCACTTCCAAATCTCAGCGTTGGGTGGGTGTCATATATGTTTTTGCATAGTGGAAACGTAAGTGAAATTTTAATTTGCCTCTATAGGTGGTTACCCCATTTTTAAAGTGCCTTCCCTGGGTACAATGTATGTTTTAAAGGAACAGCCCTTAGACCAATCAACGCAACGGGATCTCAACCAAATCAAATAAGTTATTTATAGTTTTATAACACAACTATTTATATATAAAATTGAGAATGGAAATGGGGAATATGTCAAAGAGACAACAACCCGACCAAAGAGTTTTATATATATACGCATATGGAGTTCAACTTCAATGTCCCTGTGGTATCTTCTGACTCATTTTAAGAATATTTTAAAGGATGTTCTACTAATAAAAACATACTTTTAATGAAAGTATTACCAAAAATGAAGTAGCCCCACGGGGCAGATGACCTAATAGATAAACAGGCCCGTTGTGAAATTCAGTGGCCACGGGCCAGCAGACCGCTTATTTTTAATCCTGTAAAAAACATACTAACAAAGAACCATGGGAGAACATAAAGGTGCCTTTAATTTGACAATTAATGTCCCATAACTCTACAATGACAAATCAGAAATTTTCAAAACGGAAATGTTGCTTACTTTTTCAAATCCACACAGCACCATAAAGTTTTAAGTAGATTTGATCTAAGAATTCTCTTTGTTTCATATGCTGTGGATAAACAGACAAGTTATACCATAATAAGCCCTGTCTATGACAGTTGCATAAAAATTAAATCATGATCATTGAACCCTGAAATGTCAATGATAACATCCTTGGGTAATCTGAAATGTATTCCAAATCTAAAGTTCACAAAATAAAGTAAAATAGACAAACCTTAGTGTTATCAACAGCAAAACCATTCTTCAGTAGTTCAGAACGAACATACATTTTATGCACTTTTGTTCCAACTGCTGTTAATTCGATCTCCTCAACCAAAGGATCAAGCCAAAGGGTATTCTCCATGCTATTAAAAAAGAAAAAGTGTATTTATTCAAACTAGAGGCTCTCAAGAGCCTGTGTCGCTCACCTGATTCTACTTTGGTTTTGGAAATCATGTAAAAATAGATTAAAATCATAACAGATACCCTAATAATGAGTGAGGCCAAATTTGGTTTAATATTGGTCCTGTAATTTAATAAAAAATCCTGGTGGCCATCTTGAACAGTAAATCAGCAACAAAGTAGCAACACTTAATCAGCACCTCATAAGAAACATTTATGCCATGTTTTGGTTTCATTCCATTCAGTGCACCTCTAGAAGAAGCATTTGTATGTATTTCCCATAGGGTCTTATGTTAAAGGAAGTCCCCCCATTGGCGGCCATCATGGATGAAGGATCAGCTTCAAAGTAACAAAAATTAGTCAGCACCTCATAAGGAACATTCATGCCATGTTTGGTTCAATCCATTCAGTATGTGGTTCTCTAAAAGAAGACATTTGTATGTATTGTCCATAGGGTCCTTTGTTAAACATTGTCCCCATCTGGCAGCCATCATAGATGAAGGATCAGCTTCAAAGTAACAACACTTGGTCAGCACCTCGAAAGGAACATGCATGCCATGTTTGGTTTCATTCCATTCAATGGTTCTCTAAAAGAAAACATTTGTACGTATTTCTCATAGGGTCCTATGTTAAACTAAGTCCTCCGCTGGCGGCCATCTTGGATTATGGATCGGCTTCATAGTAACAACACTTGGTCAGCACCTCATAAGGAACATTCATGCCATGTTTGGTTTCATTCCATTCAGTGGTTCTCTAAAAGAAAACATTTGTATGTATTTCCCATAGGATCCTATGTTAAACTAAGTCCCCCGCTGGCTGCCATCTTGGATGATGGATCGGCTTCAAAGTAACAACACTTGGTCAGCACCTCATAAGGAACATTCTTGCCATATTTGGTTTCATTCCATTCAGTGGTTCTCTAAAAGAAGACGTTTGTATGTATTTCCCATAGGGTCCGATGTTAAACTAAGTCCCCCGCTGGCGGCCATCTTGGATTATGGATCGGCTTCAAAGTAACAACACTCGGTCAGCACCTCATAAGGAACATTCATGCCATGTTTGGTTTCATTGCATTCAGTGGTTCTCTAAAAGAAAACATTTGTATGTATTTCCCATAGGATCCTATGTTAAACTAAGTCCCCCGCTGGTTGCCATCTTGGATGATGGATCGGCTTCAAAGTAACAACACTTGGTCAGCACCTCATAAGGAACATTCTTGCCATGTTTGGTTTCATTCCATTCAGTGGTTCTCTAAAAGAAGACATTTGTATGTATTTCTCATAGGGTCCTATGTTAAACTAAGTCCCTCACTGGCGGCCATTTTGGATGATGGAACGGCTACAAAGTAACAACACTTGGTCAGCACCTTGTAAGTAACATTCATGCTATGTTTTGTTTCATTCCATTCAGTGGTTCTGTAAAAGAAGTCATTTGTATGCATTTCCCATAGGGTCCTATGTTAAACTAAGTCCCCCGCTGGCGGCCATCTTGGATGATGGATCGGCTACAAAGTAACAACACTTGGTCAGCACCTCCTAATGAACATTCATGCTATGTTTTGTTTCATTCCATTCAGTGGTTCTCTAAAAGAAGTCATTTGTATGCCTTTCCCATAGGGTCCTATGTTAAACTATGTCCCTCGCTGGCGGCCATTTTGGATGATGGAATGGCTACAAAGTAACAACACTTGGTCAGCACCTTGTAAGGAACATTCATGCTATGTTTTGTTTCATTCCATTCAGTGGTTCTCTAAAAGAAGTCATTTGTATGCATTTCCCATAGGGTCCTATGTTAAACTAAGTCCCCTGCTGGCAGCCATCTTGGATGATGGATCAACTACAAAGTAACAACACTTGGTCAGCACCTCCTAATGAACATTCATGCTATGTTTTGTTTCATTCCATTCAGTGGTTCTCTAAAAGAAGACATTTGTATGCATTTCCCATAGGGTCCTATGTTAAACTAAGTCCCCCGCTGGCTGCCATCTTGGATTATGGATCGGCTTCAAAGTAACAACACTCGGTCAGCACCTCATAAGAAACATTCATGCCATGTTTGGTTTCATTCCATTCAGTGGTTCTCTAAAAGAAGTCATTTGTATGCATTTCCCATAGGGTCCTATGTTAAACTAAGTCCCCCGCTGGCGGCCATCTTGGATGATGGATCGGCTACAAAGTAACAACACTTGGTCAGCACCTCATAAGGAACATTCATGCCATGTTTGGTTTCATTCCATTCAGTGGTTCTCTAGAAGAAGTTCAAAATGTAAAAAGTTTACGCCGACGACGGACGACGCCGGACGACGCCGGACGACGGACGCCAAGTGATGAGAAAAGCTCACTTGGCCCTTCGGGCCAGGTGAGCTAAAAATTAGAGCTTATTTATTTTAGTTTACAAAGAACAATGTAGTGATGTTTACCTGTCTGCAATACAGACCATTTTATCAATATTTTGCAATATTGACCATTCTATCAATATTTTGCAATATTGACCATTCTATCAATATTTTGCAATATTGACCATTCAATAAAAAAATCCATAATTCTGTATGTGCCTGTACAAAGTCAGGAGCCTGTAATTCAGTGGTTGGCATCTATTTTCTCATTTGAATTGATTTATATTTTATCATGTCAGGGCTTTTTATAGCTTAAATATATAAAAATACTCTGGTCTTTAAAACTGTATACCGGTACAGTCTAATCTGTATTAAGCAGTCACTCTTGGGAAGTATAAAAAATGACCGCTCAAGAGAGGTGACTTTTGAAACAAGGTTCCAAAAAATTCCGACATCACCCGTGGCAGGGATCAGGTCAAATTGTTTAAGTGTTTTCAATCGGTAGAGTTGTTGTACTTGCCAGCAGTGAAATAAAAAATGGCAGATCCCGGCGCTGTAAATTTGAAGAAAATGTCGAAATATTTTAATACTCGAGGAGAAATAAGTCGCTGATACTGTTTTCAATGGAAACTGAAAGAGGGAAAAAAGTCTAATTTAAAATTCACTTTCTATTGCGTGATCTTGGTTACAAACAGGTTTTGATTTTAATTTTGACTTCGATATTGACAACATATATTTTTTGTCATGAAGATTTTTGGCAGTTAAAAACATTAAAATGACCATTGTTAAAAGTTTAAATGATGATGATCTCCTTTGAAAATAAGGTGACCACTGACCACGTTAGACAGGTGACCACTGAAATGAGTTAAATTATATAGAGAATACATTTAGGAGGGTCTGAAAGTGACCGTTAGAAGCAGGTCCCCGCTGAAACGAGGTGACCGTAAAGGCAGGTTTGACTGTATCTTGTTCATAAATGTCGTAATAATTATATTGTTTCTGAGGTTGGTTTTTCACACTGATTTTGACATCTACCTATAAATGCAATAAACACTTTTCATGAATCATTCATTTAAACATAAAAGTGGGACAGATGTTTGCCCTTCCAAGCCAAAGCAGTCTGGTCTGACCTAATAATGATGTAGGTAAGGGGTCAATCCTTTTGGTTCGATGGTTTCATAGATTATGAAAAAAAGTTTACGAAAGAACACCAAGGAAGAATGCAAACTGATGGCAATATTTGTCACTGGTCCTTTTATATTGCCTTTAGCCAAAGATTCCTTTCCTTGGTGACCGAACTATCACTCCCCGAGGTTTCACATAATTTGTATCCAAATCTTTTACATAAGAACAATTCTACATATATCACAGCTTAAGTTTCATCATTAGTTGCATTTCAATCTATTTACCTCAAAACAATTCTGCCATCTAATTCTTTGTGTTCTATAAGCTCATGCATGAACATACTGGCCTAGAAATAGAGTATGCAAATAAAATTTATATACATCATTTACTGAAATAGTTTTCTAACAATAACATGTCTTTTTTTCATATTTATGTAACATACCAAGTTAAATAATTGACTGTTATTGAAGAACGTTCCCTCATGATAATAATAAAATAGCTGCAAGGTAAGAGCTAAATACTGGTAGTTTACAGTAAATTTCAAGATGCACAGCATTATAATCCATGGTTGTGTTTTTGTGATAAACAAACAAAAAATTAAAATCAAAGTCAACTAAAAAGAGTTTCAGGAACTGTCTGAAATAAATCATTTGAAAGTTTTATCTGGATATTATTTCAGAACAAGACATTCTTTTAAGTCTTTTCGATTTCAGATGACTGGATTGCTGTCTAACTGACATTTCCTCAATTTTTTTTTATTCTAAGGATGACCTAACTATGTTTGATTCTAACTGGCTAAACCCATTAAACCAAATAAACAATTTGTCTTATAAGGTAAATAAACAATAAATGCAATGTGATGATAAAAGCAGTTACTATTCTAAGGGACATTTTAGTAATAGTAAAACCATATGAATTAAATTAATGCTGCTTGCTTCCTGCTCAATGGCATATATTTCATGCATTTTCAGGAGCACAATAAAACACAAACAATTCAATAAAATTACAAAAAAAATAATATTTCATTTTTTAAAGAGATGCAATCCTTACCCTTGGTGTCCAATCTTCATCACTATCTATAGGTTTAAGTCTGCATATAAACACATCAACAGCCTGTGAAGATAAAATATCACAATTAACATTTGTGTTTCAGCAACAAGATTAACCAGAATAATTATGTCCAGTTGCAATCATTTATTTCAATAAGTTCCAAACAATTTTAAAGTTTTTTCAAAAGTCCATATAAAAATAAGGAGATGTGGTATGATTGCCAATGAGACAACTATCCACCAAAGTTCAAATAAAGTTGAACCTAAATTTAAATTTAAAGAAATAGAAAAAATGTAATAATAAAAACTATTAGTAGACAGCTCTCTCACAACCAGTTTATTTCATGTCTTTAATTCATCTTATCTCTCTGTTAGTTAAAATTAGTAACAGAATGCAAATTTGAAAGCTATTGAAAATTAGTCAATGCATATTACCGTATATAAGTACTCGAAAGAGATCAGTAAAATCCTTATTAATATATCATATCCACACACGGCTTTTGGCCATAAGAATTCATGAAAAAAATATTTCATGACTTGATATTTACAGTAAGTGTTCAATTCATACATATGCTGATCTTTTATTTACTGAAAGACGAATCATTTGATTCTGTCATATGCTTTCAGTTTGTATTAAAACAACCTGTGCTATATGAAAGCAACACATGATTACAGAATGATTAGTTTGGCCAGCTTTATTCATCAACACTAATTTATGCATTGTTCTTGAACTTTGTGGAAATGATTATACTTTTTAAAAAATCAAATATTTCATTATTTAAAACAAAATTGCTGACAAAATATCTTGTATATACGGACAATTGATATAAATATATATTAATAAATTATTTTTCTATGATATACATATATAATAATAATGTTTAAAATTTTATTAAATATTTTAAGATTTATCTACTTTGAAATCAACATTGTCATATTGCCAATTAAAACTATATGACATATTATAATTCATTTCACATGGAATGATACTTTTTTCAATTCACAAGTCAATTTCTTCCAAAGTTTTGTGTTGAAAGTTTTACTTTTAGTATTAAATGTGAATAACAAAAATTTTTTCTTGAAAATCTGTAAATATAAAGTTTATTTTGTTTAAATTAAAAAAAAACAGCATTCAATTCTATATTGAAACAGCAGGTGAAACTAATGCAGGTAAATTTCAATTCTTACGTAATTATTAAGCAGTATTTTCATGTAAAAACATGCTTTTCTAAATAAAAAAGAAGTTAAAAGTGTTGATACATGATTTTAGAACTCTTTAACCATGTTAAAAGGATGTGTAAATTGCAAACACATTTGTGTTGTTGGTTACATCATCACTGATATATATCCCATGTCTGTTTTTTATTCATATACATACATGCATAACAATTTTTTTTTTACATCAACAGCTAAATTTTTTGTAAAAAGCTCCAAACAGAATCTGAATGAATTTAATTGTTTGCTTCAAAAAATGTACAAGCATATGGTGAACCCATAATAAAATGAATACTTCAATTAATGATTCATGCTATAAATATTTCATGATTATTTCATTTTTTGTATAAACCCCATGAAAGGCCTCTATCATACCTGAAATGATATATTTTTCAGTTTCTGAGGTAAGTCAAACAATTTTTTTGCCTCTACTTTCTGTTCAGTTCCGTCGTCTACAAACTTCACCTAAAACAAAATCAAAAGATGTTATCTATTTCAAGCAGTTTTCTACTGCAAATTTACAAATATTTGCAATGTTTTATCTGTTGCAATAATGTGACAGTATTAGCAGTATGGCATTAATTAGAACCCAGTTTAAATTCTGATAGCAATACTTGTAAGCAGCATGTTCTGAAATCATGTTAAGTAATCTTGCATTTTTGTTTGTTGATGAGCCATCATATATATACAAGCTGCACAAAATAATTTCTGAATTCAAAGCATTTTCATGGCTTTCTTATATTTCATTTTTGACTGCTTTAAAATCAAACTAAAATAAAATTCCTTACATCTACATCATTTGGTCTCTGGTGGATAGTTGTCTCATTGGCAATCATACCATGTCTTCTTGGTCTCTGGTGGATAGTTGTCTCATTGGCAATCATACCATGTCTCCTTGGTCTCTGGTGGATAGTTGTCTCATTGGCAATCATACCATGTCTCCTTGGTCTCTGGTGGATAGTTGTCTCATTGGCAATCATACCATGTCTCCTTGGTCTCTGGTGGATAGTTGTCTCATTGGCAATCATACCATGTCTCCTTGGTCTCTGGTGGATAGTTGTCTCATTGGCAATCATACCATGTCTCCTTGGTCTCTGGTGGATAGTTGTCTCATTGGCAATCATACCATGTCTCCTTGGTCTCTGGTGGATAGTTGTCTCATTGGCAATCATACCATGTCTCCTTGGTCTCTGGTGGATAGTTGTCTCATTGGCAATCATACCATGTCTTCTTATTTTTGTATACTGCTGCAAAATTAAGAGGGGGGAAGGTTTCATCTAGTTTTCAAACTACATTAATTTTACATAAAAACTCATTTTTTCTTTTGTTTTGCATTTACGTATATCTTTAAGAAAAAGTCCTGTTCAAGAAGGTGCAAATTTCTAATACAGAGAAATCTGTCTTTAGGACTGTTGAGGACTGGAACAAGAAACATGAAAAATCTCCACAATCAAATGGCAGCCCTTAAGTAACTTTTACCGATATAAGCCTGCCTTGAATATCTGAAATCAATTCTGTTCTTTATCATTTAACAGAATAAAATCATATAGAACTTTTGGTCACTCCAATGAAAAATTTAAGTGAAATGAAAATGTATTTTTTGGTGAACCAAGTTGGAACAAACCAATAAAATTACACAAACTACGCTACAAACTAACTCACAGTAGCCATTATTCCTCCATCATTTGAGTTCAAATTACCAAGGTCTGTAATCTTCACTCTGTAAGATATTCAACAAAACATTTCATCATTATTCACTCCAGTTCACATATTAAAACTATTTCAATACCACATTTCCCTAGTTTGTTTTAAACTCTTAAATAATTGCATTTAAAACTTTAGTAAATGTTAGAACTTACTGAAAGCAGCATATGACAAACTCTCCCTAATAGTTTTCAAATTGGAAAGCACTGTTCTGTATTTGAGTTTTTTTATTCTGGGATTAAGTAATAAATAACTCAACAAATATATCACTAGATTTTCCAATCTTGCTAAACATTTATAACAATTTTTTCTACTTCATATAAAATCAGGGGTAACAGTCACAATTTTTGTACTCCAAGTACTGAGTAAAGTTTATGATTGAAATATAAATAAGAAGATGTGGTATGAGTGCCATTGAGACAACTATCCATCCAAGTCACAATGTGTAAAAAGTAAACACTTATAGGTCAAAGTACGGCCTTCAACACGGCTCTTAAAAATAATTAAAGTCATTGAAGCATGCCGAGTGGGACACTTGAGACATGTCATCCTTTTATGTTTATTAATAAATGATGGAACAGCATCCCCAAAATTAGACATCTATCATCAATATATCTAATCAGAAATTTTTTAAACATGAAAATAATTCCATAGCTTAAACAAAGATTAGGTTGTGAAGATTTTTTGAACTTTCAACTGAGAGGATATATGTTAATGCAACAATAAATCAAACATGAAAGATCTATCAGAAGTTCTTATTCTGAACTTGAGGTTCATAGTTAGGTGTTGAAAAGGGATTACAATAATGGTGAAACTGTAACTAAAAAAGTAACACTGGTGTCTTGGATTGAATGAATTATGACAAAAAATTAGCCAATCAAAGTAGTGACCCTTACAAATGACCATTAAACAAAATCAAAAGCAATGGCTCATCAAATTGTGGCCTCATGACATGTTTGTCCCAAACAATTTATAAAAAACACTTTTCTTAAAGGAGAAATGAAAGAGCTCCTACATTTAAATTGACATACCTGTGAAATATTTCGCTGAATTCATATGCACAAACATCCCCAATACACATGTTTGCTGCAAATAGAAAATGTATACTTTTTTATCTTACCTTCTATAGATTTATGGGGATATGATTGGTTAATCGACTACACATGGTGACCTTATATATTTCATATAGGGTGTCCTAAAAAATAAATGGTTAGTTACAATATACAGTTAGCAAGCATATGGGGTTAGTAAGGAGTTACTTCCCTTTTAAAACAAAAATGACATCTGAAAGGTTTAAACAGATGAAGAAACTGGTAACAAACGATTGAAATACATTCATAAAACAAATTTAAAGTTAACACGTTGTTATTGTTGGCATTTGTTTTTTGTATAGACAAATGCAAGTAGGTTCTTAAACATGTTAAAATTAAGTATTGAAGTCTTTTAAATCACTTTGATAGGCCGCTAGTCTTAATACCACATGGGAAGATAGTCTGTAAGATAAATTCGTTACACATTGTGCTAGTGACCTAATACAATATATATGGGGTCAGTAAATTCCATATGGGGATTCGAGCTTCGCTCTCACCCCATATGGAATTTACTGACCCCATATATATCGTATTAGGTCACTAACACACCATGTAACTAATATTATGTTGCTATATAATAATGTGGGATATATTATATTGCTATACTATAATAAGAATTCCTGTTTTATTCATTTTAGTATATTTGCTATATACCATGTTTAAATAAACAAAGTTAGCATAAAGACATGCTTAGACTGGTAGTTGTACAGTTAAAAATAAATCAATCCTCCTATGAAGAACAACCTTATAGATTGAATTTAATTTTTTTCTCCTTTTTTTTGTCCTTCAATATATAATTGTTACAAAAACTTGTAATTCCTTTCAATGAATCATTTTTGAGTCCTCTGACAACAAAAATATACAACAGTTATAAACATAAAAATATTTAGATTGTGTTATGTTAAAAAAAAAGTTCTTGAAAAATGATAAAATTTTTGTTTTTATAAAATATTAAAATTATATGCTGAAACATACTGTGTCGTTGTCTGTTCATATGATCTCCAAAGAAAGACTGCATCTGGAAGAGGAGGTTAGTATAATCACATCTTAAATCTGTAACAGTTCCATCTGGAGCTTTGTGTTCCTGTATTATTCCATGGAAATGACTGGCATCTACAATATTTGTCATTCTTATCTGCAACAGAATTTAAAATATATAATCAAATTTCATATTCATTTATAAAAATATTTAAATCTATTTAAGAATGTTTTCTCATGATTTTAATGTTTCCTCAATATTTATTATCTTATCATTCTGGCATATTTTTAGATTATGTATTAAAATTATTTTCCCAGCTACCTCTAAATCTCAAAAGATTTTAAAATCTTACATCTTATATATCTTTGTGTGAAATTCTTGTTTTTTCTTATTAATTTTTCATACAATTTAACATTCATTTCTTTCCATATATTTCAAATGGAAAATCAAAGTCTAAAAAGCCTGAGTCAGTCACCTAGTTTTATGTGTATCTTCAACAATGGCAACTCTCCTTCATTGTATACTAGAATATAATTTATGACAAAAAAATCTTTTTTGTTGAACTTGTTAATTTTTTCAAAAACAGAAAAATGGGTAAAAAATCTCCATTCAAGGGCAGTAACAGCTGTAAGAAGTGAACTGACAATTTTGGGCTTTGTTGACACATTTGTTGACCATGTCTTGCTGGTAATTTTTACTATTTACAATTTCTCTATATCTTCTTTAGTTTACCAAAAAAGCAAAAAGCATAAAAATTGTCATTTAAAGCATAAATCCAAATAAGAATCAACTGACAATTTCAAATATGATGACCTATTAGTAGGTCTTGTCTTGCTGATCTTTTTGTTCTTTAATGTTTATATCTTTCTGTTATAGTTTTCAAGAAATTAGGCAAAAAACACAAAACTTTGGTAACAAATTATCATTTAAGGGCAATTACTCCTTTAAAAAGTAGGATGATGATTTTGGTCATGTTGACTTATTTGTAGATCTTGTCTTGCTGATCCTTTCTTCTTTTTAAAGTTTCTGTATAAAGAATACTTGACAGTGTGGTTAAATTTCGATTTCTAGATCGAGGATAAGCTAAACTTCCAAAAACCTACCTTGACATATCCACAAGTTAATTTACTTCTTCCGTCAATATCTGGTACAATCAAATGTCTGTCCTTACACACATCTTCATGTCTGCAATTAAATACAGTATCAATTATAAATCATTTTCAACTCAAATATAAATATATTAGTAATGATTTCTAGTATATCAGTTTATCAAAACCAAATAAACAAACATTGGCACACTTTTAAAGTTCTAAAACTTTAACAGGCCATTTTTCATTTCAATATTTGTCAATGTTTTATTGGTAGAAAGATTGATGTGCAGTATTGTTTATTATTATACTTCATGTCAAAATGCAAGATTCTAATTAGATAATTTATTCTATCACATGGCTTATATTCTATTACCCTTCAAGGAGAAGCTAGATCAGTTGTGCACTTAATTTAATATGGCTGGTTGTTACATAAGAGACGTCATAGGTTAAAAGCCAATAATATCCTATAAATTTTCAGTATAATAAATTAAATGATACATAATGGAGAGGGTGATAGAGCAGATTGTTACCCCTCGGAAAAACATTTGTCAACCTTGGCTTTGCCTCAGTTGACAATGAATTCTAGGGGTAACAATCTGCTCTATCACCCTCTCAGCTATGTGTTATTTATATAATATCAACCTTTACATTAAAGGTAAAGAAATTTATACAGACTGAGTAAATTTTGAATCTATTTGAGTGTCTGTGAAAAAAGGATTCATATATTATATGGAAACCAAATCAAGAAACTGTTATCTATTTTATTTATCTATTATTGGTTGCTTAATGTACTGCTAAAAATAAGTATGCAACTTGAGAGTTTATGGTTGGATTGATTAATTGTTGTTGGTTCAATATACAGTGGCAAATATTTCATTCATATTTAGGATGGGGAAAAAATAACATTAAATCAAAAAGGTAGGTTCTATAATGTGGGTAATAGATGAAGATTATGGAATTTGGACTGCCAGTGAAAATGGGACCATTTCTAATTGGGGCAGAAATTAAACAATGCAACAGATCACCTACAGACCCTCAAAGAGTTGTTTTAAACCAGCAGCAGTAAAATCGTTTGGTTTGTAGTTTTAAGGTAAAATGATTGGGCCACTTTACTGTTAAAAGTAACATATCTGATCTACAGGACACAAAAAAAAACCTGTGTCACAACTGGACATGTCATTTACATACCTGCATCTTCCAAAAGCTTTCAAGTAATGACAAAGCTTCTTTTCTTTGTCTAGATTAAGTGCCTGGAAAACAAGATATTATTTTTGTATTTTCTCAAAACCTTACATTATTTGTTACTTATACAACAGAGAAACTTTCTTCATAGTAATGTTTATTTCCTTCAGATACAACCACTTACAGAAAAAAAATTAATTTTGTATCCATAAGGAGAGATGCATATCTTAAATGAACATTAAGGAAAAGCTTGAAGGCTCTAGATTAAATAACGTTGAAGGAATTGATTACACAAAAACATGTTCCTTCTGTTTCCTGTTGACTTGCCTTGCATTTACTGCACTATAAGCCAAAATTGCACTCATGCAACTTGACCAAAATTAATAAATTGGAAAATTTGATATTCAAACTATGTTACTTGTTACTATACTATATATAAAAATATTAATTTTCGCGAACCATTTAGGTCACGGAAATTCCATTTTTTGCCATCAGTAAGGAGAGTTGTACAAATAATGTGAATACACAGAACCCCGATCCAATTCATCTTTTGCTAAAAATATTTATCATTTTCTGTTTTGTATCTCCTAACATCATTCCATTTTTCTCTAATTTCGATTAATATGCCAAAACCTGCAGTAAAAATAGATGTATGCCCCAAATAAACATTACCTGATTGGTTGAACTACTATGGCGTTGATGTAAAGCAACGCAAGCCTCAATGTAAAGCAACGCAAGCCTCGATGTAAAGCACACGCTTCCCAAGAGTAAGGAGAGTTGTACAAATAATGTGAATACACAGACCCCCGATCCAATTTATCTTTTGCTAAAAAAGTTCATCATTTTCTGTTTTGTATCTACCAACAACATTCCATTTTTCTATAATCCCGATTTAAACATGTCAAAACCTGCAGTAAAAATAGATGTATGCCCCAAGTAAACATTACCCGATTGGTTGAAAAGCTGTGGCCTCGATGTAAAGCAACGCAAGCACACGCCAAAATTTTTGTTGATATGTTGAACTTCGACGCCAGGATTCAGCCGATTCACAAAGAGATTTTCTTGCGCTCAAATTTAATTCTAAGTGAAGTATGCTGGTAAAGTAAAATTATATTCTTTTACAGAAATATTTACACATTTTATCATTAATGTATTGTCATGCTTCTGCATATTTACGCTGAGCTTTAGTTAAATATAATTCTATACAAATTTTGTTACGTCAAGCATTAAGAGTAAGAATATTTCGCGTCAAAACAAGAAAATAACCTGTATCACCAAATAAGTAAATGTTGGTAATTATTACTTATTAATGTTAAGGTTCTCCAGAGGTGGTTCTCTAGGCCTTCTTGGCGGTCAATTTAATCCCATTTATCCCCGATGACAGAATGGCAACCCAGTCGATTTGTGTCATGAGTGAAAATCTTATCTATTTGATGGAATAATTTCTTCATTAACTGTGCATGCAGCATTTTTGTATTTTTTGTTAACCGTGCACATACCCTTTGCATTTTTGCAAGATAAATGGGTTGTGTATGTGTAATAACAAAATTGGCAGCGATAAAAGTTTGTTACGTCAGTGAGTGATCACATGACATTATTATTTGTAAACAAACGGACTCGTGTAACACGTGTAGGAATTATCCATACAAGGTGCAATCAATCTTATATTTCACTTTTTGATGATATTTCTGTGCCTGTAAGTAGGTGTTGCAGATCAGAAATCATAGTTTCATTGTATCAACGATACTAATGTTGCTGTTCAGTAGTTAGTTGTGATTTTTTTTATAGAATTAGAAGGTACAAAAAATGTAAGTTAACTAATTCTGTGAAAATGACAACTCTACCTGTATTTTTTCCTCAATTTTTGAAACATGCATAATATTAAAGAGCATTTGCTTCCCTTGAACACTCCCCCTCTCCCCTTCCCCCAAAACTCATAAGTCAAGATAACTCTGACTTCCAAAGGCTGTTTTGCGATTCCGACATTTTAACTTTTTTTCAAATGGATGTCAAGTTAAGAGAGACTACACAGCCTTGAGACTGAAGTATGCTAATTTCTGCATATAACGTTTTGTAGCCAACATCGATACCAATCCGAACACACTCGGCCATTCAGCTTATTTGCATCGTAAATGAACGAGGCGTTGGATTATGTATTCATATTGAACCAGGGTCATATGCATAAATCAGCTCCCATAATGCATTGTAAATTACTTTTTCTCGTTGGTCACTTGACAATCTTTCAAAGTGAAAATTAAAATGCCAGAATCGATAGGTCACTGTGAAAACTGTCCAAATATGATAAAATAAAGGGTGGCAGGTAGATGAAACTTGCATAAATGAAGAGATAAATGAAAAATGAACAAATTGAGGCCCGATTTACATGGATCCAGTCAGCTCCAGAAGCAATGAAGCAGCACATCCATTTTGGACGGTAAATATCCACTTTTTGATATGGGAGCTACCATTTGAATTGGGGAGGGGGGGGACTAGGGTTCAGGGCTCACACTACTTCAGAATCATAGGGAGAAGTGACTTCTCTTTTTGAAACTGAGAGGGAGAAGTGGTGAGATTTGAGAGAGAAGTGCTCGTTCGATTGCGGCACTACAATGTTTGGTTTTTCTATAATACAAAGGGCCATATGTATCTTATTTTTTTATATTGCTCAATTTGTACCTGGGAGTACAATAAAAGTAACAGTTCAAATTCAAAGTTGTTTAATTTTATCATATCTAGTTATTAGTATAAAATATCCACTTAAACAACACCCAAAAAAAATTTCAAAATAACATACCTGATTCCTGCCTGCTAACATCTGTCTCAACTGCACTGGAAGCTTGACCTTTGACCTTATCAACAGCTTAGATATGGTGTCAACAGTTTCTGTAGATTCTTCTGTAATCAGTATGTATGATGTTGGTTTAACTCTTTGTTCCTGAAAAAAAATGAAAAAAGTATACAGAGCAAACTGTTGATGTCAAATTGATATACAGCCGCTGTAGTCTCCTAATAGCTTGCTCAACTTGAGTGCGAAAGGTTGTAAGTTCGATACCTGGCAAGGTCAAATCAGACTTGAAAATATTTTGCCATTTATAAAGGGACATAACTTAAGAACAGTGAAAGTGACGCCACCTAAATTTGAAACTTGATCTGTGTTTGGTGCAAAATAAGCAACTAGCTTTCAGTAACTGTGAGTACTATTATTTCGGTGCTTTATGTCTATTGTTTTAATGCTAGTTATTTTTGTGCCTCTGACTGATCTTTTGAGTAAAGCCCAATTGCAACTGATTTTTACTGTTTGTTCTTATGTTGTGCTATAAGGTTAAGGGGAGGGTTGTGCACTCACATACATGTTTAACCCCACCACATTCTTTATGTGCCCGTCTAAGTCAGGAGCCTGTAGTTCAGTGGTTATCATTGGTTCATGTCTGTCATATTTTTATTTTTGTAAATTGTTTTTGTTATAAATTAGGCCGTTAGTTTTCTCAATTGAATTGTTTCAAATTTTTTATGTAGGAGCCTTTCAAAGGGGACTATATGGTATAAGTATTTCTCATTGTTGAAAGCTGTAAGATTGCCTATAATTGCTTACATCCACTTCATTTGAACTTTGGTATATAGTTGTCTCATTGGAAATCATATCACTTTTCATTATTTTTATATTGTGTATAAGTTTCATAACATTTGGTCTAGTTGCTGGAGCATAAAAAACTCACCTCATCTTTAGTCAAGAAATTCCAGTAATGTCTTGACATACAGGACATTCTATTTCCAAACTTGGTCTTTGAATCTGGCAAATCATAGTGGATGATGGTGGTGGCATTATTGATATAAAGATGTGGTATACTGCCATCTGTAGCAACTGGAAAAAACAAATATCAAACTTTAAGTTAATTCTTAGAAATTACAAAAAAGTAAAACTAGTAGGAAGTAGCATTAGCCAAAGGACTTTCATCAATTATATGACATGCAGTATCTCCCAAAAAATGTAGTTTAATAATTAAAACAAAACAATACAATACAAAAACACATGTTGCATCAACTGATGAATCCATGTCAGCAATATTGTGCACATTGAGTACAATTTTAAAAGATTTATTATTCTTCAAAAACAATTGAAACTTGGGTAATCTTAGCTGGTCTTAACTTTTATCAAGATAAAAACGTGATTGTGACAAATGAAAGCTCTTGACTCTAACATGAACTAGCAAGACATTGTATAATAGATATAGGAAGATGTGGTATGAGTGCCAATGAGACAACTCTCCATCCAAGTTACAATTTATAAAAGTAAACCATTATAGGTCAAGGTACGCTAGCAACTTCAAACGATGTTGTGCAAAGTATACCCTATTACATTTTCAGAAATTGAAAAACAATTGCATGCTCAGAGGGTTTTGAAATGTTAAAGCATCGTCAAAATGGAAGTGACTGCCCAGCAGATTATAAAAATCACTTTATAGTTAAATCCATCTTAAATACATTAAGATAAAATATCAAATCATTCATTAATACATTAGCTGAGAAATGTGTGACCAAAACACAGTCAGACACTAACTTTTACAACAATTTGCCCTTCTTACAAGTGACCTGAATATTCTACCTGTCCCAAATAGAAAATCACTTGTCTAATTTAAGTCCTTGCTTCAAAAATTTCTAAATTGCCATCATGAATAAAAATATATTTCATTGTGTTTTTTGTTTCTCTGAAATACATGAACCAATAAACATTTCCCTACCCTAAGCTACCAATCCATCAGGAGACTGGGATTGATACTTTGTTTTGATATGCATAATATTGAGTAAGAAAACAACTATGAACATCTTTTTTATCCACAAAAAAATTCTCCCAATAAATTAGTGACTGAACATGAGACAGCTCATTAAATCTTTCTATAATTTTTGTCAATTTCTTATTTTTTAGATAAAAAAATCAATGTCATTAAGGTGATCTCAGGTTTTTTTTATTTTGTTTAGCAATATTTAATAGTATTCCTATAATAGCTAGGTGGACATATAAATGGCAACTATCTACTCCTCAAATATATTTTAGGAAGCATAATTATAGATAATAAGTCAAACCTAAAATAATTGGCTCCTCCCCATCATCACAATACCAACTGGAGCTCTTCTCTTCAATGTCAAATTTGTCCATGCTATCATGAGCAAGCAAGGCACAGAGTGAACGAGACTGTAAAAGCTGAAACAAAAGTACATTATGTGTCTGTAACATAAGCATCTGTCAGAGATTTGTAAAATTTCATGAATGTTTTACAAAGTTAATTAAGTTTTAAATTTCTAACCACAGACTGTACTTTAAATAGTAATTACAAAAAATACTTACCGTAACAAAAATAAACTGTGAGCTATTGCTCACTAAAGATACTCCACTGTAAGTAATGATCAGTATTCTGTTCACAGGAAGCTGATGTGCAATAGATGTGAAAAGTTTCACACAGTATAGAAAGCTCACATGATGCTTGATGTATATTTTAGAAAGCTCTGATTAGTAGATCCTGAGAACAATGCTTAGAAGATCTTAAGAACAATGCTTAGGGGTAAAGGGAGGGTTTGGTGCCAGCAAACATGTTTAATCCTGCCACATTCTGTATGTGCCTGTCCCAAGTCAGCGACTCTTTTCACAAAAAATCTTACGATTAAAATTGATCGTAAGTTATACTGAAATGTGTATGACTTACGAGTATTTTTACTCTTAAGATTTTTTGTGAAAAGAGCCGCAGGAGCCTGTAATTCAGTGGTTGTTGTTTATTGCTGTATATCATAGTTGTTTTTAATTTATTGTTTTGTACATAAATGAGGCCATTAGTTTTCTCATTTGTTTTACAATTGTCAATACAAACAAAACTTCAGAGATTGCCATTACGTGTAAGAATATATAAGTATATGGTACACAGGAAAATGATATACAATTTAAGTACACTTAACCACTGTAGACTTTTGTTATATTCAGGTTGCCTTTGTATCAAAATATTTACTAGAAGCAGATATCAGAAGGTCAATTGTTAAAATCATAGAACAAGATTAGACACATTCAATCAATTTTCCAAATTAATAATCCTATTGAAGTGATCATTGGCAGTTCTTATTACTTGGTTTAACCTAAGAAAAACTAAAGTAGAAAGATCTAATGTTTATCATGTAATTTTTTCTTAGCACGTTACTGAGGATATAATCAATAGGGTTATATTCAGTATGGTGAGAGACCACTTACAGACAGACGAATGGTAGGATTTCTGATTACTTATTTGATATTTGTATGGAATTGTAGAATATAAATACACATATTTTTATTTTCTATTGTAAGATGTATTTTTTTCTACAACTGTTTTAGACTAATTGAGAAATAAGTAAAAATACACAGCAAAAAGATGAATGAGTGACCTTACCTCATTTTTGTTTAATTTCTCATAAAGTTGGGCACATTTTATGAAAATAAACATACAGATAGAGAGATAGCAAGATTATTTACTTTTTCCCCCTTTTGTTTTTTCCATTAATCAGGCCGTTACTTTTCTCATTTGAACGATTTTCATTTGTCATTTTACATTTTAGAGCTTGCTATGCCGTATGGATTTGTTCATTGTAAAAGGCAGTACAATGACTTATAGTTGCTAACTTCTACATCATTTGGTCTCTGGTGGAGAGTTGTTTCATTGGCAATCATACCACCTCTTCTTATTTTCCATATAACTCAGATAAACTTATTTTATAAAGGAATGTACAGCAAATTTACCTTTTTTGTTTTTAGCAAGAAAAAGATTTTTATTGTTATTTTCTGAAAGCAGATTATAATAGCTATCTTCTCATATTTCAACTTCTACCATTTAATTTTACTTTTTATTCACACAAAATTGGTATTTCCACGTAAAATCAGTAGACAAAATTTTACAATTTTGAAAAAACAACTTCATACTCTTTTATTTTATTTTTGAAAATAGCATGATATAAACTTCATTTTGGAAAAGTATTAAACGAACCTTGAAAACATTACATGCCAAGTTGACCGTTGAGGCAAATATAATGAGTTTACAGTTGTCTTTTAGAATATCATCCAATATATCAAGGAATTTGTTTGGTTTCTGCATACTGTGACACACCACAGGAATCTGAAATTTGATATAGAATTGATCATCCTACAAAAAAACAATCCCAAATCCAGATATTTCATTTTCAAGTTAAATTGTTCATTTGCTGAGCTCAAGAGTCAAATATAAAGTTAATTTTGATTTATAAAATTAATTCGAGTACAAATATATCTGAAATTTCAACCTACAAGTGTTCTATTATATAAGAAGAATCAATTTTATCTGGTTAAAAAATAAACAAATATGCTAGATACCATATATGAGACAAAACTGACTTTTCAAACAAGACCAAAATTGGGTCTGGACCTGCATCGCTGCATGCAATGGATTGAGGTAAAATGTATACTGGAGCATTACTGATCATTCCCTTTCAATGATGCCAAGGAAACTTAGACGAAAGTTTTCTTTCGGACGGAGGGAAGGAGTCAAGCAGATAGTAGTAGATCTACTTCAATCTTCGGCGACACAGGTAAAAAGAACAAGCAATAATTTACTAAAATCTGCTGATATTGTTAAATAGGAAGTGGCTACATGGCAGATGTAAACATTGTTTTCTCTATAACAATCATCATTATAAAACTGCAGACCAAATATTAAATCATAGAAGCCAAGAAGACTCTGACGAAAATTTTCCTTGTGCAATGAGTGTTGTAAAATTTCAAACTATCGGCAAACAGGAAGTGGCTACATGGCAGATGTAAAAGTTGCTTACTCACTACAACTCATCTTATAAAGAGGCAGACCAAATATTAAATCATTCACTAAAAATTTCAAACTATCAGCAAACAGGAAGTGGCTACATGGCAGATGTAAAAGTTGCTTACTCACTTCAACTCATCATTATAAAGAGGCAGACCAAATATTAAATCATTCCCTTTCATAGAAGCCAAGTAAACTTTCACGAAAGTTTTCTTTCAGACAGAGGGAAGGAGTCAAGCAGTTACTAGATCTGCTTCAACCTTCGGCGGCGCAGGTAAAAAGAACAAGCAATAATTTACTAAAATCTGCTCATATTGGTTTGTAAGAAGTAATTGGGGTAATACATGTAATAGTAAACTAGTTGTTTTATAAAGCATCATCATGAAATGGTTATAAGAATGTGTTGATTATATCAATAATTATTATTTGTTATTAATTATGCATTATATTAATTAATTAAGGTGATGCAAGGCGACAAGGGTTATTCTTGATATAAATGTTAGAGGGTGTTGGGAGAATTCTTTTATTGTCCCACAAGCATAAAATCATAATTGATAGTGTCCTTTATTTATTTTAGCGGATCTTCTTGAAAACTCCTCAAAATCAACTTCTTCAGAATATCAGATACAGTCATTTCTGAAAAAGCCTTGAATCATACTACTACTTTATGTATTTTTATGATAATAAATTTCATTTTTTATAAACTCAACTTGCACAAAATTCAAAATAATGATGTTTACCTGTCGTACTTTTCCATACAATGAAGCTTCATATCTGGAAGTTATGGCAATTTTAGGTTCACACATATATGAACTGATAAAGCTCTGGACTTTGGATTCCCACTGTGTACCAAATAACATAAGCTGCTGGGGAGCCGTTCTTTCATCTTGTTTTCTTAGCTCATCACTGTAAGTTTTTACAATAAATCTCACCTGGAAAATGCATTTTACAATCATATATATCTTTTCAATTTTCATAAGGAACAGAGAAAATTAAGTGAATACATCTTATATAAAATATAAAGCTTATTTTCGAATACTTATTTCAATCATCTGGATAAATTTTACATAATCACGACTGTAAGCCAAATGATGTTAACAAATCAATTTTTTTACACTTCGTTCACTTTCTAATTCTTTGGTACTCTAATGACGAAAACAGGTGGAGGGAGCTACAAGATGGAAGTGATATTTTTTCATGTGAAACAAATTTTCTGTTTCTCATATTGGATGCTTTTATCTTGGCAACATCAATTTGACTACCAAAATGTGTTGTATATACATACTGTTGATTAATTTAATTTCAATGTTACCAATTGTGGATAAAGAAAAAATTGTAAATTAAATTGTGTAATTTCTACCATGATTTAGACAGAGACATATATACACAGAGATTGGCAACTCCGTGAAATCCCGTTAAAAAACGCGGCCCGGAATGAGATTCTCGTCGATAATTATTCTACAACATGTAGACAAGTCAGGGATGAATAACATCGATAGCTAATCAAGAAAAGTAATAGGAAAACTTATTTCAGATCAAATAAATTCTTTTTCTAAAAAACTACTTGAAATAGTTGTATTTTTTTTAATGTATTTGATTGAAAAAAAATTTTTTTTCTGGTAATGATCATGATATTACAAGAAACATTTCTTTGCTAAAGTTTGCTTCTAAATTACACAGTGAAATTATGTGCGTCCGATTTTCCGGTCATTATTTCCTTAGAGTTGTGACTGTGGATTCACAGGTGTGAGATTACGCAATTTATTGCCCTCCGATCACCTGAATTTTGCCGGAGGTGAAGTTCTAAGTGGATTATTAATTGGTAATTGTTTTTACAACTAAACAAATTCTGACATATTATTTTAACAATGACCAGAACTTTATTTTAACAGAAACACTGGGCTATACTATGAATAGGGTAAACGGACAGAAAGTCACAGGACAAAAAGTCACAGGACATAAAGTCACAAATTGGATAGGACAAAAAGTCACAGGACAAAAAGTCACAAATAATTTATTGACAATTGTTTGAATATATAAGAGAAAGATCTTCAAATAATTTCTTTTTTTACATTTATTCATTTTTAAGTTCAGGAAATTGTTCATAAGCCTTGATAAATGAAAAATCAAAGTACTGAAGTACTGAACATCGGATGACCGCAGGTTCTTGTGGATGGTCAAAAGCACATGTCACAGAAACAGATCACATCTCAGGCTATACCTGAAACTGAGGTTAATTTACAGAGATTTTTTTTTCTTATACAAGTTCGTGCTTGGATGATGAATAAATGACAGGAAATTCAACCTCACCGTAATAACTATTATATTGTAGTGATACAAATCAGTATACCTTAGACTATTATACTAATATAATAATAGTTCCAGAGAATACACTGGTTTGTTGTTATATATTATATTAATATTACGGTTGCATGTATATATAATTTTCATCTATTTGTATATCATACTATTCTACTATTATTATAGTGTAATGCAAGTGCATGGTGGACACTCTTCTGTAAAAAAAAATCAAAGTCTTAAAGGCTGTAAAAGCAATTGCTGCCATGTTAATGTTTTGTGGACTTTTATTTTTCATCCATATATATAAGAATTAAACCTGACAGGACAGGAGTGTTGACTAGTGAGAAGCAAGACGGTTTTAACTTTATATCAATATAAGACTTTAGCAGGAAATCATTTTAAATATGTTTTATATTTTACAAGGAGACAACAAGTTTACCAGGCTAAAGTTGGGGTTAATTATACATGTGCTGAAACATATAACTGAAAAAAAATCATTATGGATTATCCCCTGGTAGTGTTTGTAACTGGGCAATAATTTCCTTTATTGATTTAATTTAACCATTTTCATAATTAATTTAAATTAACCATTCAGTTAAAACATTTCAACTTTCCAGACGCAAATGTTGAAAAACGGGACAGAAATAAAATATCTTACAAGACATAAACATGTAAAAAATAAATATATATTTCAGCTTACTAAAAATATTTTCATAATGTTACTTTGACATCATTTCTTAAAACTAAGTCCCAAACATAATTGCTCAGTTGACATGTGTCATCCTCATGCGATACGAGATAACTATAATTCTGATACAATCCCGAAAAGGGGGGTCATCACAAACAAACATGACATTAAATTGTCATTATACGAACTAGAACAAACAGCTCTATGTTGCTTTGATATTTATCAATTTTCAGGAAACATGTGAAATAAATTTCAGGTCCATTTCATTATAGTGCCTAACAAGATTGTGTGAGGTAGACGAAATTGACCTTAAAACGATCGTATTGTCTTTTGATGTCAAAATATAGGCAGATCGGACATATAAGGACTTTATCTAATGACTACATAAATTTGGGATTTATTATTATTATAATATTCAAATGAAACTGAAAATTGTATTTTTTTTTAGGATAAACAACAATTTTACCTGGCGTAGCCGTTCATAAATGTTTTTCTGCATTTATCTTCGAAAAATGGCGTATTTAATGGAATAGAACGTTAATACAGTAAACTTTCTCTTTTTTCTCCGCAATAGGCTATCAAAAATAATTTATCTAATGTGTATGTGGAAAATTATGTGAAAAGATAAAAAGTGGCAATTGTTACCTTTCATACCTTAAGTTTCGTTCATCTGATTCTGACCAATGCTTATATACTAAATATTTATTTATATGCCGCTATTATTGTTGTTGTTACCAATTATGTAAATCAATTGTATCTGATTTTATGCCCTTTATGGGCCCTGTAATTTGGGAAATAAAAAAAAATCTATTCATTGATAAAACGTAATATGGACTGGTCCAGTGTCCAGTTTGCAGGTCATTTAATTTTCTGTACACATTCATGCACGCTCTGATTTAATCAATATACTCGTACGAAAAAGCATGAACAGTTTGAAGGTAATCTAATAATAACTTAATCCAATCAAATTGCATAAGATTCAATAACAATGTCAAGTCCACATCATAATGAGTAATAGAGGTAAACTGGGTAGGGAGAAAATGACAGATATTTCAAGTTAATATTTATGCAATAACGAATTAAAATTTGTCAACCAAAAGTTTTGCTACAATTTCAAAAACATGTCGTTCTGTATGGGTATAGTTTTCGGATCTTTCATTAGCGTATTTAAGGCTATAAAAAGTTTGGGCTTCAAAAGTTCACACACTTATTGACTTTATACAGAAAATTCGTCCTTGTAAAACATTTAATAGTTCACAAATGATACGCGATTTTAAAGTAAAATTATTTCTTAAAACACTGCAAAAAATTTCATTCATATTGATAAAGTGGTATCGTCATAAAGTACAGTGGTATAGCAAACATCGAATTCCCTCACAAAATGTTATCACACACTACAGTAAGGGGAGTCAGTTAAGTTTGTCTATTTTTAGATACTATACAGGTAATCTTTTGACGCTACGTACCTGTGTAGTGATTTTTATTTTACGATAAATTCATGAATGAACGATAATTTTATGAATGAACATGAGCACCTGACCTCTTTCTTAAACACCTATTAAACATATAAAACCGTATTTAATAAGGAGATAATTCAGTCAAATTTTCAGTACTAAATTAACAACTGAAATGATTCCATTTTTTGATGAAACATCGTACGAACGGAGAACGGAATCGCAAGTATAAAAATGCACTTTTTTCCCTTGTAATGACCGCGGATCTATAATTTTTATAGATCGGTTGAAATCCCAAAACTAATTTGCATAATGGAAATTTAGGCGATAGCAATACATCGGAGTGACCTCAAGGTCATCCTCTGTAATTATTAAATTTTAATCATGCAAATAATATATTTCTTGGCACCATGAAGCTATTTAAGTGCCAAACCACTTCGACATTTTGTTATCATAACAATTATTTGATCATCATTGATATTTATTGAATAAATTTTAATTACAAAGTTGCTTCATATATTATAGTTCAATAAAAAATCAAAAATTTATTTTTAAAATTAGTGTTTTCTTGTTCAGAGAAAAATAATCTCAAAACTGAATTGTGACTTTTTGTCCTGTGACTTTTTGTCCGTGACTTTTTTTCCTGTGACTTTCTGTCCTACATTCTACTATAGTATTCAATCAGGAACAAAAATAGTCATTTAACATGTCAAAAAAAGAAATCAGAAAGCAACTTTTTCATATAAAAAAAATATGTAGCCAGTAGAATTTTGTCTCGTGGAAAACTGATTTCATATCTGTTTTAATTTGATTATAATGTTTAATTTTTGATTGACCTAGAACTACATTATTTGTGGAACCTTTGCATGAATTTCCTAAATGAACGTACATTATGTATAGTGTTGTCGAAATCACTATTTTTGCTGCCATGAAATATTGAATATGAATCTGTCATTATTTGTAGTTTTTTAAAGACTTAATATCACAGACCCTGATTAAAAACAATGTGTATCATAAGTACAGTAAAATGCTCTGCTGAACTGTAGAATTTTAATGTTCTGTTTCATAGACCACAGAAGTACTGCAACATCCTTATCTTTACTCTTTCCTATCGGGTAGTGAAACTCGAGTTTGAAATTAGAAAGATTTAAAATTGTAGACAAGTTTTATCTGATCTTTTGTGGGTTTATGTTTCGGTGCAGTGCTATGTATTTCTTTTCATTTGTCATTTTTTCCTCTGTGTTACACGACCTTGTACTTTTTGTATTGCCCCTTGACATCTCCTGCTTCTGTTTAAACCTTTACCACTAATATCTCATCTGGTTTAAATAAAAGAGTGTCTCATTCCCAGAATTTGTTATACAGGAATTCATTTTAATATCAGTTTTTTTATAAGCATATAAACTGCTTGGTCTCTTCACACAACTTATGTTTAGGACGGAATGCATCAATAGGTACATACATGTACCAGGTCACGGATATATAAGTACACTTTATGTGCTTTTGACCTCCACAAGAATTCTTAAACATTCATAGATGTGCAAAGAATATTTTTGTCGTTAGGTTGTTGTCTCATTGACATATATCTCACATTTCTGAATAGTCATAGCATCTGTGCCTTTTCAATTTATTGCAGAAAATATTTGCATAAACATTTTTCAAAACAGGCGAGGTGAAATAGTGATCACAGAATGAGGACATGTAAAACTGAAACAACACAACACAACAGATAAATATAAACAAGCACCATTGCTAAAGGACTGAAACAAACATAGATGATGACTAATATGAGCGACTAGTGTACAAGTAGAGTGAACATTTCTTGCTTCTTATTCTACACATTTTGTCATTTCATGTAAACAATTAAATATATTATTTTCCGAGGAGAGGAAGGAATTTGTGAAACGAAATATTTTGCCTTTAGTACTGTCAAGTTATATATTCACAGGAGTGTTGTTGAATAAATGAACATTTTCTCTTTTTTTTACATTATGCTACCTTTATGCTACAAAGGTAGCATTTCCATTCTCATGATGTACAAAGATATTATAGAGTGGCCTTCCAATGATAGTCATACATGTAAATCATTGTCTCATTGGCAATCATACTACATCATCATATTGTTATACATGTATGTAAAAACTATGTACATGTATACTTTGTAAACGTAAAGAAGACAAATGAAGTTGAACACAAGATATTTATTTGCATTTTTTTCCGTATAGTCTCTGCACAACTGCCACTTCTGTTTCAAATTCAATAGATTGAATGCGGAGTCTTGTATTGTTCTTAGTTCAATGATGTCACCATCACTTGCACAAAAATCGCATACACATGTACATCAAGTTTGGCATATGAACTATGATATTTGAACTACAATAATATGGTGTTTTCACAGCCAGGATAAGCACATGTCATTTTCTCTCTTACAAAACCATTTTTAAGTATCACATTGATAGAAGTACATGTAATCGGTCCACTACATGACTGTGCAGTAACATTTGAAAAAAGTCATCACTAATAGTTGTTCCTGTCTGCCAGGGAATCTTTTTTTTTCATTCAGAAAGGCTAGGGAGTCCTACATTCAGCACATGTATGATATTACATCTCTTGTATGCTGCACTGTTAGGTAAATTTGATCAACATCTTTGTTCTTTTATAACATGCAGGATCCTGTTAAAAAAAAAATGCTGTCAGATACTGAATGTAAATATATATAAACTTGTAAATGTCATCAAAGTGGTGGAAATAATGAAAAAAACAATTTATATACACAAAACCGGTATGTCTTGGGAAAGTAATTCCTGTGATGGGTACAATTGTTCTTTAAAGATGGACAATTTTATAAACTGTAGCCATGGACAGGTGTCTGTCTTTATATTGAAGAGAATGAACATGGCCGACAACTTGAATAGTGATTTTTAATTGTAAATTGCATCAAAATGGGTGAAAATATGGAAAAAAAACAACTGAAATACACAAATCCAGTATGTCATAGGAAAGTAATTCATGTGCTGGGAACAATGATTCTCTAAAGATGGACAAGTTTATAAACTGTAGCCATGGTCAGGTGTCTGTCTTTGTATTGGAGAGAATGAACATGGCCGACAGCTTGAATGGTGATTTTTAATTGTAAATTGCATCAAAGTTGGTGAAAATATGGAAAAATCAACTGTTATACACAAATCCAGTATGTCATAGGAAAGTAATTCATGTGCTGGGAATAATTATTCTCTAAAGATGGAAAAGTTTATTGACTGTAGCCATGGACAGGGGCCTGTCTTTATATTGAAGAGAATGAACATGGCCGACAGCTTGAATGGTGATTTTTAATTGTAAATTGCATCAAAGTGGGTGAAAATATGGAAAAAACAACTGTTATACACAAATCCAGTTTGTCATAGGAAAGTAATTCATGTGCTGGGAACAATTATTCTCTAAAGATGGAAAAGTTTATTGACTGTAGCCATGGACAGGGGCCTGTCTTTATATTGAAGAGAATGAACATGGTCGACAGCTAGAATGGTGATTTTTAATTGTAAATTGCATCAAAGTGGGTGAAAATATGGAAAAAACAACTGTTATACACAAATCCAGTATGTCATAGGAAAGTAATTCATGTGCTGGGAATAATTATTCTCTAAAGATGGAAAAGTTTATTGACTGTAGACATGGACAGGGGCCTGTCTTTATATTTAAAAAATTGAACGTGGCCGACAGCGAGAATACTGAATTTTAATTGTAATATTGCATCAAAGTGGGTGATTTAATGAAAAATTCAACATAGTTACACAAAACCAGTATGTCTTGGGAAAAGTAATTCATCTCATAAATGGTTTTATTCCTTTTCGAATGAAAAGGTTTTAATAAAAAATACGTCTTTGTTCAAAATTTTCATAACATCCATGTCGGCCAAGCTTTCCCCTTATTATTGACCACAATAAAACGTTAATCGTCACAATATTTTAACTAACAATTACTATAAACTGAATAAAACAAGGTAAATAATTTACGAAATTGAAATATATACTTACATTATGCTGTTTTGAAATGCTTGATGTAAAATAAAAATCGAAGTGAACTTGTCATGATCAGATGCAAAATGGCGATCTCGTTAAAGTCTCGTGTGATGCGTGTTTTTAATTGGATTTCGCTGACCACTGTTACAGTTGCCAATCTCTGTATATATATGTCTCTGATTTAGACATCAACGCACTTTAGTGAAGATCTACTTCAACATTATTGATTTTATATCTGCTTGTTATTTTTTCCCTTTCCTTTTTTTTTTTTATTGCTTTCTATTCTTTTGACCATGAACATAACTGGCAAAGTACAATATAAAATTACTTTAAAGTCAACAACACCCTTCAATTACTGAACTATCTTCATTGGTTCTGAAGACACCATGCTTGTTGGCCAAACATGTTGACCTGAATAAACCATTACTTTGAGAATTAATTCACTGGTGTTGTTGACTTTAAAGTAGTTTTATAGTTTACCTTGGTGAGAGACAACTGTGAATAGCTTTTGGTATCCACCTGCTAATTACCCTAACACAGGATTTCTACTTCAGGTGTTAGTTTCTATATATAATTTCAAAAAACAATTTAGAAAGAAGGTTTATCTTCAGTAAGTTGAATTGTAAAAAATATTGAAATAAGTTAGTTTCACGAATAATACATTCTGCAACTTCCACTGGTTTATGTGACATCTTATATATTCAATTTTATATGAGATATTTACCAATCTTACATACCTCCTCCGTAAAATTATTGAGGGTCACCTCTGCATCATCAACTACCTGCAAGAGAAAAGAGTTAGAGATCTATTTATTCTATTTTTATTTAATTATGCTAATCAAATAAACACCCAATACCTATATTCAAATTTTCAAGATGTAAAGAACTTATATGTAAAACAATGCTTGGAAAGTCAATTCCTGTTACTGAAGTATTTAAAGAGAGACTACTTGAAAAAAACACACATTAAAAACAAAATTTTCACCATATAGTTCATTACCAACAACAACTAAGTCTTTCCACTTTTCTGTGGAAAGACCTTTTGATTTTATTCTGATTCTGATTATCATTTTTTTTTTCTAAATTGACACTGTGTCATCTGTTTCATTAACTTTATCTACACAGAGTGTCAAGTTTTCAGACCTTCAAAAAGAAGTTATTCCATTGATCAAATATTATGTGCAGAGGACTTTTACTTACCAAATGACACAATCTGTTCAGATGAACATAATTCAGTTCTAATACACGTTTCAGGCTGGGTGGAGTACACAATAAGATTTCACAACCATTTATCAAAGGACACTACAATACAAGATATGTGAACATATGTCATAAGTTAAAATTAAACATGCAAACCAAAACTCTAATTAGAGATAAGTGTGTGATACAGCTTTAAAGCACAAAACCTAACAGTTTAGAAATTTACAAAAACATGTCAACCTTTACAAACTCCTAATTTCTTACACTAACCTTCAGAATTCATGTGCCTGATTTATAGTTTTATGTTTTCATTTGACACATTTTATATATTTTTTTATATGTTCTCAATATCATGTGGCAAAATGGTTGAAGCATTACTGAATAAATTCCCAATCAAGTTTTGAAATAATTGTCATGCTGAATTACAACTGACAAGATTATTTCACAGATGATTACAAAATTAAATGACATTTTTCTCTTACAGTTTCTTAAATATGGATCCACATATGCACAAGGACTAACAAAGTACTATCTTTCAACTCTGTTTACACAATATAAAAATTAACATATACAAGGACTACCTTGGTAAATTATATGTACTGGACAATTGTGTTTTCAATGAACACTATCATGTAATGTTAAAGCACAGCTTACATACAATTGTTTATGTCTTGTGAAATTCAAACTTGTTGTTCAATAGCGAATGTCACATCAATGTATAGGGCAAGATACATCTTGAGTGTACTGTATGATTATAACACTGATAAGCTATGTATATGTAGAGCCAAATAAGTAATTACTTATTTTAACTAACCATTTTTATTACTTATTTCGATTTCAACTAACCCATTTTTATTACTTATTCCTATTTTAACTAACCATTTTTAAATCTTCTCCTGAGCCATATAGTTCAATGATTCGGATCTTTTTGTCTCCTTGTAACAAACCATGAGTAACACATAACAAGTGTCTTACTTTCTTCCAAGATGGCACCAATACTACAGCATATGGCTGAAAATTAATATAAAGTACATGTAGTTAACTAATTAAACTGGTTAGAGTGGAAACTTTGATAAAAACTAATCTGAACAATTAATCAGGGTTAAAATTGTATGCATCAAATAATGTATAACAAATACAGCAAAAAAATACTTTTATAACTTTCAATTTTTTTAATTCTAATAAGCATGATAAGAGTTTTAATAATTTAAAGGAAAACAAGACCCTCCTAACTTCTCCTTTTGCACAATAACTATCTTTGAAATAATCTTAATTTCAGCCCTACATAAACTTACCCCTGGTCCTTTAGGCAGAGTAGCATACCTCCCAGTGTTGAGTATCTGGGAGATAATAGGAATTAAGTAGCCTAGTGTTTTCCCAGAATCAGGGGGAGACAATCCAACAAAATTCATTCCACGAAGAATACATTTCCAAGCATAAGCCTGTATAAGTCTTGGTGCAGGAAAATCTAATTGACGTAATGCCTTTAAAATAGAAAAAATTTTGTTATCAAAGTTTTCACTTCTTATTAACAATAGTGCTAAAAAAAAAAAAGGAGCTTTCTGATTTAAAGCACAGGCATTCTAAAAATAGCAATATTAAGCATATGATGATTAAGAAGTATCATTTTTATAATGAGAGTAAGCTTTTAATAATTTCTTACAGATATATTACATAATTATGTAAAGTAAAACTTAAGTTACGATCTTTCAACCGAGTAGAAACTGCTAGGCTGGTGTAAGTACTTCCCCTCTCTCCTGAAAGGCAGCTCTATTTTAACAGCTTTTCAGTATACATGTAACACACGAGTGCACACGCTGAAATTCCTCACCTTCTTTACTTGTCATGATTGACTCTAAACTGAAAGTCTGTAATATGAAGGTTTTACTACAAATATTACATAAACTTAACATTATCAATGATCAATGTAATTGAGGTTAAGGTTATGTGAACCCTGCCATACAGACATATACACTTTACAAACATACCATTCGCCAAATACAGTTAGCCTTTTGCTTATAGTATCTGAGAAACAGATATAAACATGAAAACTTAATATGACCAATGCACCATGAAAATGAGGTCAAGGTCAGATGAACCCAGACAGAAAGACATGTTCATCTTACAATTATTCCATACACCAAACCTAGTGGCCTTATTGCTTATAGTATCTCAGAAATAGACTAAACCTCCTAATTACAAAAACTGAAGATTGACCAATGAACCATAAAAATGAGGTCAAGGTAAGATGAACACTGCCAGACAACATTTTCACCATGCAATCATTCCATACACAAAAGAGTCTACCTAATGCTTATAGTAGCTGAGAAACAGACATAACTGTGAAAACTTAATATTGACCATTGAACCATGAAAATGAAGATCATATGAGACCTGCCAGACAGACATGTACACCTTACAATCATTTCATACACCAAATACAGCTGATTTATTGCTTATAATATCCTAGAACAAGACCAAATAAAAAATAATAACATTGACCAATGAACCAGAAAGAAGGTCAAGGTCAGATGAAATCTGCCAGTTGGACATGTATACCTTACAATCATTCTATACACTAAATGTAGTTGACCTTTTGCTTATAGTATCCAAGATACCAACTTGATCAAGAAACTTAACCTTCACTGATCCATGAAATGAAGTAAACGTCATTCGAACAATGTCTGATGGACATGTAAACCTTCAAGGACCCTATATACCAAATATAGTTATCCCATTACTTATAATAATTGATTATTTCACATGACAAAAAAAACTTTACACTTTTTCAAGCAGTAGCTGAATCATGAAAATGAGGTCAAGGACAATGAACATGACAGACAGATACTTAGTAACATAAGGGCTTACGCATCTGCATACATAGAATGAAGCATCCAGGTCTTCTAGCTTCTGAAGTTTAATGCTTTATACAAAAAATTTACGGCGTCACTGTCACAGATTTATAATCCCTATATCTCACATTCTGTGACTTTTGTTGCAGCGAAAAGAAAATACACATGAATACAAATGATGTTAGTGAACTGTCAATAATAAGTTAGATACTGTTCCTTACTATAAATAACATGGGAGATTATATGTATGTAGGACTAGTACTGTGAACTGATGTTGTACTCTGAACCGCGATGGTCATGCTGAAGTGCGATGGTTTCACGCTGACGTGCATTTTTGATCACGCCGAAGTGCGATGGTGGTATTGTGACGCTATCTTGTTGATAGCTAATGCTGAAGTGAAATAGTGGTTATGTTGAAGTGTGAAGGATTACATAAATCATATTTTCAATGTTTTTCATGTTCGCATGTCGAAGTACAAGTCAATTTGTTTGTTAGAAGGAGCTTTTCTGGTTTTTTATTTAAAATATCCAAAGTATAACCCGTTTAATTCAAAACAGTCATGCTAAAAAGTCATTGCATTTCCAGTTATCACTGTAATGGTGTAATGTACATTATACTTTGTAAATAGCTTAGACAAAAAAAAAAGCAGTCATTCATACAATGGCTCCGAAATTGATGCTACATACAAAAGCTATTTTCTTTTAAAACCAGTACCAATTACAATGACTGAAAAAATGTTGTAGTTGTTTGAGATGCGAATATACTTCTTGGCTTGTCAGACAAAATAAGTGAAAAATCTATACAGCTGCTGTGAATCAGATCAAGGAATAAGATAGGTCATCGATGTTTTTTACTCCAACTGGAGAAAACATTGAATGTTTAGTATTTATATATAACTTATAAAAATTTCAAGCTCTCATAATAATTGGACATCTGTAAATTTTAAACTAGCCATCACAAGTCTTATAGACCATCGCACAAATAATTTGGTAGAAACAAACAGGGACTATTCCAATGTTTCTCTGTTCTTATGTTTGTCTTTAATATGAACCTGTTACTATAGTTACCTCTCTCATTAACTTGCCAATAGGTGCATCTTTGAGATCAGTGATAGGATTAATTCTATCAGCACTATGGACAAGCACCTGGTCTAAGTTATCCATTCTAACAGGCTCTATTCCCTGAAAAGGTATCAAGGCAACATACAGAAAACATGTTCCTTAACTTTTTTTTCATGTTTAAGTAAGAAATTTTTGTTATGAATTGATACCACATATCCTTTTTTTCCTATTAAAATAACAGTAAAAATTTCAATTTTTAAAGCATCAAATATTTGCATTTTCATATTTTTACAGTACTTAAAGAGTTCATTCAATACAGAAGCATGATGGTTATATTTTTTCATCAGACAAAATTACCATGTGAAGTTATACAGCATGTAAACACCACTTTTATAATTTAACAAGCATTCTGAGAGTATTGCATGGCAATACATAGTCCCCTACCGGTTAAGAATTCATTGTACTGAAACAAAATGCTAACTTGATCTATAACTTGTCATGGTGTAAACTTTATAACAAATATCAAGTCACTATCTTCAAGCATGATGAAAAAAAGTGTGGAAAACTGATTATTTGAGTGAATTTTCTAAGTCCAAGGACCATAACTCTGCACAAAATGATCAGGCCGGAACAAAATACGAACTTGATCTGTAACTTGTCATGATAAAACTATATGCCAATTATTAAATCAATATCTTTGAGCATGACAAAAAAAAGTGTGGAAAACTGATTATTTGAGTGAATTTTCAAAGTCCAATGACCATAACTCTGCACAAAATCATCTGACCGGAACAAAATTCAAACTTGATCTGTAACTTGTCATGATAAAACTATATACCAATTATTAAATCAATATCTTCAAGCATGACAAAAAAAGTGGAGAAAACTGATTATTTGAGTGAATTTTCTAAGTCTAAGGACCATAACTCTGCACAAAATCATCAGATCGAAACAAAATTTGAACTTGATCTGTAACTTGTCATGATAAAACTATATACCAATTATTAAATCAATATCTTCAAGCATGACAAAAAAAAGTGCTGAAAACTGATTATTTGAGTGAATTTTCTAAGTCTAAGGACCATAACTCTGCACAAAATCATCAGACGGAACATAATTCAAACTTGATCTGTAACTTGTCATGATAAAACTATATACTAAAATTCAAATCAATATCTTCAAGCACGAAGAAAAAACCTATGGAAAACTGATTTACCGGACTGATGGATGGACAGACAGACAGACAGACAGATGGAGTGCAAACCTAAAGTCCCCTTCAACTTCAGCGGTAGGGGACTAATAAATAATCATAAGTCATAATTATAAATTAACTGTTTACAAAACTTTGAATTTTTGAAATGCTAAGGCTTTTCTACCTCAGGAATAGATTACCTTAGCTATATTTGGCAAAACTTTTAGGAATTTTTGGTCCTCAATGCTCTTCAACTTCGTACTTTATTTGGCTTTTTTAACTTTTTTTGATTCAAGCGTCACTGATGAGTCTTTTGTAGACAAAACACGCGTCTGGTGTAAATACAAAATTTCAATCCTGACATCTATGATGAGTTTATTTAATCATTACATTATCACTGAGTAATATTTTAATTACATGTTAGATTATCGCTTAAATTAAGGCATAATTAAGGTAACCTATAGTTGTTAACTTCTATGTCATTTTGGTCTCTGGTGGAGAGTTATGTCATTGGCAATCAAAACACATCTTCTAATTTTAATATAAAAAAAAATTAACATTTAACACATGGAAATTCATGACAATTCATTAATATAAAACACTGACTTTATGACACTTTAATTCAACTTACCCTAAGTGAAACTCCTCCCAGTATTCCTGTTGTGTTACAGCTGGGTTTTAATATACTTAAAAGTCTGAAAATATATCAAAGGTTTTTTTTTTTATTATAGATCTCAAATAAAAGCATGTACTTTTTAAATCTTTCTACTTTTACTTTCATGTTTACCAGGAAGTTAAAAAAAATCTATTTTTAATTCTACACCTTAAGTTATCAATAATGTTAAAAATTCAATATCATATCATTTTGATGTTCTTATTATGCGATTGTGCAGCCTAACATTTCTTCAAAACTATTCTTAGTAATGATTTGTTTGTATGTTGTAATATTATCATAAGTATACACTGGACGTTAAGCAACCAACAATCAATCAATTATCATAAGTATATTATTACTGTAACAATAACATGGCTTGAAAAAATTTCAAATCCAGTACAGCAGATAAAAATACGAGGCAAATACTGGGAAAAAAAACTTCATAAATAAATCTTACTGATGCCCTTGCTGTTTACTGATCATATCAGCTCTTCGCTTTTCTTCTTCAGTCATAGTTCTCAAACTAAAGTAAAAATCATTTTTACAAATCTTTCCAACTCTGTATAATCATGATAATGTATCTATAAAATACTGTAGATTCATCATTACTTGTTGGATACCAATTTTAGTAGATTTCATAGGTACAGGTTAACCCCAAATTTAAATGTTCAATTAATTACAAATTTTCTTTTGGCTTGTTTGAAGACTTTGGCAAAACCAAGAAATTAAATATCCAGGAAAATGTCCCACAAAAAATAAATGAATGAACAGTACTTTCTTTATCAGGCATACATTACATTTATTTTTTTCTACCAATACGGTTACATGTAATGGAAGTTTATGTTTCTATGATCTAAAATAGTGTTGAAAGTGGCGTTAAACACCAATCAACCAATCAATCAATCAATCAATTTATGATCTAAGATTTTAAATAAATCTACAAAGCAGCTTGAAAATTTAAAAAAAAATAAAAATCAATTCAATTTATTAATTAGGTACCTTCATGACACCTTCATTGATATTGACTCTCTCTGTGAAGTATCAAAAATGACAGCTGTTAAAGTTTGTAGGATTACTCTAAGTTAACATATTCAACTTTGTATATGTACTCAGTGGTACTAGCTACATGTTGATATTAAAATCTGTTTCCATTGGAAAATAATTATCCTTATAGCTTGAATGCAAGGAAAACACAAATATGTGCATATTTTCACAATCACAATAATGCAATCCAGAAATCATTATTGGCATTTGGCAGGTATGAAAGTTCCTGACAGGACATGAATCTAATCTAAAATCAAAAAGATAAAATTGTTTTCCATCTAATTTCATTTACTGTCAGTAATTGCTTAAAGAAATTAGTACATCAATGACTTATTCCATCCTACCTGGGGGATTTCTTTTTGGATGGACTACACTCTGCTCCTGATGAACTGGCAACATCATCACTAAATCTGCAACACATCAAAAAAAGAAATACAAGACTCATTACGGTTTTAAACTTTTACTATATGTTCTTTTTGTGAAAAGAAGTAAAAAGATTGCAGGGTCATCAGATGCTCCCACATTTCTGTATTCCCATGCATTCATGAAAGAATTTTATTATCAAAGGCTAAAACTCATGGAAAGGATTGTTTATTTTGTTGAAACAAATGGCATAATCACAAACAAACATGCTATTACAAAACAAGTGCAAGCTATTGCTTACAAGTGTTGACTGTTTGTGCTTCTTTTGAGTCAGTTGTAATACTTATTTGTCTTGCCTGCAAAAAGGGTAAATGGGTAAGTCAACTTATTTTGCCCATACTTTTTTATTTGTCTTTAGACATTTTTAGCTGACTTCACAGCCATTTATTTTTGTGATTTTCTGTCTTTGTTAAAATATGCATACAAAAAAATATCCAAGTTTAACATATTCTTGACACTTTATATTCATGCTTTTTTTCTACTCAAGAAAGTTGCAGAAAAAATTACTGGCAAAAATGAGTTGATTAACAGTAAATGGGATGAACTATAACACAGTTATTATGATAAACAGTCATTTGACAGTAGCATATTGGAAACTTACCTTACAGATGACTTTTCTTTCTTTGGAGATTCAAAAAGATCCATTTCGGACATTTCTTCTTTTCTAAAATTCATTTTACAAGCTTTACTGTATTGATAAATAGATAATAAAAACTGCCTTTTAAAAGCAAGAATAAAGCATTGGATTGCATTTAAATTTAATTTTGTCTTTATTTTATTTTATTCAGAGACCACAGTCCTTACCCAATAGCAACTTGAAATATTTACTATGGTTTAAAGCTAAAAATGAAACATAGAAAAATTTTCAAATAGCCCAAGAACGCAGTTATTTTGTAGTGCATTTCTTTTAGACATTAAAGTAAAATTAAAAAAATCGCACCTGCTCTATCTCAAAAAGATTTTTACCATGTTTACAGTGTAGTGTACTACTTTTGGGACAAATAATATCAAGATTATAGAAAAGTCTACTAGCTCTAACTCAAAATATGGACAATTCTATGTTAAGGGGGTCTATAATTCAGTTTGACAGCTTCAGGTCTACTGATTTTTGACCTTTTTTAACTGGACCAAATCACTACTTTACATAACAATTCATCACCCACATTTTTTTTACCTGTAATTTCATCCCCTTACTTAATATTTCATGCATAAAATATAAAGAAATAAATTTGGAAAGTGTATGAAAACATTTTGCAAGTTATACACTGTCCACACTAGGGACTATATTCATAGACAAAGAAAATTGAAGGACCATAAATGTGTCCTTGGACCAAATAAATTCAGTAAAATGACTGCTTAACTTTAAATCCATAAGATTAAGGTATAATGTGTTTTATAATTTTCATCAGACACCATATTTCACATATATGTGAAATTTTGCAAGTATAAAAAATTATTATAGTGATTCCTTTACCAAATTATAAAAAATATTTCAGGGTTGGTGATAAAAATTAGGGTCAGTTGGGTTACCCATAAACACACATTTAAAAAAATATTTTGTCTTTAGATAGATTCTAGACATTTCAGATAGATTGATATGGTATGAACACATAATGAGATAATACATTTACTATAATTTTGAAATACAATATAAATGATAAAATACAGCATGCAAGTAAATATGTAATCAAAGAATCTCCTCTATTATTATATATATACATGTACAACATAAATATTTGTAGCATCCTCATGAGCACAGGACGTTTGTGCTTTTTAACATTTAACATGAAAAGGACATTTGATACACTTGTATTAAATTGACAGGACATTTGTGCTTTTACCTATAAAATCTTAATAACATAGTTGTTATCATTATGAAAATTAAATCAACTTATGTGTATTCCATTCCTCTTGTTTTCATTCTATTGCCTGGAAATTCCAAGGAAATATATCATCATTGTTTATCTAAGCTTACTTCAATTTGTTGAGATCAAAAATTGATTTTTAAACCAATGAGATATTTGTAGATCCCTGGCTTTCAAATGTATGGGCTTGGGTTTGAGCATTCCTGGTGAAGGTAAATCCAGAAAAACATTTCAATATTTAATTTTTTTTTCGTTTACAGTTCATGTTGACTTTAAAGAAAAAGTCATAATTTTTATTAGGAATTTATTTTAATTAGATGAAGTGTTGTTGTTTTCATCTGAAACAAGCACAGTGGCGAAAGATTCAGTCATTAGGACTCTCTAAGGAATACAAATTTTATTTGTGAAGTAGGAAAACGGTTATTTAAATTTCTTCCAGCCTGATAAACGAGAAGGGAAATCATAAAGCACCAACACTAAAATGGTATCATGGTACACTGAACCTTATTGTATTTCATATAAATCATAACTAATCATATTTATATTATTAATGCTTCATGGATACTTTCACATTTTATTTATTTTCTCCTAATAACTAAATAGTGAAATTTCCTGCCAAGTATATGGTGGTAAAAAACATGACAGACAAGAAATTAAACCAATCTGAAATATAAAATATGAATAGCATTTGACCATATATATAAATATCTCTTAAAGTTTACCTCATTTCGTGGTTTGTGTCTTGTTTGTCACTTCCTGTAAAAGTTACTTGTTGGTTCACTTTTAGAATTGATGAAATGTTTTTAGAATTATCAGTGTCACTACCTGATGACATACCGATTCTACTAAGAGCAGCTTTAGGTAAGCGACCCCTGGTCAAGGGAACATTTGTGTCATTCCTCAGTAAAGTGTCAATAGGTAGCCCACTGTTTCGATTTGATAAAGCTGCACTTGAGTCAGATTCTGAATCATCAAACTGTCCTGGGACACCTTTGTACACTTTTGGTCTAGCTCCACCACTGTCCAATGAACTGGACAATACAGGATTATCTCTTAATTTATTAAAAAGGGACATATTAATTTGAGGACTAGTTGAACTTTTATGATCAGAATCAATATCAGAGGCAGAACTTGGAGATGATGCAGGCAAACGAAAATTCATAGCTAATCGTAGAATATCTAATTGTCCTCTTCCCCTGCCTGTAGGTGGCAATGCAGAAGACACTGGGGGTGCACTTCCTCTACTTAAGGTCATTGGTGATGGTGATCTTCCTCTACTTAAGGTCAACGGTGAAGGTGATCTTTCTTTACATAGGGTCAAAGGTGAACTAGCCCTTCCTCTACCTAAAGTTATAGTTGTAGGTGATAAACTTCTCCCTCGTGAGAATGATTCAGTGTCACTGTATGAAGTATGCACTTGTAGATTATTTCTATTTATATTACTCACGTCAATCATGCCTGTGTCTGACACATTTCCTGACAAGGATGCTGCCCTTGAAACATATCTGGAATTTTCATTTTTTCTCTGAGATGTATTATCTTCACTTGATAAAGAATCCTTATAATTAGTTAAAATCTGTTTAAAGTCAGCACTATCTTCAGATCTTCTTTCCCTTTTTTTTGTGGGAGACATTTTCATTTTTGGAGGTTTACCAATAAGAGTAGAACTAGAAATACTCCTCCCCTTATAGTTTGTATCAGATAAATATTCTGGACCTGTGTATTGTTTCAGTGTTTTAGAATAATCACTGTCAGAATGTAATGGTGAAGGTGTATGATGCATTCCAAATATTTCACTGTCACTGAAACTTACGTCCTGCTTTTCGGCCAAAAGGTTCTGTAAGAATTTCGTATTTCTGGTCATTGTGGTTTTTAACTGATCTAAAAATGATATCAAACACCTTTATCATCATGGCATCATTATGAAAATACAGATCATATTACAGTATCCAAACCATACTGTATCTGATGGTTATAGCTAAGACAATTCTAAATGTATGATTATTATGATATAATACATAATCTAAAACATTTTATCATATGCTGACCATACATTAGTCGTTTGTTGATGTGGTTCATAAGTGTTTCTTGTTTTTTATATAGATAAGACCATTGGTTTTCCTGTTTTGAATTGTTTTACACTAGTCATTTTGGGGCCCTTTAAAGCTTGCTGTTTGGTGTGAGCCAAGGCTCAGTGTTGAAGGCCGTACTTTGACCTTTAATTGTTTACTTTTTACACATTGTGGCTTGGATGGAGAGTTGTCTCATTGGCACTCATACCACATCTTCTTATTTCTATTTAAGGATGATTTTTCCTGGTAATAATGTAAAATTTAATGACCCCTTTTTTATGTTACTGTTCTACCTTTACCTTGTTGATCGACTTTTTCAGATTATTGGCTGTAAAAGAATCTTGTTGTTAGGTAGTTTGTAATGTTATTTCAATATGTATAAAACTTCTCATTAAAATAGTACTTCATATCTGATATTTTACTTAATATTGCTGTACAACTGTCAATACCAATAACAATTGAAAACTTCTGTTATGTACTAAAGGAAGATAACTTATGATTTAAACCCTTTAGATGTGGATAAAAAATACCCCTCCCTACCCCAACCCCCACATTTTAAACATAACAATTTTTACATTATTTTTTTAACTTAAAATTTACCACAATAGAATTGGTAATGGGATCAGCCCTAATTTCCTATAATTTGTGTCACTATAAAGGACTCTAATATGGTTTTTACAAAAATTGGTACCTTATATATATTTAAAGAATTCTTACATATCCATTTTAAGCATGACCTTACCAGGAGCTATCTGACCATCCGTTTCATCAGTGACTGCATATTTTCTTGCAACTAGCAAATCATTGAAATTATAAGTTTCCCTGCCTTTATTGAGGTATAAGATAACATGCATCCTTCCAGTATTGTCTGTGTATAATACCTTAGCACTAGCCGACACTGATCCTGTAAAATAATATAAATTTTATGAACATGATTTAAGAAGTTACAACAGAAATATGCTATTGTGTTAGAGCCATTTAATTTAATTGTACATGATACTCACAAAAGGCACTTTCAAACTAAAGATCTGTGTAGCCCACCTAGATCTATGTACATCTTCAAAATTGTAGACTACTGTTTACAGTTTCTATCTATCTTATTTAGTTTTTGCCCAAAACACAAAACACAAGAGGGTAACAAAAAATTGTCATTTAAGGGCAGGGCTTCCAAAATTATTTTTAGCCAGCCGGACATTTTATATATTATCCCGATTTTAATCCCTTAAGACTAAATAAACAAAAGGCAATTATGGTATTCAGTTGCCGAGTTGGCCATCCCAATGATTGACATTAAAAAAAAAAACGATATTAAACTTTCTTTGATTCAAATTCGAAGTTCTGACGTAAACTGTTAAATTGGCAGTGCATCATTCGAAGTGTGCAACATCAGCGTACTTATATCTGCCTTAAACTCTTTATTTGTGCAAAATAGCGTTGTCAAAAACTTTAATTTCGTTTTTAAATCTAAACCGGATATTATCTTGACAATGGTAAAACATGGACTAGAGACGGATACGTAAATTCCGTGTACGTTTGCAAAGCATGAATGAGAGTACGTAGCTCTTTCTACGTTATTTCTTCAAAAAAATATTTGAAATAAACGTGAGGTAAAGGTATCAATGACAATTTAAACATTTTTTGAAGAAATTAGGATGCATAATTAAATTTCACACCTGCACACATGCGCACACATGTACTAGTTCAAACAGAGACATGTCTCTGGTTCAAACAACGTGGTTATGACGATTTTTCATGTTCACCTTTTTAATTTTTTCATCAAATCATATTTATAAACGTATTTCTGATAATTTAAATCTTTTTGACTAAATTAATTAGATGCAAACCGCTGAAATGTAAGAAAATAACTTTGAATAGACCGATCAATGTCCGGTTCAAAATAGTTTACCTGTCACCTGAACAGGTAAATTTCAGCTGTTCGACAACTAATTAGCCTTGATTAAAATGAGGAGGTATTAAAGTAGGGGTTGTTTTGATAGTACTTAATGATCATGTCACTTTTATGACCGGAAATGTGTGGCTGTTAAAGGCAAAAGGTTGGGTCAAAAAGATCGCGAATTATGTAAAAATGACCGTCTCTTAAGAAAGCCTTCAAAACTAAAAAGTAGATAACCGTTTCATGCTTTGCCCAGCCGGACTTTTACCGGACACTATACAAATGTCCGGAATATATGACCGTTTTGGAAGCCTTGTTTAAGGGCAATCACTCCAATCTACTAAATCTTTTGGCAGAATTTGACCTGATTGCAGATCTTGCTGATCATTTTTGTTATTAAAAGTTTCTATCTATCTTTTATAGTTTTCAAGACAATAGGCAAAAACACCAAAAAATGGTATAAATCGTCATTAAAGAGCAATAACTTCAATAACCAGTCGACTGAAGAATTCAGCTATTAGACTTATTTGTAGATCTTGTCTTGTTGATCACTTATGCTGTTTATAGTTTCATCTATCTATTGTTTTTTTTAAGAGTTTAGGCAAAAATACAAAAAATTGATAAAAATTGTCATTAAAGCACAATAACTCTAATGAGGAGTCAATTGATGATTTCCACTCTTATTGACTTTTTTGAAGATCTTGTCTTACTGATCAGTTTTGCTGTTTAAAGATTCTCTTTATCTAGTTTTCAAGATAATAGGCAAAAGGGAAAAACAGTAGTAAAATTCGTCATTTTAGGGCAATAACTCCTATAAGAAATTGTCCGACAGTTTTGACGTAGCTAAATATTAGGTAGAGCTCAACATTCTGAACATTTCTGCCCCAGTCAGATTTTCTCTATATATAGCAGTTTTCAAAATAATAGACAAAACTTAAATTTTACCCCTATGTTCTATTTTTAGCCATGCTGGCCATCTTAGTGTGCAGGCTGGGTCATCTTACACATTTTTTTACACTAGATACCCCAATGGTGATTGTGGTCAAGTTTGGTTAAATTTGGCTCAGTAGTTTCAGAGGAGATGATCTTTGTAAAAGTTAACAGACAACGGATGACGGATGACTGGATACAGGTAATTCTGAATAGTGTGTAGATTCAGAACAAGGTTGTATAATTCTCAATGGTGTGTTAATGAACAAGTTTGTATAATTCTGCATAGTGTGTTCATGAACAAGGTGGTATAAAAAAGATCATTTTGAGTTTTAAAGACACCAATAACATCTTATATACTATACTAGTGACTTAGTATATACTGTCCTTGATGTCAACCTTCAAATGTTTATCTCCTTTCATAGATAGTCATATGGGAAATCATCGCCAGTAAAATATTGCTTTTACTAAACCATTATTGTAGATCTATATGTCTCATTAGCATTAGTTTAGTGAAACAAAATAAAATAAAGAACATAGTTCATGTCTACCATGTTGCACATATTTTATCTGTCCAAGGGCAATAACTAAAAAAATTAAGAACTTTTTATAGGCAAGTTATTTTAATAACTTATTTTATGCAGACAACGGAAGTCATTTGCTTTGATTCTTATTTAACTTTGCCTATCCCCTACACTAGATCTCTTGTTGGTCAGTTTCTACACAACACGTCACAATTTTACACATTCTTGCTAATCAACACAATCGATAATTATGTAAGCAAGATTTTATTTGGGATATTATCAATTTTCCCCCCTCCATTTCCCTTTCAACACCTCTTATTTTAATGTAGACATATGTTTTTATACATAGGGTGATTTAATCTGGTTAATTATGTCAGTTTTGGTTTGATAACATCTCTATTTCTGACAATTTATGTCATATGTGCTACTATTACTATTTATTTTTTTCTTTATATCTCCTTAGTTGACCCCTTGTCTAGGTGAAGCTATTGAATTATGTAATATGTTATTATCGTTTTAGTGTTTTTTCATTCATTATTATCTTCTTGTATAAAAGTATATATTTTGTGTATTTTGATATAAGAAATTTTTTTACAAATAAGTATAAATTTTGCAATTTACTTTCTTGTTTCTCCATTCATTTATATATTCACTATAATGTCAAAAAGAGCTTCTCGATGAATTCAGAAAGTTACACCTCAAACATCAGATGGATTGTTTTGGTTGAAGGAGGATAGCATAAAAATATCTTAGAGAAAGGAAGGCTTGAGTGCAAATGCAATGCAATTTCCGATATAAACAATGTTTCCAAGGTTCATAACTCTTTTAAAAATATTTGATCGGCACTGATTTTTGAAATTATCTAAGACATTGCTGATACAAACCTATGATATAAGTTTCATAAAAATCTGGCAAGAATTGTACACATGAGAGCGCTAACAATGCAATTCTCCATATAATTAATATTTCCAAGGGGCATGACTCTTTTAAAAATAGTTAACCTGGCCTAATTTTCAATCTTGTCAGAGACATTGCTGATATAAGATTTACAAAAATCTGACAAGAATTGTACTAACAAGACCAGACTGACAGAGGTACGGACAGACAGACGTACATACCCCCATTATTTCTATGTCCTCAGCAATGCGTCACACAGGGGACAATTATCTATCAGTTTTGTATGTAATCAAACACAATAAAATTTTTAATATCAAAATCTTACCCTTGTGGAGCTACTAAGTTTAACTTTAGTTATCTAAAGGGGTTCATGTTGCCTGTGCTTTTTTTTAAATATCCCAATTTTTCATGTCTATTTTGTTTCTATATATAATGGTCTTGTCTATTCTTCGTCCACAACAACTGTTTTCATTTCAAACTTTGCATGAGATTAGGGTTACCTGTATCATTGGTTTATACATTTTGTAATTTCTTTAGACAAGATACATTAACCAATTCTCCAGAGTATTATCCCTTATAACTATCACTCAACAGGTTTTTATAGTACAGTCTCAGTATTGGAGCACCTGACTGCCTCCTCCCCTGGTTTTGGAAAGGTTAGTGTTGCTTAATCTCAAGTTTTCTGTTAATGAATTGTGGACTGCTAATATTCTTCACATGACTATTGTTTTGTTTTCTAGCTTCATTCGGTTGCTCTCGTTGACCTATTCCTCACATCTCCTTTTATTTGTGTTGTTTGTCATTACATCTTTTATTTTGGATATAGTGTTGACTTTCTTTCCCCGACCAACAGTTTTTTATTGCCCACTTCTTTTTTTTTTTATTACATATTACAATGACCTGGAAAGTCAGCTTTATTATAAATATAAAGAGATATGCTATGATTGCCAATGGTACAACTATCCATTAAGACCAAAGTACAAAGAGGTGAAAAATTAAAGTCACTGTACAGCCTTCAACAATGCATACTGTCTAGTAAGCTATAAAAGGCCCAAGGATGACGAAATATGGACTATAATTAAAACCTTTAAACCCCCCTGCATTTGTTTGCACCTGTCCTAAGTCAGGAACCTGATGTTCAGTGGTTGTCATTTGTTAATGTGGTTCATAAGTGTTTCTCATTTCTCGTTTCTTATATAGATTAGACCGTTGGTTTTGCTGTTTGAATGGTTTTGCACTAGTCATTTTTGGGGCCCTTTATAGCTTGCTGTACGGTGTGAGCCAAGGCTCCGTGTTGAAAGCCGTACTTTGACCTATAATGGTTTACTTTAACAAATTGTGACTTGTATGGAGAGTTGTCTCATTGGCACTCATACCACATCTTCTTATATCTATATAAACTTACTTTTTACACATTTTTCCATAAATGTAGTTGCGGAGTCATCCCACTTCAAACATGATCTGAAAAAAGAACATTTACAACATGATATCAATAGTATAATCATATGCAAACAATTAAATCAAATGTATATTTCTTATCAAATTCCTGCCTTTATACAACTTATATATGTTCCTGAACAAGAAATTTTCATAAGAATGATTCAACATTACTTTTCCTTGATTTCGTTATTATACTTTGAACATGAATGCAACTATCAGTTAAACAGCAAATGTTACATTAAAACAACATGAATGAGAAACAAAGAATACACTGGAAATATTTGACGAAGTTAGACAGAGCATACATATGCTTTACCCCCAAAGAAAGGTATATATATTATTCTAATGACTTTCTTCAAACGCTTTGAGTACACAACTGTGGTAAAATATGAATATATTGTATGTCAGCTGATTGGAACACCATGATTTATTTGGGCTGTTCCATCAACGATGTATGCTTTTTATGAATGAGTTACCCAAGGTCAATCGGTGTAAATGATGTCATTGAACGATCACGTAAGAATATAAGCATTACAACAATTAAGTATGATTCAACATTACTGTTATAACAGGAGATCTTAACATCGTTCAAGACCGAGAGTTAAAATCATTCCTCAGTAAAGGACCTAAATATCGTCCCCCGTCAATAATTAATTGGAATGAGTGTCGTAATATCATCCACGACTCACTCCATACTTACTGTCTGAAATGGATAAAACGGGAAAAAGCTGACAAAAAATCTTTGGACTCTTTTTTTAAATCAGTAATGAACATAGTTGATATACGTATTCAACATTTTAAAGAACATTTTACTCTTAACAATAACCACAATAAACCTATTTCTCGTATCAAACATAAACTAAAAGAACTAGCCAAGGAATTTGTTTTTGTCCCGGCCGATAAAGCTGCTAATAATATTATTATTGTTTGACGTAAATTTTACATTGAGGTTCTGAAAAAAGAAATCACCAATTCACCAACATTCCAACTGACTCCATTTTCAGAAAACGACATCTGTAACAAACATAAACTTTTAGCTACCGCTTTACAAGCAGAACCAAATACAATGAAAGTCCCAACTATGTATTGGCTTCCGAAGCTACACAAAACACCTTACAAATATAGATTCATTTCGTCTTCAAGCCATTGTTCCACTACTAAATTGTCTATTCTTCTTACCAGTACACTTGGTACAATCAAAAACCTGATAATAAATTGTTCAAATAAGGCCTTCGAAAATAGTGGAATTAATTACTTTTGGAGTGTCAAGAACTCGTTGGAAGTACTTGATAAATTGCATGCATATATTGGTGATTTTGAATCTGTTCAAAGTTTTGATTTTTCTACCCTATATACCACATTGCCTCACATTCTCATTAAGAAAAAATTCACACACCTAATTAAATGGGCATTTAAAAAGTCAGAATGTGAATATATATGTTCAAACTCTTTTAGGTCATTTTTTAGTAGCAATAAACAAAAAAACTATGTCAATTGGACATGCTTTGATACTATATATGCCCTTGAATTTTTACTAGATAACATTTTTGTTCGCTTTGGAGATTCCGTATATCGTCAGGTTATCGGAATTCCAATGGGGACTAACTGTGCACCACTTATTGCGGACCTTTTTTTATATTGCTATGAGTTACAATTTATGACAAAAATCAGTAAAGACCCATCGAAACAACATCTGATACACAAATTTAATAATACTTTTAGATATTTGGATGATATTTTGGCTCTCAATAATGACGACTTCAGTATGTATACTAAAGAAATTTATCCTGTTGAACTTACTTTAAATAAAGCTAATACTAACAATGACCACTGCCCTTTCCTCGATCTTGATATCTATATCATTAACGGAAAGCTTAATACTAAAATATATGATAAAAGAGATGATTTTTCATTTCCTATCGTTAATTATCCATTTTTAGATGGTGACGTTCCCTTGTCACCATCTTACGGTGTTTATATATCTCAACTTGTACGATTCGCTCGTGTATGTAACAATGTTTTAGATTTTAACGAGAGAAATTTATGTATTACTGAAAAATTATTACACCAGGGTTTTCGATATCACAAACTAGTCAAAACATTTACTAAATTTTATCATCGGTATAAGGACATCATTCGTAAATATAGCTCAACATGCAGACTTCTTATACGTTCAGGTATTTCACATCCATTTTTTTATGGAAATATTCTTTATAAAGCACATATTGAAGTCTGGAGCTGGCATGTCAGTTAACTGCTAGTAGTCTGTTGTTATTTATGTATTATTGTCATTTTGTTTATTTTCTTTGGTTACATCTTCTGACATCAGACTCGGACTTCTCTTGAACTGAATTTTAATGTGCGTATTGTTATGCGTTTACTTTTCTACATTGGCTAGAGGTATAGGGGGAGGGTTGAGATCTCATAAACATGTTTAACCCCGCCGCATTTTTGCACCTGTCCCAAGTCAGGAGCCTCTAGCCTTTGTTAGTCTTGTATTATTTTTAATTTTAGTTTCTTGTGTACAATTTGGAGTTTAGTATGGCGTTCATTATCACTGAACTAGTATATATATTTGTTTAGGGGCCAGCTGAAGGACGCCTCCGGGTGCGGGAATTTCTCGCTGCATTGAAGACCTGTTGGTGGCCTTCTGCTGTTGTCTGTTCTGTGGTCGGGTTGTTGTCTCTTTGACACATTCCCCATTTCCATTCTCAATTTTATTCTACGGAAAAATGCACGAATGTGAACTGAAAGTCATCAAACACAGAAATATAAACAAACGACGATAAAAAAATTTGAAAGCCAATTTTCCTAAAAAATAAAAGTAGGATAGTAAGTTAACTTCATCCAAACCTGCCTAAGTATGTTATTGTAAATCGTTTGGCATGTCACTTATTCAGTTTTCTTGTCTTGTACGTCAATATTAATAGTGTGTTTAATTACGGGAGCAGCAAATATTTCCCTTCACCTAGAGTGCTTCAATCCAAAAGAATTGGTGTATTTGTCCTATCTCTCTTGATAAAATATTGGCATAAAGTGCATACCTGTGGTAAAATCATAATAAATTCAAGCCCCCATGAATTATTTCTTAAATCTTACTTTTCTGCCACTGAAAGGTCTTCCTGAATTGCCAGTGTCAAGGCCTTCACACCAAATACAGAGCACTCTTTGATCTGAAAAGGCAGCTTCAGGAATCTTTCTGGCGATTTACGTAACCTGAAATATTTTTAAAAATAGTTAATTCAGAACAGCACTTCTCTAACAATAATATTGTTTCATCTTTAGTTATTTATTATTTAACATTTGCTGCATGTTATGAAGAATTACTGTAAATTAAGAAATGATTGCAATGTTTACATCAATTTGAATATCTGATATTTCAATTTTGCATAAAATATTCTATTGAAACATGTACTTAAAGAGTTGAAATATTGTCAATGTCAGTAATTTGTAGCATAACACTAAAATGCACACATTCAATTCAGAATGTTAAGTCTATATTTTTTAAATATCATTTAGTTACATCAAGTCAAGAAGAACAAACAGGGTAACATGTGATGAAAATTTTCCAAGCATAAAATGATACAAACTGAACCAACTTTTTTTGTAATTTTTTTTTTTCAATAGAACAGTTAACACTAAAAAATGTCTATCTAATGCAACAAATGTTACAACACATCAAGATGAACTATTATTGATGTCTTATAAGTAATTCTTAATCAGAAACTTTTGCAAAAGAAAAGGATATGAATTTTAAAACATGCATTAGATTTTTTTTTAGGATTTTGCCATTTTTCTAAATTTTAAGGACATTTCAAAGTTTATTTTTCACTCTAAACACAGGATGGGAACCCTGCCATTATCTTAATCTTTTCAACTGCAGTAAAAATCAATACATCCTTCTATGTTGTTGCCAATATAAGATAATTGATAGCAATAATATTAAATAGTGGATAATGATTTTCTGCTTTATGTTGTATTCTTTAGTGACATCTATTAATGTCGAGTTTTTCTCACACTCTTACCCTATTTGTTTACAGTTTTTTCTATTTCTATTTCTTGTTCATGTCAAACACAACTTTTTCAATTGGTTTTCTGATTTTGGCTTATTTTAACACTTGTCAAGCATTCTAGAATTATTTACAAGCAGTTTCAACTTCTACTTGATGATGGACAACAGATTTTCCATGAAAATACAGCAAACGATCAAACACGCTTTGAAATTTTTCCTTAGCAATTGTTGTCATAAAATGTAACCAAAACTGTATTTTTCATGAACATGCATCAAGGTATGATTTTCTAAATAAGCCTAACAGACAGTTGTGGAATATATAATAGCAGTGAAAGTTTACAGTACTTAGTTAAGTGTACCTAATTTAATTGGATGATTTTTAACATGTTTAAAGCAAATAGCAATTTGCTAATTAGGTTTTACACCCATTTTGGAATGTCATGCCAGAGGTTGGCAACTATATATGATCCCATTTAGTTTAATGTTAAATAAGTGAATTTCTAAAAAGTTCTCAAAAATCAAAACAAATTTTCCTAGTATTGTCATGATGCTCATCATAATTTATTTTTAGTACTTTACAATAATAATAACTTTTTTCTATTGATACGTTTAACAAATTAAAAAAACCAATTCAATTTCAAATATTGCTGCCAAAACATGACAACTTTACAACCAGCATAGTCGTAAAATTGCCTGTGTGCTAGTTTGATGAGTCCAACATTGACACAATACTTTTATGATCTATAAGCAGTCTCTACTTCTGATTCTTTTAAACTAATTGAGAGATGTGTGACCAAAAATTTGTAAGGGTTCCGCGGAACCCAGTGTCTCGCCTACTTTTCTGTTAATCGCAGGCTCAACAAAAATGAGGTCGCAAATCAATAAAAATATTCCTCTTGATACTATCTTCTGATTGTTAGAAGCTTCTGTCCAAGTTTGGTAAAAATCCAGGAGAGTTTATGAATCTAATAATGTTTAAAAACTTTAACTGCAGACTGAATGTAATGTTAACTGGAAGAAAACAAAATTTCCTTCTAGATACTAGCATTTGATCATTAACAAGCTTCTGTAAAAGTTAGGTTCAAATCCAAAATAGTATAAGAAAGTTATTAAAATTTTAATAAAATGCTTCGCTGGGCGCAGCTTGATACGACCGCAGAGGTCGAACCCTGAACAGTTGGGGCAAGTATGGACACAACATTCAAGCTTGATACAGCTCGGAATTTGGATTGTGATTAAATATTTGACACAGCATAGGTTTCTGACACAGAAAGAATGTGGTCTAAGAACTTCAATTTTTTTAATTTTCCTATTATGGTCCAATGTCCAAAATCAAAATACATGGTTAGATTCAGCATATCAAAGAACCCCATATATTCAATTTTTGTTGAAATCAAACAAAGTTTAATTTTGGACCCCAACTTGGACAAACTTGAAAACTGGGCCCATAATCAAAAATCTAAACACATGTTTAGATTCAGCATATCAAAGTACCCAAAGAATTCAATTTTTGTTAAAATCAAACTAAGTTTAATTTTGGACCCTTTGGACCTTAATGTAGACCAATTTAAAAAACGGGACCCAAAATTAAAAATCTAAAAACACGGTTAGATTTGGCATATCAAAGAACCCCAATAATTCAATTTTTGATGAAATCAAACAAAGTTTAATTTTGGACCCTTTTGACCTCAATATGAACCAATTTGATAGCAGGCCCACAAAATAAAAAATCTAAGTACATGGTAAGATTCAGCATATCAAAGAACCCCATATATTCAATTTTTGTTGAAATCAAACAAAGTTTAATTTTGGACCCCAATTTGGACCAACTTGAAAACTGGGCCAAAAATCTAAAATCTAAATACATGTTTAGATTCAGCATATCAAAGAACCCCATATATTCAATTTTTGTTGAAATCAAACAAAGTTTAATTTTGGACCCCAACTTGGACCAACTTGAAAACTGGTCCCATAATCAAAAATCTAAACACATGTTTAGATTCAGCATATCAAAGAACCCCAAAAATTCAATTTTTGTTAAAATCAAACTAAGTTTAATTTTGGACCCTTTGGACCTTAATGTAGACCAATTTAAAAAACGGGACCCAAAATTAAAAATCTAAATACACGGTTAGATTTGGCATATCAAAGAACCACAATAATTAAATTTTTGATGAAATCAAACAAAGTTTAATTTTGGACCCTTTTGACCTCAATATGAACCAATTTGATAGCGGGCCCACAAATAAAAAATCTAAATACATGGTAAGATTCAGCATATCAAAGAACCCCATATATTCAATTTTTGTTGAAATCAAACAAAGTTTAATTTTGGACCCCAATTTGGACCAACTTGAAAACTGGGCCAAAAATCTAAAATCTAAATACATGTTTAGATTCAGCATATCAAAGAACCCCATATATTCAATTTTTGTTGAAATCAAACAAAGTTTAATTTTGGACCCTTTTGACATCAATATGAACCAATTTGATAGCGGGCCCACAAATAAAAAATCTAAATACATGGTAAGATTCAGCATATCAAAGAACCCCATATATTCAATTTTTGTTGAAATCAAACAAAGTTTAATTTTGGACCCCAATTTGGACCAACTTGAAAACTGGGCCAAAAATCTAAAATCTAAATACATGTTTAGATTCAGCATATCAAAGAACCCCATATATTCAATTTTTGTTGAAATCAAACAAAGTTTAATTTTGGACCCCAACTTGGACCAACTTGAAAACTGGGCCCATAATCAAAAATCTAAACACATGTTTAGATTCAGCATATCAAAGAACCCCAAGAATTCAATTTTTGTTAAAATCAAACTAAGTTTAATTTTGGACCCTTTGGACCTTAATGTAGACCAATTTAAAAACGGGACCCAAAATTAAAAATCTAAATACACGGTTAGATTTGGCATATCAAAGAACCCCAATAATTCAATTTTTGATGAAATCAAACAAAGTTTAATTTTGGACCCTTTTGACCTCAATATGAACCAATTTGATAGCGGGTCCACAAATAAAAAATCTAAATACATGGTTAGATTCAGCATATCAAAGAACCCCATATATTCAATTTTTGATGAAATCAAACAAAGTTTAATTTTGGACCCTTTTGACCTCAATGTGGACAAAGTTGATAACGGGGCCCAAAAATCAAAAATCTAAATACATGGTTAGATTCAGCATATCAAAGAACCCCATATATTCAATTTTTGTTGAAATCAAACAAAGTTTAATTTTGGACCCCGATTTGGACCAACTTGAAAACTGGGCCCATAATCAAAAATCTAAATACATGTTTAGATTCAGCATATCAAAGCACCCTAAAAATTCAATTTTTGTTAAAATCAAACTAAGTTTAATTTTGGACCCTTTTGACCTTAATGTAGACCAATCTGAAAACGGAACCAAAAATTAAGAATCTAAATACACGGTTAGATTCGGCATATCAAAGAACCCCAATAATTCAATTTTTGATGAAATCAAACAAAGTTAAATTTTGGACCCTTTAGACCTCAATGTGGACCAATTTAAAAACGGGGCCCAAAATCCAAAAACTTAATACACGATTAGATTCAGCATATTAAAGAACCCCAAGAATTCAAGAATAAAACCCCATTGAAATTGATCAAGAAATAAGCAATTTATAGGAAGTATCTTCTTTTGCACAATACTATGCAATTGAATATTTCTTGCTATTGTGCAATACTGTACAATTGACAATTTCTTGCTATTGCGCAATATTGTGCTATTGGATATTTCTTGCTATTGCGCAATACTGTGCAATTGAAGATTTCTTGCTATTGCGCAATACTGTGCAATTGAAGATTTCTTGCAATTGTGCAATACTGTGCAATTGAAAATTTCTTGCTATTGCACAATACTTATTATATAATAATTTACACATCCTGTTTGGTGTGTATCTCCTACCATATCATTATTATTTGCTTTTAAATATTAATCAGAAATAACCAACTTAAAATGGAAAATTTTAAAAGAAAAAAAAAAGGAAAAAAAGAAAAAAAAAGAAAAAAAAAAATCCCCCCCCCCAAATTTTTTGAACCCCCTTATGATTCATCACCCCCAAACTCAATCCCAGCCTTCCCTTTGTGGTATGGTACCTTGCAGTACAATTTCAGAGAGATCCATACACTTGAACACAAGTTATTGTCTGGAAACTAGAAAAATGCTTATTTTTGGCCCCTTTTTGGCCCCCAATTCCTAAACGTTTCGGGCAATTACCCCCAAACTCAATTCCAGCTTTCTCTTTGTGATATGGAACCTTGTAGTACAATTTCAGAAATATCCAAACACTTACACACAAGTTACTGTCATGAAACTAGAAAAATGCTTGTTTTTTGCCCCTTTTTTGGCCCCTAATTCCTAAAATTTTGAGGCAATTACCCCCAAAATCAATTACAGCCTTCCCTTTGTGATATGGAACCTTGTGGTACAATGTCAGAGAGATCCATACACTTACACACAAGTTATTGTCTGGAAGTTACAAAAATGCTTATTTTTGGCCCCTTTTTGGCCCCTAATTCCTTAACTGTTGGTACCATAACCCCCAAAATCAATCCCCACCTTCCTTTCGTGGTATTGAACCTTATGGTAAAATTTCATGGAGATCCATTCACTTAAACTAAAGTTAGAGTGCGAAAACCAATGTGTCTTCGGACGACGCCGGACGACGCCAGACGACGACGACGACGACGACGACGACGACGACGACGCCGCCAACGTCATACCAATATACGACCAAAAAATTTTCAATTTTTGCGGTCGTATAAAAACTTTAACCACAGAGTGAATATGTTGTTTCCTGGCAGAAAATCTAAGTCCATTTAAAAGTAAAATACGGAAAAAATGGATTTATTTTTTTACAAAATTTCCTTCTAGATACTAGCTTTTGATCATAAGCAAGCTTCTGTCCAAGTTTGGTACAAATCCAAAATAGTATAAGAAAGTTATTAAAATTTTAAAAACTTTAACCACAGAGTAAATATGTTGTTTCCTGGCAGAAAATCTAAGTCCATTTAAAAGTAAAATAAGGAAAAAATGGATTTATTTTTTTACAAAATTTACTTCTAGATACTATCTTATGATCATAAACAAGCTTCTGTCCAAGTTTGGTACAAACCCAGGATAGTTTAAGAAAGTTATTAAAATTTTAAAAACTTTAACCACAGAGTGAATGTAAATTCCCAGCAGAAAAACTAAGTCCATTTATAAGTAAAATACAGAAAAAATGGAATTTTATTTTTACAAAATTTACTTCTGGATACTATCTGATGATCATAAACAAGCTTCTGTCCAAGTTTGGTAAAATTCCAGGATAGTTTAAGAAAGTTATTAAAATTTCAAAAACTTTAACCACAGAGTGAATATTTGTGGACGCCGCCGACGACAACGACGACGCCAACGGAATGTAGGATCGCTATTTCTCGGTTTTTTGACTAAAGTCGAAGGCTCGACAATAAAATGATAAATTGGTCTCTTACAAATTACTTGCTACAATGAATTATTCTAGCACTACTTTTGACGTCTGTTAAAATTGGTCTAGCTAAATGGTGAATTGCTGTCTTCAGGTGCTTCAGTATAATATTTCTCATAAGAAGTGAATCAAACTACTTACCATCTGACACTTATAGACTCTGCTTCTCCACCTTTATCAACAAAGTAACAACTGAAAGAGAAAACCTGTCATCAAGAACTGAACATAAAATTCAATAACAGCTAGACACAAATGCAAAACCACCAAGTCTGGAGGTATAAATCAATTAACAAGTAGTAGTTTACCTAAAAAAGTCAATTTCCATCTAAAACTTTGAAAAAAAGGAGGAGGTATGAAAAGTGCCATTAATTGGTCCCATAAATTGCAAAACTTGCTCTCCCAGTAGTTACCCAAATTGGCCTGAATGATGCAGTGTAATGATGACTGCTAACAATTTAAATCCATTTATCAGCAAAATACAAAATCAAAGCGCGAAAGCGCTGTAAAGGCAGTTAATTACAGGTTGTGTGTATTTTTAGTCCAGTTATATCATTATTTTGCATAGTACATTGTACTTATCAGAGGTGGCTTTCAGTATTTAAGATTTAGAATTCTCTAATGATATTGAACAAGTTTTATGAATGTCATATTCTGAGCACTATATGAAGGCGATTGTTCTCACTTGTTTATGAACTAGTGCATTATGTCCAGTTTGTACCTTTTTTATCTATGTTTATAGTCAAATACTGTTTAAAATAGTTTGGCATTTTCTTTTTAGTAATAAGTAAATGTTATCAACTGTATTTTATTCAACTTTGCAAATGTGGTTTGTTACTGGTAAGTACAATGTATGGATGATAGTTGTTTCATTGGCAATCATAACACATCTCCTTATTTATATAATGATCTATATTCAACGACCTCAGGTACAAAAAAAATATATGTAACTAAACTATGATGGGAAACCTTTGACTTCTTTCTTTTATATAAACTTTTGATTTGGTACCATAGAACTATGTAGAATAAATGTACATTGCAACATGTCAACTCTTTCAATGACAATACTTTTTTTAGAAACTATAACTCCAAGCAAAATTATATTTCCAAGTATAATGTAATTTATGAATGAAACAAGAGTGCACACGCTGAAATGTCTCGCCTTCTTTACTAATCATTGATATTATGTTCATAGTCCTAAATATAAAGCTTTATTACAACTGTCACATAAACTTAACATTAACCAAGTAAACTAAACATTGACCAATGAACCAAGAAAATGAGGTCAAGGTCAGATGAACCATGCTAGGCAGGCATGTACAGCTAACAATTCTTCCGTACAACAAATATAGTTGACCTATTGCTTATAGTTTAAGAAAAACAGACCAAAACACACAAAAATTAAAACTGAGCAATGAACCTTGAAAATGAGGTCAAGGTAAAAAAAAAACCTGCGTGACTGACAAATAGATCATAAAATATTTCCATACACCAAATATAGTTGAACTATTGCATATAGTATTAGAAAAAAAGACCAAAACTCAAAAACTTAACTTTGACCACTGAACCATGAAAATGAGGTCAAGGTCAGATGACACCTGCCAGCTAGACATGTACACCTTACAATCATTCCATACACCAAATATAGTAGACCTATTGCATACAGTATAAGAAAAACAGACCAAAACACAAAAACTTAAATATAACCACTGAACCATGAAATTGAGGTCAAGGTCAGATGACACCTGCCAGTTGGACATGTACACCTTACAGTCCTTCCATACATCGAATATACTAGACCTATTGCTTATAGTATCTGAGATATGGACTTGACCACCAAAACTTAACCTTGTTCACTGATCCATGAAATGAGGTCGAGGTCAAGTGAAAACTGTCTGACGGGCATGAGGACCTTGCAAGGTACACACATACCAAATATAGTTATCCTATTACTTGTAATAAGAGAGAATTTAACATTACAAAAAATCTTAACTTTTTTTTCAAGTAGTCACTGAACCATGAAAATGAGGTCAAGGACATTGGACATGTGACTGATGGAAACTTCGTAACATGAGGCATCCATATACGAAGTATGAAGCATCCAGACCTTCCACCTTCTAATATATAAAGCTTTTAAGAAGTTAGCTAACGCCGCCGCCGGATCACTATCCCTATGTCGAGCTTTCTGCGACAAAAGTCGCAGGCTCAACAAAAAAGGAGTTCTTAATTAAGAAATAAACTGATTCGCTGAGCGCAGCTGGATACACCCGCAGAGGTCAAACCCTGAACAGTTGGGGCAAAAATGGACACAACATTCAAGCTTGATACAGGTCTGAATTTGGATTGTAATTAAATATTTGACATATTATAGTTTCTGAATAAATGTAGTCAAAGAACTTGAAATCGGTTATATGAATTGAATTTATATTCAATTTAAGATTTCTTGCTGTTGTGCAATACACTGTGCTGTTGCGCAATACTTAATAAATCTGTTGCCAGACTATAAACAAATAAAGTTCAATTTCTTCTCAATGTCATATTTGAAATTTATGAAAATCAATAGGGAGATTACATCAATAGCTATAAATAATTCACCAAAGTTTCATGCGAACTGCTTAAAGCATTTTTGAGTTGTTGTCAAAAAACTGGAAAATCCCCCCTTTTTTAATGAATAAAACCCCATAACTCAGAAATGTAAAATCTAAAATTTATAAAATTCTAAAGGGAGCTTAAGGATTGATAATTTAGTCTTAGATGCAAGATTTTTTTTATCAGTTGTTAGTGGCTTTGAACTAGCTGTCAGTAAATGCGAGTACTCTCAGATCTGTACTTAGTGTCTTTTTGTTGTTTGGATGTACAACTACCCGGCCACGTCCACTTGTAATTGTATTTATCCATCTGATGAGTTAAGCCTCTTTCAACTGATTTTTATAGTTCGTTCTTATATTGTACTGTTACACCACTGTCCCAGGTTAGGGGGTGGGTTGGGATCCCGCTAACATGTTTAACCCCGCCACATTCTGTCTGTACATGTATGTGCCTGTCCCAAGTCAGGAGCCTGTAATTCAGTGGTTGTCGTTTGTTGATGTGTTGCATATTTGTTATTTGTTCATTTTTTGTACATAAATTAGGCCGTTAGTTTTCTTGTTTGAATTGTTTTACATTGTCATTTCGGGGCCTTTTATAGCTCACTGTGCGGTATGTGCTTTGCTCATTGTTGAAGGCCGTACTGTGAACTATAGCTGTTAATTTCTGTGTCATTTGGTCTCTTGTGGAGAGTTGTCTCATTGGCAATCATACCACATCTTCTTTTTTATATTTACATCAACAGATATAAACAATTCACCAAAGTCAAGGTGAGACAACAAAACTTAGTTGTAAGATCTCTGAAATTTTTTACACGGTACAAGTTTTTCTAATTGTTGGAGATTGTACGGTGACAGTAACACCTGTAACTGCTTAAGCCATTTCTTATGCACTTTGGTTCGATCAACTCACTGAATATCATACCACATCTCCTTATTTTTATATGCATTACAATTTACATGTGCATGTTATTGTAAATAATATTTATATATATATATATATATATATATATCAGAACAAACTTCATTGTGTCACTTTTATTTATGCATCCTTTGGCACAATACAAGTTCTAAAATTACACAATAAAACAACTAAATGTTATTTCAGATGAAAGTTTTGTTTCAGTTCCATTCATAGGATTTATTAGAATTTTGTATGTTTTGCCAAGTCCAATAATTAGCTCTATGTGTACGTGTTAATTGGAGACTTTTCTATCCCGTATAAGAGTTTTGGAACTAATTCTGTTTCTTTTTTTGAAAAAAGTGAGCAAACAAATCTTGCACATTTAAACCTTTGTCTGCCATCACACTGTCACCTGGATCACATAATTGAACTATTCTACATCTTTCAACTATTTCACAGTCACTGGTACAACCAACATATGCATTAGAGACATAGTTGACTAAACCACCAGGTGTCGAACATACAAGTATTTTCAGTGTTTCTGTTATTATATGATGAAAAGGTTGCCTGAGCTCTAGGAGCTTTAGGTTTTATCACGGGATATTCTGTGCTGTCAATAATAATCCAAGTTGTAGGAAACTTTAATTTGAAGTTGGATGGCGAAAAATACCTGACTAAACCACTAAATGGCCAAGTGTTAGCCTCACGCCACTGTTTAGACATAAAAACAATCCATGTTTACACAATATTCTTAACACTAGTTTCAATCTAGAATCTAGACAGTTCAAAGTTGGTTGTATAATGCCTCAATTTCATCAAAGTCATAAAAAAACTGATTTTCAAATGACACCCTATCAATTTGAAAATATATGTATCTCAAACAATGTGCTGCTGGACCAAGTGTGGTCAAAACAAATAAAAATTTAGTATACAACTCTAAACCGGTATAAAAATGCATGGCTGTGTCACGTGTCTTCATTTCAAAATTCTCTGCTGAAAATATAGGCATTGATGGTGTTTGCGTAATTCCATCTGTGAAGCTCAACATTAGCTCGGCAGTTGGTGGTGGACAGTCATAAATCCTGTCTGCAGTATGAATGACTTCTTCAGGAAAACCAACTTTACAATCAAAACTTTCCTCTAGATTTCTACTACAAGTTTAGTTCTTTTGTTTTCACAGGAAACTGCCCTGATTTTTCTTTTTGTGGACGATTCAGTCTCTTGCTTGGTCCAGGAAAATAGGCTGGGAATAGCAGTAGACTTAAGTCTCTGTATGGTGGGTTTGCGCCCTGAAAAAGGTTATAAAACATTAGTTTTTTGATAATTAAATGAACTTCCATTAGCAATGCATACTTTGTACTACCTGGCAAAATATTAACTAGATTTATTCATTACAATCTGGATAAAACTATGTTAGCCTGATTCAATGTACATCAATATGTATGTTATGTAAATCCAAAGGACAAACAATGAGAGTCGTATGCAACAAACATACATTGTTTGTACCTAAATAACTATAATATAAATGAGAGCATGTCATTGTTTTGTTCCTGTTAACATTGTCATTGATATTTTTCAAGAAAGTCTATGAGGCATAGCTTATGCATTCCTGTCATTACTACATTAGCATAATAAATGCTAAAATAATTCTCAGTATGATATACCTCTTGTAAGAAATCATTATAATTGTAACAAGCCCCAAAAAATCTCAAACAGATCACATTGAATCGTAATCCAAAAAATTATGACGTCTTGAATTAACCACCCTCTTTTATTCTAAAACGATAATTGCGGTTGTAAACAGACTTTGGTTTATTCGCATGACGATTACATATATAACTATATATTTTAAAAAGAAAATAGAGTTTTACCATGAATAGTTTCCTGCACGTAGTCTTTTTCAGTAAAATGTGCCTTGCAAACAACAGCTGATTGAGATGGACTCCACGATTTCATCGTGTTCTCGTCCAATCTGCGTATGGGCCATGGCGTTGATCCAACTTTTCCTTCTTTTTAAGTCATTTGGAAATGCATGTCCTCCTCTTAAATGACATCCAGGTACACAACAACAAGTACTTGGCATCGTTAATTAAAAATGCAACTGTAATAGTTGCACAGTGCAGAAACTGGAAGTTGAAGAACAGGATCGGCTACCACAGCGCCACCTATTCAGGAACGATAATTTGCTACTTTATATAACTGCGAAATAACAATAACGTTAGACGGGTTCGCATGCATAAACAGAAATGCGCTTTAAATTGTATAATATTATTCATGTTCAGTCGACCTTTAATTATTATATCAACTACTGAAATGATTTATAAACATCTAGATTGCAGATAACACTCGAAATTAACCCGACCTCTTTCCACACGGAATTCAAATAATTCTAGTTTGTCAATCGGTTGACTGCTTATAATGTAAAATACAAATATATCAAAAGTTTTTAAAACTAACAAAACACAATGATCGTTTCTCTATTTCCCAATGTAAATGAAATGAAACAAAAAACATTTTATATCACAATAAGAAGAGGAGAGAATCAACATTTTCCGGATCTACTTGGAGCCTAATGACCCCCCACGTAGATAAGTTGGATATCGCAGAAAGAAAGATTAACACGGCAACCAGAAAGGCATTAAAGCACTGCCTTTAAAAAGGAAAAAGAAAACAATTAAATTTTTCTTAGGGTGCTAACTCTTGATTATGAAGAAGCTTCTGTTCAAGTATTGTAAAAAAAGTTTTAAAATCTTTAATCAACAATGATCAAAGTGTTAACTACAAACTAAGTCCTTGTATTAGTACACAGGAAATAAATCATATTTTTTTTTTTATTTTAGAGGGATACATGTAGCTAATTAATGAACTGATACAAAAAGCAGTAACAGTAAAGTCAATGTACTTGTCAGGGCTCACACTACTTCAGAATCATAAGGAGAAGTGACTTCTCTTTTTGAAACTGAGAGGGAGAAGTGGTGAGATTTGAGAGAGAAGTGCTCGTTCGCTCGCGGCGCTACAATGTTTGGTTTTACTATAATACAAATGTCCATATGTATCTTATTTTTTTATATTGCTCAATCTGTACCTGGGAGTACAATAAAAGTAACAGTTCAAGTTCAAAGTTGTTTAATTTTATCATATCTAGTTGCACAATCATATTAGTCCTCTTGTCAGAAAAAAAACAGTTTAATATCTAGCAATAATAAAAAAGATTTTTTTTATATCAAAAAGGAAAAGAAAGTTGTTATTTCAATTTAAAATTTACTCTGTTATGTTTGTGAAATTCAGTGGTTAAAATTCTCATTTAAAAGATATATAAATTTAACACAGTTAAGCTTGGACATAGTATAGTAGTCCCAGAGTTGAGCAATTTTAATTAATAAATTGAAACAATTCATATACATGGAAATATATACATTAATCAAGTAGATTTAACCAAAAGTATGTTAATGCGCGTGGAATGCGTAATTTTTCCTTTTGGGATCAATATTCCTCTGTCAGCTGTGCCATTCATTCTTCAGTAGTCATTATCGTATGAATCCAGCTTTCGGTCATAGCTGGTCCGGTTCCGATCAGTAGTTTAGTACAAATTAGTCAAATATTTCAATGGCGGACGAAGAAGAAAAATTTACAAAAATAAAGTTAAAACGATGTTTGACACGCTATTTGGAAAGGAATATGACGTTTTTAATGCAATACATGGATAACAAATTTACTTCAGGCAAATTTCATCACGTTCTAACAAAGTAACGAACTTATTTTGCCGAAAATTAGAATGATTTGATGTACGCTTTCTAACAAGTACCGGGAGTGATAAAAAATTGTTTTTATGAAATAACATGCAACCAACTTTAAAATCAATGCTTTAACCTCTTTTCTGAAGAAAATAAATCGTTTATGTCTTTGAATTTCTTTACTTTTTACTGAAAAATTGCTGTTTCATCGACTTGGGAAAAATTGAATATTGCCGATGACGAAAGCGACTGAAAGCGAGTATCGTAAACCACAGGGCGACTAGTTTTCGCTTTTGAGGGTCGGCAAAGCGAAGTGACGGACAGGAAAGCAGCATCTTCGCCCTAGTCGCCTGGTAGCGTGAGCCCTGTTTGTATTGGAAACCTCAGAAACCGCTCAGGTAAAACATTAAAATAGCAGGTACAAAACTTCATGTCCTGATGAATCTGTGTAAGTTTGGTTGAATTCAATCAAGCTGTTTTCAATGAGTTGTGGATTAACAAGCGTGACACTGACCATGACATAGAAAACTATGACAAGACAACAGAAGTAATCCCTATTGACTCTACAGCTGGACCATATCAGACCACACAAAAATGAAATATTAACATCATCATTATTTCCTTACCAAGCTTCCTGTCCATATTTTCTGGCAAAAACACCCTCATTCCTTACTCTGTACCACTTTCTGTCCTTTTGCCTAAAGGCTATACAAATTTCACCCTGAAAGCAGGAAAAAATGTTGCGAGAAAAATGCTAGCATATATATATAACTCTATCCTGCATCATTCTTTATTTTCTACTACGGACATTTTCTGTAAAAAATCTAATTTTCATGCAAAATTTATTTCGCGTTAAGTCTGATTTAGCCAACTTCGCAACAATTCTTTTTCACAATTTTCCCTTTTAGTGATATATTTATATAAGGGAAGATCCAAGTTTTACATATTAACAACAATTTAAATTCCCGTTATTTTTCTACTCAAGAAAGTCATGAAAATTAGTTGGTTTGCAGTATCTTAAAATAAAAGAAGAATGTGTCTGAGGACATGAATACCCCCTCTCAAGCCCTGAAATTTTTCAAGTTAAAAAGGGGCATAACTATAGATTGGTAACTGACTCTCTGCCCAAATTTAATCTCTGTCTGCATGTTGTAGTTCTTAGCATTGTGTATGAGTTTTTCATAAAATTTAGATGAGACAAGCTTAAGTTAGAGTTTGGAAACTGTCCTTTCCAAGTTATAAAGGGGCATAACTCTAGAACCGTTAATGACATACTGCCAACATTTAATTAATCTGGCTGACATAAGTATATAAACTATCTTCTGACCTATTGAGTAAGTGACTTCTATTCCTGTTTATTAACAGGAAAATGCTTACTTTTGATGGTATGTATGGCTGTTGGACAGTCTGTTCCTGGTTAAAGACTTGATTTAATTCTTCTTGCAATTGTAGGAAATGTTGATGTTCCAAAGATGCTGTTTCACTATCTATTTCTCTACAGAAGAAGTGACCTGGGCTGTTTATCTGTATCAAATAGTATAATTGTATAAAAATAATTCTGAATATGTTCAATATTATACATGTTATAAGTGCATCATCCATAATGTATATATCTTTTTAAATATCAAAACTTTTAAAGAGGAGGTGCACAACTTTAGATCTAGTAGAAAAAACTGTAAATTTCTATTTGTTGCCATAGATGTACTGTAAAGGCTTCATATATTTTGAAATTATATTTATAGTTACAAGTATTTTTTACATCAAACTTACCCTTCCATGTCTTAGAAATGAAATTTTCATTGTGATTCAGATAGTTGAGATATTCCGACATTTAAGATGATTCTAACAAGCTTCATAAGCAAGATTTGCTTGTAAATTTCAATCAAGGATCATGCTATGTGTTCTTTTAAAAAAGTGATAAAGGGTTCCACAAAACCCTGTGTCTAGCTATGATTGCTGCTGTCAGTATAAAAGTGTAATGTTGACAGCTAAAAATTAAGTCCATTTATCAGAAAAAATACCAACAACAAAAATTTAATTTGAAATTTTTATTCAGATTCCTTTTTTAAATCTTGAAGAAGCTTCTGTCAAAGTTTCATAACATTCCATGAAGGTTTAACAAAGTAACTGAAGTCTGATTTTTTTTTATCCCAGACTGAATGTAAATTTATAATGTTAACTGCAAAAAACTAAGTCCATTTTTCAGTTAAATACTGAAATAAATGTGCTTCGCCAAAAGCAGCTGGATACGACTACAGATGTCCAACCCTGAACAGTTGGGGCAAAAATGGACACAATATTCAAACTTGATACAGGATTGTAATTAAATATTTGACACAGAATAAATGTAGTCAAAGAACTAGAAATTGGTTATATGATTTGAATTTATATTCAATTGAAGATTTCTTGCTGTTGTGCAATACACTGTGCTGTTGCGCAATACTTAAAAAATCTGTTTTCAGACTATATACAAAGAATTAGCAAAATAAATTGTGACCCCCAATTTTTTTTTGGAAAATTGATAATTTCTTAAATCTTGAGGAAAAAAAAATTCCCCCAAAGACAATCCCAACCTTCCTTCTGTGGTATTGAACCTTTTGCTTAAATTTCATAGAGATCCATACACTTAAACTAAATTTATTGTCCGGAAACTAAATGTCTTCGGACGACGACGAGAGAGCAATATACGAACGCAAAATTTTTGCCATGTTTGCGGTCGTATAAAAATTAAGTACATTTTGTAAATATATCTAAAAAAATTTGATTCAGACATTATTTCCTAATCATAAAAAAAGCTTTTAACAAAGTTTCTTAAAATTCTAAGATGGTTTGACAAAGTAGTTGATGTCTAAATATGTTAACTGCAAAAAAAATAGATTTTCTTATATTGATAAATACGGAAAACTGAAAATATCATTTATCCTAATTTTGCTCTGTATAATGTTTTTTTTATCATAAAAAAGTTTCTGTCCAAGTTTCTTAAAATTTCTTGAAGGTTTGACAAAATTTAGGATGTCTAAAAAACTTGAACTCCAGACTGTATCTAAATGTTAACTGCAAAAGAACTAGGTACATTTAACAGTAAAATACGGAAAAATGGAAAAAAAAATTGTATTTTCCAAATTATGCTCTGTATACAGTCTTTTGATCTTAAAAAAGCTTCTGTCCAAGTTTCATAAAATTCCAAGAAGGTTTGACAAAGTTCACTGTATCTAAACTACCCCGGCGAAAAATGTTTGGACTCAATAGTATCTAATGTCCGGTACGGTGACGGACAATCAACAGACAGAGAAATGTAGAAATTCTGTTTACTTAATTTTTGTTTTAAGTATATTGAAGAATATACATACACATATAACTATTTTCGATAGTGTGATGTAATATTTTCTACCACCGTTCTAGATTTATGGAGAAATAAGTAAAAAGGCACATCAAAATGGTGAATTGAGTGAACCTTGCCTCGAATTTGTTTAATTTCTCTTTAAATTGAGCACATTGTATGGAAAGAAAGGTACGGAAAGAAAGATATTAACACGGAGATGTCAAGACTTTTCACTATGATCGCCTCAATGTTTGCATGTCTGTGCATGGAATGAAAGAAGTGGGTCATGTCAAAATTGAAGCACCCGGTTTTGTCAATGTGTACGACCCGGTTTTGTCCTTAAATTTCACAAAGCAGACCCGGTTTTGTCATAGAAAATAATGCATAATCGCATGACGAAAATAAAAATATGGCGTTCAACAGCAGTTTGAGGGATCGTTGAAAAACATTTTCTTTCAGAGGATAACTTATAACCTTTTTGAATCCGTAAACACTTGAATTCCTGCTATATTAGAACAAAGCAAATTTCAATTTTGTTTTGTATAAAAAAAAAAAAGGAAAAATTAAAAAGAAATGAAGGTTTTGAAACGGAATTAGATTTTTTTATATCATCTATACAAATTTAAGTGTTCAAACTTAATTAGTGTACGGCTTTGAAAATTTAAGGACGCACATTTGATATGGGATTTTCTGGGACAACAAGATGGTTATCTTAGTGTCCGCTCTACTTAAAGGGAAGACAGTATAATCGGTTGAAAATAAATATTCTGAAACTAAACGTTCATTATAAAGCAAGAGAATAAGACAAATGTATGTGCATGCAGAATCGCCCAAGAAAAGGAATTTCCATGCGGCGCAAAGGATCACAATAATAGTGCGTTAAAAATCTGTTTACCCTCCTTGTTACAATAATACTAAGTATAAATTAGTATAAAAGTCTTAGGCCATCCGGAAATTGCAATAATGATTATTTGATTAGTAATTTTTATAAATAAACGATGTTTTATCTCTATTTTTTTTTTCTTTTTTTTTTTTAACATTAACAAATTCTTTAATGCACTATTATCAAGTTGTTAACAACTGCCCTATATAGTACAACTATTATATATAGGTTTATCTCTTCATTGTATAATGATTATCGTACATTGACAAGTGTTCTACAATTTAACCAATTTGGTCAAGTTTTAAATTGTCAATATGCAAGGGCGGACCGAGGCCATGACTTTTTTAAAGGGGCGTATTCATAAACGGATTTTATACCGCCGAGCGTTGCAAGGGGAACTTTTTTTAACGATTTTATGCTAAATAAAAAATCATATATAAATCGTAAAAAACATGATAAAATAATTATTTCTAGCCACCAAAAGGGGGAGGGGTCGGCGTTCTTCCTCTACTCCCCTGGATCCGCCACTGATATAATGTAACTATATCGTATACCATCATAGAATTTGATAAAAGACGAAAAAACAGAGACAGCCGCCAATCGCATATTTACTATAGGGGCTCTGTAATCAAATGAGTTAAGCCTTTTTCAACTCACTGAATTTTATAGTTTGTTCATATGTTGTGCTGTTATACCAGTTTTTTTTCTTGTTTTTTTTGGAGGGGGAGCTGGGAGGGGGGGGGGAGCTTACACGTTCAACCCCGTCATTCTGTATGTGCCAGTACCGAATCTAGGAGCCTGTAAATCGGTTGTTGTCTTTTTTTGCTGTATATCATACATGTATTTGTTATTCGTTTTTTATTTTGTACATAAATCTAGGTCGTTAGTTTTCACATTAGTTTTTTTTTTACAGTTTTCATTTCGGGGCCTTTTTTAGCTTTCTATGCCGTATGGGCGTTTCTCATTGTTGGATGCCATACGGTGTTCTATATTTGTTAACTTTTACATCATTTGGTCTCTGATGGAAAGCTGTCTCATCGTCATTTTTCACGAGCTAAATTGCCAATTAGGTTGTTCTACGAAGACGAAGACGAAGATATTGGACGTTATAATGTTGCAAACCAACTTTTATTTATAAAAAGAAATAATTCTTTCATGCCATGCTCAATGCTCATTTTAACATAGGAAGGCATTATATTTGTTAAAATTTTTAAACCAAGCGTTAGCCAGGTATAAAATATTGACAAATACAATGCCTACCTATGTTAAAATGAGCGTAGAGCATGGCATGATAGAATTATTTTGTTTCTAATGGGGAAGTTTAGAACTTGTGTATTTCGAAGCGGACATAAAATACACGTTCGAAAGGCAACCATATTGATTTGAGATATCCAAAACGTTCTAATAGATGTGGTATGAGTGCCAATGAGACAACTCTCCTTCCAAGTCACAATTTGTAAAAGTAAACCATTATAGGTCAAAGTACGGCCTTCAAAACGGAGCTTTTTCTCTCACTGTTTGTCAATGGATGAACGAATGAGTAAATATATTGTAAACATAGCGTATAGTGTAGTAAAGCATACTATCCTTACTCTTTTGATAAATTGATATGGTAACACAATCATTCCACATCTTCTTATTTTTACATCATTACAGTAGTATAGAAAACAAACAAACATTTTTGAGATGTATTTCTATTTGTATCCATCTGATGACTTAAGCCTTTTTCAACTGATTTTTATAGTTTGTTCTTATGTTGTACTGTTACACCAATTTCCCAGGTAAGGGTGAGGGTTGGGATCCCGCTAAGATGTTTAACCCCGTCACATTCTGTATATATTTACCTGTCCCAAGCCAGGAGCCTGTATTTCAGTGGTTGTCTTTGTTGCTGTGTTACATATTTGTTTTTCGTTCATTTTTTTTTGTACATAAACTAGGCCGTTAGTTTCCTCGTTTGAATTGTTTTACACTTGTCATTTCGGGGCCTTTTATAGCTGACTATGTTGTATGAGCTTTGTTCATTGTTGAAGGACGTACGGCGACCTACAGTTGTTAATTTCTGTGTCATTTGATCTCTTGTGACGAGTTGTCTCATTGGCAATCACACCACATCTTCTTTTTTCTATCATAAGGAATTAATGTAAGAACATGATATAAAGTATTTATTTCCATTTAAACTTAGTTCGAAGATAAGATCAATAAGGTATACGTATAGCATTCAAAAATGTCTACTCCCTATTTCGAAAAGTTCCCGTTTGAAATATATTTTAACACATGTTTGTATTGCAATAACATCTGTATAACATCTTTTTGACTCAAATATTTAATTTCTTCCGATGGGCAATGTCCAGATCCGTGCTAAAGTAGCTTTTCATATATTTGTGGTTTCAAAACAAAACAAAACCGGGTCCTATACTGAGACAAAACAGGGTCCTTGTGTAATAAACAACATTGACGAAACAGGGTCCTTCCATTTTGACATGACCCATTTCTTCCGTTCCATGCACAGAAATGCAAATATTGAGGTGCTCATAGTGACTAGCCATGCAATCTCTGTGTTAATATCTTTCTTTCCGTACTTTTCTTTCCGTACAATGTGCACAATTTAAAAAGAAATTAAACAAATTCGTAGCAAGGTTCACGCAATTCACCATTTTCATGTGCCTTTTTACTTATTTCTCCATTAATCTAGAACGGTTGTAGAAAATATTACATCACACAATCGAAAATAGTTATATGTGTATGTTTATTCTTCAATGTCATTAAAAAACAAATAAATAAATAGAAATTCTACCTTTTCTCTGTCTGTTGATTGTCCGTCACCGTACCGGACATTAGATACTATCGAGTCCAAACATTTTTTGCCGGGGTAGTTAAGACACAGTGAAGTTATTGATGTCTAAAAAAAAATATTTAACCACAGACTGAACATGCTGAACCTAAACATGCTTAATGTTGATCATGACACCACCTTTTAAATGTAAGATATCTATGTCAAGCTTCCACCACAAAATGTTGCAGGCTCAATAAAAAATTCAGTAAGCTCTCAAATTCAGTTTATTGAATTCAATGCTAGAATTTGAGTGGAACTTTATTGAATGATTTTGATGTGTACTGTATAAATGGTTGAACAAGTAAACTTTTCATCTTTAATATGTTAACCTACCTCTTGTATCTGGATAGTGATCATCTTCTTTGCAAAATGATTCTAAGCATCTATGACATCACTCATATCTAAAGTAAGAAGACGGTATAATTAAACTAACACATATCTAAACTAAGAAGATGGTATAATTAAACTATTAAACAGGAATTAAAGGTTTACTAATAATTATTATAGAGATATACTCAATTTCAGCAAAAGACTTATTGAACCTGCTAAAGCACACATACAGTAAATTATCTTCAGTTTTGTCATTTTTGTCTCGCCTTAACGGAGTCAAAAAGCGAGACATAGGTATGCTGTTTCCGGCGGCGGTGGCGGCGTCAACAATGTATTAGTTTGTGATTAGGTCTAGTTCATGGTGAACCACTAGTGGTAGGTTAATGATATTTGGTATGCAGTTGTATTAGCATTGGCACATCTCATTACCATGGAGATTATTTGGCCCCGCCCCCTCAGTCAAGGTCTATTGACTTTGAAACTTTTCATAGTTTACATGTATTAGTTTGTGATTAGGTCAATTTACGGGGAACCACTAGTGGTAGGTCAATGATATTTGGTATGCAGATTGTTTAGCTATGTACCTTCAGTCATGGTTCATCTACTTGAATATTTGCATAACTTACATGTTAAAGTATTGCTATTTTAATTTCAACATTTGCATTATCAAAATTACAAAAAGGCGAGACATATCTCTGTGATAACAGTTTATTATCAATTAGTTACATCTGAAAGTTGCTGCTTAATAAGTGCACTTTTTTACATTTTGCTAAAATCCAAAAATTAATCTTTATTGTTATTTGAATTTTTATTCCATTTGGATACCTTTATGTTATTAATATTCGAATGTGGTATCAAAATCCTGTTTGGGCATTTATTTCCAACCTCATATTGGTTTGCTTTGTAAATACGGTTAAATACACGATTTTTGGTTAAAATTGGAAAAAAAATTCAGAAGCAACATAACGAAAAGGTCAATTGAGTCTTTTAGAATTTTGACAGTATTGAGGGGGTAACACAAATATGTTCCTCTCTTTTATTTTTCTTACATTTACACAATGGATGGTTAGCATGGTTAGGAGTCAATACATGATTTGCCAAAGTTTTTTAACATTCACTGTGACTATTTAATGTTCAGGTTATACTAAATATGACCAATTTAAAACCAATCTGATAGGAACAGCCATAACTTCTCAAAAGCATAGTAGAATCTTGCCAATCTGATGGATCATGAGTCAAGCCATTTCACACTAATTTTTACAGGATGTTCTTATGTTGGCTGTTACACCACTGTCGGGGAGGGTTGAGCACTCACAAACACGTTTAAACCTGCCACATTCTATATGTGCCTGTCCCAAGTCACAAGCCTGTTATACAGTGGTTGTATTTGGTTGCTGTCTGTTTTTATTTTTTGGGGTGATTGTACAATCAATTGTTTAAACTGTTTCACATTTTTATGCTTATTTTGGAAGGCCATATGGTGACTTATAGTAATATAGTTGCTTAAATCCATGTCAGTAGGACTCTAGTTGATAGTAGTCTAATACATTGGCAATTATACCATATGGTCCTTATTTTAGATATAGAAACATATTTTAAAGTATATCTGAAAATTCTTAAATATGTATATCGCTGGAAGTTAAATTAATGATTAAATAAATACATTTTTCATTTTGTGACATAACATGGATTGGATGAAAATCCCTAGTAAACATTGTATAAGACCATGTATATAAAACAGGTTTGGTTTATTACCTAAAAGTAATAAATTCAGGGATAATTTTTTCAAATGATCGCAGGGACTAACTTTCTTTTTAACAATAAAACAAGTTGCTTTTTTTAAAAAAAAAGACAATACGTGAACCTTAGAACTTTTTTATTCTAATTATTAATTCAACTGAATAAGAAATTATATATCAGTGTTATCTTGGCCATGTGTGTGGAGGATAATATTTTCTTTTCATTGTAAATCATTACAATTTTGGCATGTTGAGAGAAGTGTTAAATATAAAGCAAGGAGAGAGAAAAAAAGATTCCCAGACGTATAATTTCTTAAAGAATAATAATAATTCAAAACATGGAGGACACATGTACCTTCTTCCAAAAATTCATAAAATTAATCTAGAAATAAGTAATGAGGCATTGCGAACTGGTCAGCTAGCAGGACACATTAATGTTCGTTACCAACCAATCATCAATAAGTGTAACTCTCCCTCGAGAGATACTTACTTGATCTACTAGTGATTATAAATATAAAAAAGAAGATGTGGTATGATTGCCAATGAGACAACTCTCCACAAGAGACCAAATGACACAGAAATTAACAACGATAGGTCACCGTACGGCCTTTAACAATGAGCAAAGCCCATACCGCATAGTCAGCTATAAAAGGCCCCGAAATGACAAATGTAAAACAATTCAAACGAGAAAACTAACGGTCTAATTTATGTACAAAAAATGAACGAAAAACAAATATGTAACACATCAACAAACGACAACTACTGAATTACAGGCTCCTGACTTGGGACAGGCACATACATACAGAATGTGGCGGCGTTAAACATGTAAGCGGGATCCCAACCTTCCCCCTAACCTGGGACAGTGGTGTAAAGTACAACATAAGAACGAACTATAAAAATCAGTTGAAAAAGGCAAGTTAACTCATCAGATGGATACAAACAGAAATACTACACAGAGTGGACGTGGCCGGGTACTTGTATATCCCAACAACAAATAGACACTAAGTACAGATCTGAGAGTACTCGCAGTTACTGACAGCTAGTTCAAAGCCACTAACAACTTATTAAAAAAATCATGCATCTAAGACTAAATTATCAATAAGTACAAATCCAACATCCAATTATTGAAGAGGCATGCAACTTTTACATTCAAGATACAAAAAATTTCATTAATAAAATAGAGTCACACGAGGTAAAAAAAGTATGCAATCTTATTGCCTATGATGTACGTCAATGTACACACATACGATCATTGATAATTTAGAAGAAACTGTTGTCAATGCATTAGAATTTATTGACACACAGGAGAATATACTTTAAAGATTCTCAGCAAAATAGATTTAACTGCATTTGTTAAATTCATTCTTAGAAACAATGAATTTGAGTTTAATGGACTGTTATACAAACACATTATGGGAGCACCCATTGTCACCAACATGCACAGATCTGCATCTGTCTGCCCTATTCATTAAAATCTTAGATAAGTTCCAATGGAGAGAAAACATCAAATTACACTGTCAATAGGGATGACGGTTTTATGGTCTTCACAGGCAAACTAGAGCAAGTTGAAGATTTCTTTAACCTTGCAAACGAAATTGACCATCTACTTAAGTTCTGATATGAGGTGTCGACATCTAGTATGGCCTATTAAGAGGGTGGTAAAGGGTTATTCACATTCGTGCAACGTTTTCGGCCTTTTTTATTTCACGTGTTTCCGTGTTTCAACGTTTTATTTCTCGTTTTCTCGTGTTTTGTTCGATGTGCGTGCTTCGTGTTTTCCCTTAATTATTTTACGTGTTTCGTGTCGGTACTCTTATTTTTCTCGTGCTTGTCCCGCATTTGATTAAAAAGTAAACGGCTGAGTAATAACTTTTGGTACTATTTTCCTTAATATTTACGATTTTATTCCTTGGCTCCGTTTTTCCAGAGTGTTTTTTTTCGTGCAACGTTTTTGTGATTTGTTATTTCAGGTGTTTCCGTGTTCAGACCCTCCCTTTTGCCACCCTCTATTTAGATACCAAAGTGTACAAAAGTGAACGATTCCATAATAATGGAATTCTTGATGTTAAGTCACATATATTAAAAACACAGAAACGTATCAATATTTACCAATCACTAGTGCACATCCAAAACACACATAAATTTAAGAGCATTACAATGTGTGAATAATATAAGAAATTTCTACTTCTACCACTAAGTGACCACCGCCATTTGGTTGACTATCCTGTCACTGTTTGGTGTGCGCTTGCATACTTTACAAGTCAAAAAATAATTTTAACAGAAAGGAAATAATTTGTGCTGTACATAACATTTATACATGGTGCAAATAATAACACTGGACTTGAAATTTAATGTGCATGCAGTAGTCTCTTGAACGAGTCAAGACTTTCTGCAGCGGTCACTGAAATAATAGTGACATCAATGAATTAAATAAACATTTAATTAACTTACAAGATAACTTAATTGATAGAGAGTACTGTAAAATGGAAACAGTAAAAGTTGTAAAAATGTATATTAACGAACAGCCTTATTTTACTTGTTTTATTTTCATTTGAAACAGATTTTTTTGTATCTGATTTGTCAAAATGACAAGTGTGCATAATGATTTTATTGTTACAAATCAAATCCCAAAAGCCCACTTTAACTCATTATGTAGAAACCACAGCACTATTTTAAAATATCTCTCTGTGAATATCTAGACACAGATGTTTGATACCATAGGTCGTCATAATTAAATCTTGACCATTTAGCTTTCACTTGTTTATCAAAGGGTACAACTGTCAACTTTGCTCAAGTTAGGCAACCCTTGCAATGCATAAAATGTAGTTTTACAATAAATACACGTTTGAAAAGGATCTATAGATTGTTTATTATCATATATCAGATAAGTGAATTAGCGATCTGTGAAAATTCTTTATTGCCATGTTTTAAATATCTTAGATACACCATATGGAGGTGCTCTTAATTGCAGGAAGCTAATACAGATAAGATGAATAGGTGTTCCGAATGAACAATAATTTAACTTCCGAATATTCCTCCATAGACTATATTTCTAACTAATAAATATGCGTGAACCCTCAGGGGTTCACGCAATGATCCGCTGGGCACAGCTAGATACAACAGCAGAGGTTGAACCCTGAACAGTTGGGGCAAGTACACTACATTCAAGCTTGAAATAGCTCTGAATTTGGATTGTGATTAAATATTTGACACAGCATAGGTTTCTGTCACAGAATGAATGTGGTCATTGAACTGAAAATTTGAAATCGGATTTTACCTATCCAATATCCAAAATCTAAATACTCAGTTAGATTCAGCATATCCAAGTACAC